CAAAACTGGAGATGATCATCGGTCTCCAGTTTCAGTCATTCCCGTGTTCTACTTTTCGTTTTTCCCGGCAACTAGGGGATGTCCCTCAGTTTCGGAGATTATGACCCGAATGTTGCGCGCTCCCATGCGCCGCTTCCGCGACAACGTGTGTGTATTTGCGTGTGTTGCGAGCCCCAACAGTTTTATGTCAGAAAAACACACTGAAGTTTTGAGCCAGTTAGCTGTCAGATGTACGCGCCTGTGTTATTCCCCCAGAGACCTGGTCTGCGACTAGGAGTTGCCCGTTTTCCGTCAGATTGTCGATGTGTGCGGGGCAAGCAACTCATTGCGACGGATATAATCATTGCCAGTCCGATGTAACGCTAGGCTTAATGGTTGTGGGTTCGTTTCCCACCACGACCCCGTGTCAGCCTGCTCCCCACTGAATAACTGCTGCCGTTGTGTCCCCTGGGGGCAAGACCACTTAACCCCAATGTTGCCTGAAGTCCCCCGCCCTGAAAGACCAAGGCTGTTCATCTCTGAGTCGAAGGAGCAGGGCCAATCTTCCCCGTGTGGACCCAACCACCTGCAGGAAGATCAGCAAGGGACTGGTGCTGTGTGAATTTGGTGGCAGTTCCGATTTGCCACCCCACTCCCCCCTGCTGACACCCAGAAATGGAAAATAAAAAGGGAAGGTAAATGAAATGAAATGAAACCACGTTATTTGTTTTTCCCTGATTTTTAATTTTTGAAACGGAAATAACTAATGATCAAAGGGGACAAAACGGGATTTTTTCAAGATATTTCATTTTTCCCCGCTTAATTTGAAAAATTATTTAAAAAACGAAGAATCTTCGGACCATATTGCATCGGTTTTAAAAATATAGCGATGAATGATTAAACTACTACCTGAAGGCCACAAGCTCCCTGGGGCACACTGCCGAGGCAAAATACCAGTAGTGCAACGCCCCTCCAACCACTACCAGCCATTTCAACAGAACACAACAAGAAACTCACTCTAGGCTAATGTGGGTGAAGTGTCTTCGCCAAGGACACAACAGAAATCCAGGTGGGAAATCGGTGGGAAACGACCCACGACCTTCAAGCTTTCAGGCCATGCTCTTTCCACTATCCTGAGCCACTGTCCGGCGCCCCCGAGAATAAAGAAAGATTGCAAACATTTTTTAGAAATGTTACCATGGCCAACTCATAAATATGTATAGTGCCATGGTAAACATTTTCTAAAATGTAGCAGTATTCTTTTATCTGGGCGACAGTGGCCTCAGTGGAAGAGCATTGGCCTGAAAGCTGAAGGTCGTGGGTCTTTCCCCAACGATTCCCACTGATTTCGTTGTGTCCTTGGCAAGACACTTCACCCACATTAGCTTAGATGAGTCCTTGTTGTGAGAATGGCTGGTAGTGGTTGGAGGGGCCGTTGGCACATACTGGTTGCCCCTCGCAGTGTGCCCCAGGGCAGCTGTGGCATTCAGTAGTAGTTTATATCATTCAGCGCTATATAAACCGTGCAATATAGTCCGTAGATTCTCGTTAACTAATTTTTCAATTAAAATCGAAAATGAACTAGTCTTGAAAACAATCCCGTGTACCCTTTGATCATTAGTTATTCCGTTTCAAAATAAAATCAGAAAAACAAATTACGTGGTTTCCATTTTCATTTCATTTACATCCCTTTATTTTCAGTTCATGGGTCAGGGGGTGGCAATCGGAACGCCACCCAATTCAACACAAGCACCAGTCCTTGCCTGATCCAGCTTCCCCTGAGGTTGGTGGGTCCCACGGGAAGGATGGCTGCTCCTTCGACACAGATGCAGCCTTGGTCTTTCAGGCGGGACTCAGGCACATTGGGGTTAAGTGTCTGCCCAGGGACACAACGGCAGCAGTATCAGTGGGAGCACTGACCAACGGGTCGTGGTGGGATCGAACCCACAACCATTAAGCCTAGCGTACATCGGACGGGCAAGCTGATTATATCCCGACGGCATATTGAGTGTGCTGCCCGCACACATCGACATCTATGACGAAAACGGGCAACTCCCAGTAGCAGGACCTAGTCTCGGGATAACAGCGGCCCGGTTACATCGACAGCAACTTGGCCTCAACTACAGTGCGTTTTCTGACATTAAACTGTTGCGGGCTCGCAACACACGCAATTACACACACGTTGTCGGAGCGGCGCATGGAGCGCGCACATCGGGTCATAATATCTCGAAACTGAGGACAACTAGTTGCTGAAAAGTAGAACACGGCAGCAACTGACCTGAAACTGGAGACCGACTGTTCATCTCCAGTTGTAAGAGCGCCCCGCACATCGACGATTTCGGCAACTGTCATCTCCCACCATCTCCTCTAGTTGCCAAAAAGCCGCCTTGCAACTAGTTGTCCCCAGTTTCTCTGTCGATGTACGCTAGGCCTTAAACACACTAAGTTATTACAGAACTCTCTAAGTTTCAACAAACGACAGCCCTTTGTGAATCGCCAGTATATCACAGAATCACAAAATATGAAATTGTGGCTCAAATATCCAGACACAGTTCCCAGCTCTACTTTCTGCACAATGAAGAAGTTTGACTACATGTCCCTCACTCTGTGTTTGAAGTTAGGTCTCTAACTGTGACGGGTCCTAAACCCCCTAATCTCCTGAGAGGTTGCGTCACACAGGAGCTGCCCGTTGACACCAGCAGAGGTGGCATTGTGGGGCTCAGTATTGATTGTATAATGAGCTGGATTAGCACTGGACACATGGTCGGTGCAGCAGACTCTCTCTGGGCCATCTGCTGTGTCCTTCCCACAGGCTCAAACCTGCAGCGACAGCACCACTATTATATACACTCACACACACAACACACACACACTCACACACACACACACACACACACACACACACACACACACACACACACACACACACACACACACACACACACACACACACACACACACACACACACACACACACACACACACACACACACACACACACACACACACAGCCATTCTGAGGGGAGCAGTCATTCTGACGGGAGCACAGCATGGAACTGTTCAGGCCGGAAGGTATCATACGAGTGTTTTCACTTTTCAGCGCTGTAGCAGTAAAAGTTTGCATGTTGGTTCTGTGACAGGGACTGGTTCAAGCAACATCACAGTCAAAGAAGGAAAGACCAGAGAGAGAGACCAGAGAGAGACTAGAGAGAGAGACCAGAGGGAGGAGAGACTAGAGAGAGAGAGACCAGAGAGAGACAGAGACCAGAGAGAGAGACCAGAGAGAGAGACTAGAGAGACCAGATAGAGAGACCAGGAGAGGAGAGACCAGAGAGAGAGACCAGAGAGAGAGACCAGAGAGAGACCAGAGAGAGACCAGAGAGAGAGACTAGAGAGAGACCAGAGAGAGAGACTAGGAGAGAGACCAGAGAGAGACCCAGAGAGAGACCAGAGAGAGAGACTAGAGAGAGACCAGAGAGAGACCAGAAGAGAGAGACCAGAGAGAGAGAACCAGAGAGAGAGACCAGAGAGAGACCAGAGAGAGAGACTAGAGAGAGACCAGAGAGAGACCGGAGAGAGGAGAGAGACTAGAGAGAGACCAGAGAGAGACCAGAGAGAGAGACCAGAGAGAGAGACCAGCAAGAGGACCAGAGAGAGACTAAAGAGAGACCGGAGGAAGGAGTGAGACCAGAAAGAGAGAGACCAGAGAGAGAAAGACCAGAGAGAGAGAGAGACCAGAGGAGAGAGAGACCAGAGAGAGAGAGACCAGAGAGAGGAGCCAGAGAGAGGAGACCAGAGAGAGAGACCAGAGAGAGAGACTAGAGAGAGACCAGAGAGAGAGGACCAGAGAGAGACCAGAGAGAGACCAGAGAGAGAGACGAGGAGAGAGAGAGTGACCAGAGAGAGACCAGAGAGAGACTAGAGAGAGAGACCAGAGAGACTAGAGAGACTGGAGGAGAGAGAGAGGAGAGAAGAGAGACCGGAGGAGAGAGAGAGGGGAAGACTAGAGAGAGAGACCAGAGAGAGACCAGAGAGAGGACCAGAAGAGAGACCAGAGAGAGACCAGAGGAGAGAGAGGACCAGAGAGAGAACCAGAGAGGGAGACCAGAGAGAGACCAGAGAGAGACCAGAGAGAGACCAGAGAAAGAGACCAGACAGAGTGAGAATAGAGAGAGAGACCAGAGAGAGAGACCAGAGAGAGAGACCAGAGAGAGAACCAGAGGAGAGAACCAGAGAGAGACCAGAGAGAGACCAGAGAGACGAGACTAGAGAGAGAACCAGAGAGAGACTAGAGAGAGAGACCAGAGAGAAGAGACTAGAGAGAGACGGTAGAGAGAGAGAGACCAGAGAGGAGACAGAGAGAGACCAGGAGAAAGACCAGTATAGGAGAGAGAGACCTGAGAGTGGAGAAGAGAGAGACTAGAGAGAGACAGAGAGGTGCTCTTGCTATGAAAAAGGGACTGCGAGTCTGTGTTCTGGAGGTTCTTTATGAATCCAGACTCAGCAGCACTGAGCCCTCTCTAGGTCTGGACCCTGCCTCCTCCTGGTGCCATCTTGGCGGCTCTAATTGAGCAGGTTATTTGTCACTATCCCAGAGGCACGAGTGGAGTGGTGGTTTGGAGTGAGGCCCAGTGTAACCAAGAGTCCCTTATTCAGTCAGAGCAGTGTGGAGTAAGGCTCAGTGTGGAGTGAGGGCCCAGTTGTAGGAGTGAGGACCAGTGTAGAGTGAGGCCCCAGTGTGGAGTGAGGCCCAGTGTAGAGTGAGGCCCAGTGTAACCATGAGTCCATATTCAGTCAGAGCAGTGTGGAGTAAGGCCCAGTGTGGGAGTGAGGCCCAGTGTAGAGTGAGGCCCCAGGGTAACCATGAGTCCATATTCAGTCAGAGCTGTGTGGAGTAAGGCCCAGTGTGGGAGTGAGGCCAGTGTAGAGTGAGGCCCAGTGTAACATGAGTCCATATTCAGTCAGAGCAGTGAGGCCCAGTTGTGGAGTGAGGCCCAGTGTAACCATGAGTCCATATTCAGTCAGAGCAGTGAGGCCCAGTGTGGAGTGAGGCCCAGTAGTGTAACCATGAGTCCATATTCAGTCAGAGCAGTGTGGAGTAAGGCCCAGTGTGGAGTAGGCCCAGTGTAGAGTGAGGGCCCAGTGTAGAGTGAGGCCCAGTGTAGAGTGAGGCCAGTGTAGGAGAGTGAGGCCCAGTGTAGAGTGAGGCCCAGTGTAGAGTGAGGCCCAGTGTTAGCGTGAGGCCCAGTGTAGCGTGAGGCCCAGTGTAGCGTGAGGCCCAGTGTGGAGTGACGCCCAGTGTGGAAGTGACGCCAGGTGTGGAGTGGAGGCCCAGTGTGGGAGTGAGGCCCAGTGTGGAGTGAGGCCCAGTGTGGAGTGAGGCCCAGTGCCACAGACCCCCCCAGCATCAGGAGGAGCTGGGGCCAAACTTGAGCACATGAGGGAGACAGTCTGGGGGCTGACTGAGCTTCAGGTTTCTGTAAGGTCATTTAAAATATGGCAAGACTAACCCTAAGATTTAAGCCCCTTCACTTCAGTTGGGCGCAAATCTTTATATAGGGTTTGGGGTTTTTTGGTATACTAAATTTGTGGGAATTAAATGAGAGATTATTTGAACCGTTGTCCTATGCCTTATGTTTGGTCCATTACAGGTAGAAAGACCAGCCCATGGTTGAGTTAGGACTATTTGGATTTCTTGCCATAGTGGTGGACCATTAGTGATGCTGCAGACTTCAGAGCTACCCGGAAATGTCCCCAGACAACTACTGTGTTAGCAAAGGCCCTCAAGCTTTCTCAAGGGTTGGGGGTTAGTGAGGCTTTTAGTGTGCTAGTTCTCCTGAACTTTTCCTTTTGGACCAGCCCTCACAGACCAGCCTCTAGGACCAGCCTCTAGGACCAGCCTCTAGGACCCAGCCTCTAGGACCAGCCTCTAGGATAGCCTCTAGGATAACCTCTAGGACTAGCCTCTAGGACTTGCCTCTAGAACCAGCCTCCGGACTAGCCTCTAGAACCAGCCTCTAGGACAGCAGCTCGAGGACCTGCCTCTAGACTTGCCTCTAGGACTAGTTTCTATGGACTAGCCTCTAGGACTAGCCTCTGGACTTGCCTCTAGGACTAGCTCTAGGACTAGTTTCTAGGACTAGTTTCTAGGACTAGCCTCTAGGACCAGCCTCTAGGGGACCTGCCTCTAGGACCATAGCCTCTAGGACCAGCCTCTTAGGACCAGCCTCTAGGACCAGCCTCTATGGACCAGCCTTAGGACCAGCCTCTAGGACCAGCCTCTAGGACTAGCCTCTAGAACCAGGCCTCTAGGACTTGCCTCTAGGACTAGCCTCTATGAACCAGCCCTCTAGGGACCCAGCCTTAGGACTAGCCTCTAGGACTAGCCTCTAGGACCCGCCTCTACGGACCAGCCTCTAGGAATAGCCTCTAGGGACCTCGCTCTAGGGACCAGCCTCTAGGCTAGCGCCTCTAGGACTAGCTCTCTTAGGACCAGCCTCTAGGGGACCCTAGCCTCTAGGGACTAGCCTCTAGGACTAGCCTCTAGGGACCCAGCCTCTAGGACTAGCCTCTAGGACTAGCCTCTAGATACCAGCCCTCTAGAGACCAGCCTCTCTAGGACTAGCCTCTAGGGACCAGCCTCATCACACATCGGCTCCTCACACTAACAAGGACTGTCGTGTGCCAAAAGGAGGAGATTTCCCTAGTTCTCAATTGGTGTATTTCTTAAAGTACATTTGAAGAGGGACAAAAATCCCAGTGTACATATGATTGGTCTACAGAAAAGGATCAATCAAACTCGTGAATCGTGTGATCATTCCTGTAAACAAAGTTGCAGCACATGCGTAGCAAGCAGAGCTCAGAGGGACCACACGGCCCAGGACTTGCTTACCTCAGCTTTTACGAGTCTCCACCGCTACGTTCACGCCTCGCTGTAGCATCTGAACCCCAACCAGTGATCCTCCGTGTTCAGGTGCGTTTCTCCGGACTCCTGCCTACTGGTTTGTGTGTCTGTGAGTGGTAATGGTAAGGAAGGGTTGTGGTTTTCTGCCAGCTGGGACCCTGGGTCTCTCCCACAGGGTTTGGGGTTACGTATCATGTACCTCCGCCCCTGCATTCCTCTAGTAGATCTTGCTCTCTATGTGGGAAGCTGGGGGGTGCTTCGTCTTCACACATTCCAAACTTGATGGCCACCTCTTCTCTCCACAGGAGATGTTCCGTAACCTGAAAACACCAGCAAACAAACAAAGTCATTTAGAGACCAAAACGTTCAAGAAGAGACTAAAAGTATAACTATGTGACTCATGGACTAATGTGTTTGTTTATCATTGCATTTCCTGTGTTCTCTGATCTGTGTTGGGAGCATCGAAAGCCTTTGTATAAAGTTCCAGCTCACGATATTAAAAAAATGCTGGATATTTGGGTTGGCAGGTGGTGGGACAATGGGCATAAAATCTGGATAGGTGATATTTCTGACTAAAGAGAGGTGAAGTGAAACGATTAATTCTAATTACTTGAATAATGTCGAGATTATTTTTAAAAAAATATTCGAGGAATTTAAGCTGCCTCGAGTATTCGTCTAAGGTGAGTTTATTTGTGGCATTTTGCCTTTGTTTGCTCCCATAGACTTTTCTCGCGGGGAGGATTCTTTTAGAGTTGCGCAACATGTTTACGTGCCCTGCTCTACACAGCAACCTCTGCATGGTCCGCATGCATCACTTAGTGTCTTGGAAAAACTTTTTCGCGCGGACAATGCATTGATCTATTAATCAAATGGAGGACGATGGAAGAAAGGCAAACTGGCAAAGAGCTGGCTGGGAGTTAATAAGACGCGTCGGACGAAGAGTGGGTGGGAGCACCTTCTTTTTGAACACTTAAACTGCAGTAGTTAGTAGTTTAGCACACATTGCTAAGTGGGAGCTTAGATCTGCAATGATATACAACCAGGTTGATTGATGCTGCCGCAGATAGCTGGGAGAGAGGGCCATTGAGGGGAAGACCGAAAGACGAGGTTAAGTCAACCTTCAGAGTTAATGGTGTTAAAAGGCGCACGATGTGTGAAAGTGAAAAATTATCGTATGTAAATTATGATAACATGGGAGGAGGGTTTTCCCACCGAACAGTCAAGCAATCCCTACGGATGGTAACTATCCAATGTAGTTAGCCGCCTTTCGCATACAGTTAGCCTTTTTATTTGTTAGTGCTAGTGAATTGAAGCAGAAAGGTTTATCAGTCCGAATACATGTCTTTACATGGATGATGACGACGTTGTATTATGTAAGGTTTTATCTTAATTTGACATACACTACAATCCTAGTGCCAAAACGGGTAATCATTTATTACTTACTCCACCACAGTTGATTTGAACTGCGTACATAATTATGTCTGGATGACACAATATTATAATTAATATATTACAGTCTATGGTATGAACACTGTTGGACCAAGATCCAATCAGCAGTTACAGAACTGTAGGAAGTGAGGAGCACACGGTCCAAGAGATGTGAACAATAACAATATACTAAAACTAAATAAAAGCTCTTACTTTCTAATAGAAAAACAAGTATAAAATGCTGTAGTGTAGTATTGTATAGTGCAGGTATATATAGTTACACACATGTGGTTCTATATTAAAATATTATAATTACTGCAGGAGATGCACGACATGTGAGGGTCCGCAGTGTTTGATTATAGGACTTATTGAATCTGGGGAATAGTGGTGTGTTGATTGCCATTTAACGTCTGCTTTTTCCTGGTCTATCAGTAGTTAAACCATCACAGCCTGTTTAGGACCAGGTTCTTGCTCCCCAAGCACCAGCACCAGCACCAGAAACCGAGCACCAGCAGCGGCCCTGTTCTGGACCCCCCAGAGAGCCTTTTAGAATTATGCTGACTCAGAGGACATTTGCCTCATCTGGATTTTTCTGTTACAATCGGGAGAGAGAAACGTTGAAAATCCAACCGTGTGTACGGGTTGCAAATCGGCGCTGCTTGCCTTGTCTTCATTTGATAATATGAATTCAATCAACTGTATACAATTTAAAACATTATTAAATGGTTGTCATTTTTTGTATATGTATATTTTTTAATTAGGCAAAGAAATTTATTTTTATTTTCTCGGTGTCTTTGATTTAGAATAATTGATTTACCAAAATATTCGGATAGCTGCAGCTCTATTTCTGGGACTAACACTGCGATTTGTGAAGCATTTTCTTTAAAGCGCCTAATTTTGTTTCAGAGTATAAAAAAAAAAACGTCAACAATACAACACTTAATTCTCCCCCCCCACATGAAGCGGGAGTACGTTATAGTTATCCTCGGTTCTCACATATTTTCAGAAAACGTTTATAGCATTTCACTCCAATTGTGCAACCTGTTTAAAGCTAGATGAGGGAGACAACATTTAGGAACGCTTGTTTGAAATGTAGACGTTTGTTATTCGTTTATAACAAAATCCTTGAGCACAATTTCCAGTTTATAAACTTTTATTATAAACATACTGAGAAGTTTCATTTGGTAACTGAGCCAAAAAAAATGCACGACCAAAGATACTTGTTTGCACTTGAGAGGGGAAATCTTTTTAAAAAACTAAACTCAAATGCAAAAGAGGCCTTTTCCCCGAGTGGGTTGGTTTCTCGTTGGTCCAGGGGTGTGTCCCAAACAATTTTAGAAGTCTATCTTTATCAAAACTTGTCCCAGGAATTTCCGACCACTATGGACCTCGTTATAAACTATTTTCTGACTGGATTCTGAGCTTTAAAATGGATCATGGACATGTTCACACCACAGCCAGATCAACACTTTATTACAGATTACTGTCAACCTTTAAAAAGTTTAAAAAGTCAATATTCCAAGAATTCCTAGCTTTACTGTGAGGAGGGTTTAGATAGACGTGGAAGTTGGCGCTGGAATGACACTGTGAAAGTACATCGACTAGTTTGTGTTGCATGTGGGGCAGCCAGACGTCCCGGTCCATTCCCAGATATCCTTAGTGTGATTTGCGAATATCCAATTCCAAAAAAAAATAGCGATTGGAGAGAGAAACTGCTGCAGCCTCAGGGAACAAGGGATTATTGTCTTATTATTATTATTTTGACAGAAACATACACATTTACAGAAAACAGACCTAGGACCTAATGATTTGTGAATGTTGCTGTGTATCGTTGAAGTCGTTATGGAAGCCACGATTAACGACATCACTCATTTACCACCTTCCATTGCTATGTTTTTCCTTCAGTTAAATGATGATGAATGGATGTTTCATGTCAGTTCCACGTGTTTCACAATTCAGTTTTTTTCTTATATACATCTTTTGATAAACATGGCGACCTAAGATCTAATGTTCAAAATGACCAAAGAACAAACTACATTGAGGTTAGTTTGGTCCTTGGATCAGACTCTTGCTTCAGACTCATGTGGGACCAGCTCACTTTTGAGACACTTACATTAAATAAAATAAACTAGACTCCAGAGCAGTTCTCTTCCATAAATGGCCATCAGGAGGTAAAACACAGAAACTGCAGGTTTACCTAAATGCAAATACACGTCCTCTTCATGGTTTTCTAGTACGACCTGAGGAACTGGTTGTGAGAGTTTTTTTCTAAATTACTGGGGAGAAGGTCCATCTCCTTCTGCAAACTGACATCTGGCTTTACGTAATCCCATCTGGACAGGGCAGGGAGGGGGGGAGGCAGGGAAAGGAGGGGGGGGGGGGGGGGGGAAGTTTATCGATTTTTGCGTGGATGAGGTCATGTGGCTGGGTGTGGTGAGGCCCACAGAGGCTGCAGAAGAGAAGGAAGAAGAAGGAAAACTGCCTCAGGACTGGGTCTGAGTGGAACCAGAGCAGTCCATGAAGCATCAGGCACGAGCTGCTTTAAAGTGCTGGAGCTGCTCTTTTAAGCACTTTTATTCTGCTGTTATTGCGCCGTGTTATAGCGCCACGTTATAGGGCCGTTTTTGCGCGTTGTTATTGCGCCGTGTTATCGCGCCGTTGTTTGTTATTGCGCCGTGTTATTGCGCAGTGTTAATGCGTTGTGTTTATAGCGCTGTGTTATTGCGTTGTGTTATTGTGCCGTGTTATTGTGCCGTGTTTATTGCGCCGTGTTATTGCGCCGTGTTATTGCGCCGTGTTATTGCGCCGTGTTATTGCGCCGTGTTTATAGCCGCCGTGTTATTGCGCTGTGTTATTGTGCTGGTACATTTACAGATAAACACAGATGTATAAAACAAACAAAAGATTTCTAGATACTTGATAATTGAAAATTAGATACAATATTGATTTGATTAGTAATAGTTTTATTTTCACTATTGTGGAGCCACCTGCAGGTTTCAGATAGATCTGCTCAGACCTCTGAAGCTACGCAGGGCCTCGTTTGTTTGTACTGTGATGGGAGATCTCAAAAAAGAGTCGAAAAAAGTGTCCTTAGGCAAGACACCTCCCACAACATTAGAATGAGCCTGGTGTGTGAGTGGTTGTGGGAGGGGCTCTTGCTTCTTGTCAGTGTGCCCAGGGCAGCTGTGGGGCTACAGTAGTAGGTTTATCACCAGAGTGTTTGGCGAGAAAGAAGTACCAGTGGCCTTGCGAAAGTATTCGGCCCCTTGAACCTTTCAACATTTCCCACATTTCAGGCTTCAAACATAAAGATATACAATTTTAATTTTTTGTCATGAATCAACAACAAGTGGGACACAATCGTGAAGTGGAACCAAATTTATTGGATTTTTTAATTTGAACTTTTTTAACAAATAAAAAAATGAAAAAAGTGGGCCGTGCAATATTATTTGGCCCCTTTACTTTCAGTGCAGCAAACTCAGTCCAGAAGTTCAGTGAGGATCTTTGAATGATCCAATGTTGTCCTAAATGACTGATGATGATAAATAGAATGCACCTGTGTGTAATCAAGTCTCCGTATAAATGCACCTGCTCTTTGATAGTCTCAGGGTTCTGTTTAAAGCGCAAAGAGAACCATGAAGACAAAGGAACACACCAGGCAGGTCCGAGATACTGTTGTGGAGAAGTTTAAAGCCGGATTTGGATACAAAAAGATTTCCCAAGCTTTAAACATCTCAAGGAGCACTGTGCAAGCAATTATATTGAAATGGAAGGAGTATCAGACCACTGCAAATCTACCAAGACCCGGCCGTCCCTCCAAACTTTCATCTCAAACAAGAAGACTGATCAGAGATGCAGCCAAGAGGCCCATGATCACACTGGAACTGCAGATAGCTACAGCTGAGGTGGGAGGGAGAGTCTGTCCATAGGACAACAATCAGTCGTGCACTGCACAAACCTGGCCTTTAGTTTAGTTTATTCACAATTCACACAGTCCCTAAAAGTACATGTGTTACATTGTGAAAATGGAAACTCCCAGAAGCAGAAGCTTTTACATTAGGGGTCCATCACACCACCACCACCACAGTCACAAACCTACAGTCAATCATATAGTCATCATCAGTGTTGGGTGTAACGCGTTACTAAGTAACGCGTTACTGTAACGAAAATTACAATTTGAGTAACGTAGTAGTGTAACGCGTTATTATGAAAATACGTTTCATTATATTACAGTTACTACCTAAATACTTCGTTACCGGCGGCACCGGCCTCGGGAAAGCAGGGGAGAACTGCACTACCGCTCCATGCGTGCCTGCGTGCTTACGTCACGCTGCGCACATGAGCGAGATTGTTTGTAAAGCAACATGGCAGAGTCAGAGGAGAAGAGTTCTTTTTACCGGTGGAGATATGCACACTATTTCAACTACATCAGTCAAAAAGATAAAAACGTTTGTCGTGGAGTGCAAGCTTTGCGCGGGCAGCAAACGATTGCCCCGTTCACATGCTCCGGGCTCTGCGCACTGTATTTTCCCTGATTTTTTTCTGTCAGGCGTGACGGCTGCTCGTGTGTGTCTGTGGGAACTAATTATTTTAAAATAGTCTCTTTCAATTGCAAGTTTTGTAATGTGTTTTCTTTGATCAATGGATAAAAATAAATGCTATATAATTTAAATGACACCTTGGCCTGTCTTATTATTACCCGTGTGCCTGCGTGACAGTTCCCTGAACTAACATATAACACTAATACTAAAATAGGGTGGCGTTGTTGAAACAATTAATCTACTTAGAAGTTATCCTAAATTACAACCAGCTAAAACTCGGTACCACGACAAACGAAAAAGAAACGCAATAGTTACTTTTACTGGTAACTAGTTACTTTTATAGTGCAGTAACTAAGTTTGTAACTTAATTACTTTTTGGGAGCAGTAACTAGTAACTGTAACTAATTACTTTTTCAAAGTAACTTACCCAACACTGGTCATCATACAGTCTATCAATCATATCCTGTTTGGAGAAATAATAATAATAAAAATAAAAAATCATAATACAAATAAAAATGTGTATATATATATATAATATAAATAATAATTATAATAAAAATAAATAATAATTATAATAAAAAATAAATAATAATAATAATAATAAAAAGTAAATAGTGCTCCAGAATACATAATAATAATAATGACAATAAAGATAATAATCCTAAATCAATAACAATAATAGATAAAGAATAAAAAATAATAACATCTTCACCACACTTCAAGGAAGTACAGGACACTTAGGCAGGCGAAGCTGCTGAATGCTCATCCCCGCTACCAAAAATAATTATATAGTAATGATAAGAATAATATTTAATGTATTCCTAATATGTAGTTGTAAGTGTTTGCAGCTGGAGTTTACTGTAGGGTAACTTCTGCCAGCCCTGAGATCATGGCTGTGAAAGAGAGATCTACCTCTCGCCTCAGACAGAGGTAGATATATGGATTCTATATGGATTCCTAAGAATTTTATAACTTCAACTTTATTAATGGTTTTACTATCAATGGTTATATTAATATTTGGATTGTGGTACAGATGACTGTTTGAGTGAAAGAGTGAAATTTATGCAAGAGTGGCAAGAAGAAAGCCATTTTCTCAAAGATTATCCATAAAAAGTCTCGTTTAAAGTTTGCCACAAGCCACCTGGGAGACACACCAAACATGTGGAAGAAGGTGCTCTGGTCAGATGAAACCAAAATCGAACTTTTTGGCCACAATGCAAAATGATATGTTTGGCGTAAAAGCAACACAGCTCATCACCCTGAACACACCATCCCCACTGTCAAACATGGTGGTGGCAGCATCATGCTTTGGGCCTGCTTTTCTTCAGCAGGGACAAGGAAGATGGCTAAAATTGATGGGAAGATGGATGGAGCAAATACAGGACCAATCTGGAAGAAAACCTGTTGGAGTCTGCAAAAGACCTGAGACTGGGACGGAGATTTATCTTCCAACAGGACAATGATCCAAAACATAAAGCCAAATCTACAATGGAATGGTTCACAAATAGACGTATCCAGGTGTTAGAATGGCCAAGTCAAAGTCCAGACCTGAATCCAATCGAGAATCTGTGGAAAGAGCTGAAGACTGCTGTTCACAAACGCTCTCCATCCAACCTCACTGAGCTCGAGCTGTTTAGCAAGGAAGAATGGGCAAGAATTCCAGTCTCTCGATGTGCAAAACTGATCGAGACATACCCCAAGCGACTTGCAGCTGTAATTGCAGCAAAAGGTGGCGCTACAAAGTATTAGCGCAAGGGGGCCGAATAATATTGCACGCCCCACTTTTCAGTTTTTTATATCTTTATGTTTGAAGCCTGAAACGTGGCGAAATGTTGAAAGGTTCAAGGGGGCCGAATACTTTCGCAAGGCACTGTATGTCTGAGTATCGTCTTTGAGCAACGCTGTATAAAACTGATGCATTATTATTAAAATCAAATAAAAAACATTTTGACTTGACTAATAACTTGCTTGTACAAAGGTTATAAACATGAAACCAGATCTGCATGAGTTACATAAGAGTTTATTTGGCCCCAGTTTTAGTATAAATCAACATTTGCTTCGACAACTCTATAATTATGTGTGATGTAAGTAAGTAAGTAAGTTTTTATTTATATACCGCCTTTTCACTGCAGATCTGAGTCTCAAAGCGGTTTACAATTGTTAATTTTGGGCATTTGTCTCTCACTCCTCACAGAGATGGGAGCGAGGTCGCAGTACAGGAGGCGCATGCCAGACCTATTGTACATATTTTTAGTGGTAGGGGAAACCGGAGTACCCGGAGGAAACCTACGCAGACACGGGGAGAACATGCAAACTCCACTCAGAAAGGCCCTGGTCCGGCCGGGATTCGAACCCAGGACCTTCTTGCTGAGAGGCGAGAGTGCTATCCACTCAGCCACCGTGCCGCCCATAGTGTAACAGGAGAGACGATGTAACAGGAGAGACATTAAATAACAAACTGGAGATTAAAACATTCACTATTTACACAACTCCTAAATTCATCCCAAACTCCCCCGTGGCCACGCCCACAGTTTGTACGGTGGGCAAGTCACGGAAGAACATACATGTGTCACAGATAGGGGTGGGAACCTAAGGGTATGAGTGTGTTGTGTGTATGAGTGTGTTTTGTGTGTACGTGAGTGTGTTTGTGTGTATGAGTGTGTTTTGTGTGTATATGAGTGTGTTTTGTGTGTATTTTGTGTGTATGTGAGTGTGTATGAGTGTGTTGTGTGTATGAGTGTGTTTTGTGTGTACGTGAGTGTGTTTGTGTGTATGAGTGTGTTTTGTGTGTATATGAGTGTGTTTTGTGTGTATATGAGTGTGTTTTGTGTGTATTTTGTGTGTATGTGAGTGTGTATGAGTGTGTTTTGTGTGTATATGAGTGTGTTTTGTGTGTATGAGTGTGTTTTGTGTGTATGAGTGTGTTTTGTGTGTATGTGAGTGTGTTTTGTGTGTATATGAGTATTTTGTGTATATGTGAGTGTGTTGTGTGTATGAGTGTTTTGTGTGCATATGAGTGTGTTTTGTGTGTATATGAGTGTATTTTGTGTATATGTGAGTGTGTTGTGTGTATGAGTGTGTTTTGTGTGCATATGAGTGTGTTTTGTGTGTATATGAGTGTATTTTGTGTGTATATGAGTGTATTTTGTGTGTATATGAGTGTATTTTGTGTGTATATGAGTGTATTTTGTGTGTATATGAGTGTGCTTTGTGTGTATATGAGTGTATTTTGTGTGTATATGAGTGTGCTTTGTGTGTATATGAGTGAATTTTGTGTGTATATGAGTGTATTTTGTGTGTATACGAGTGTGCTTTGTGTGTATATGAGTGTATTTTGTGTGCATATGAGTGTGTTTTGTGTGCATATGAGTGTGTTTTGTGTGTATATGAGTGTATTTTGTGTGTATATGAGTTTGCTTTGTGTGTATATGAGTGTATTTTGTGTGTATATGAGTGTATTTTGTGTGTATATGAGTGTGCTTTGTGTGTATATGAGTGTGTTTTGTGTGTGTGTATGTTTTGTGTGTATACGAGTGTGGTATTGATTGTGGGGGCAGGACAGGGGCCTGCAGTAGACTTGTTTGGGGCGGTGCAAGGCCTCCTGCTGCTGGAGCTGGGGGCAGGGCCTGTGTGTGTGTGTGTGTGTGTGTGTGTGTGTGTGCGTGTGTTTGAGGGCGTGTGTGTGTTGTTTATCAGGGCCGGGCCGATGTTACATGTTCAGGCTTATCCACAGAGAAACACAGAACACAGTGTTTGGATAAAGACACCTTACACAGACGGTCTGGCACTGGACTAGAACCAGATCCTTTTGGTTTCTGGGACTGGCCTAGAACCAGAACCTTGTGGCTTCTGTTTGACATATGGCGGTAACAGGTCTTCGTATCGAGGGCAATAGGGGCTGTGTGAAGAATGACACATAATAATGACACAAATCCAGAAATGGTGTTAATCCAAAAAAACAGATTAACCTTCTGTCGGACCTGTGCTTGTTCTAAATAATTAATAAATAAAGATAATTATCAAATTATCTTTATGGAGCTTTGCACATTGTCATTTTTAATCTAAAATAATACTTCTGGGAAATGTATTAAGAAGTGTCATATTTTACACTTGCTCATAACAGCGTCTCGTTTCAATACTAACTTCTGCCTCCTCCATTGTCGATACTTTGCTTTTGACAACCTTAGCTTTTTTATTGTGTCTAAAGTATTATGAAGAAATGTCTATGCTCTTATATAGGGCATGCAGTGTTGCCATGGTAACCGGTGTAGGCATAAACGTGTTGACACCGGGCACAGGTCTGCGGCGTGGCCTGAAGTCCACTGTACTCATTAAAGCTGGAGTACCTAACTTTTGTTGTTTTATAAATTGTTAGTATTATATGTTAGTAAGGCAAGGCAAGTTTATTTGTATAGCACAATTCATACACAAGGCAATTCAAAGTGCTGAACAAAACAAGAAAGCATTAAAATCATAAATAATCACAGAACATTAAAAGAAAGATAAAAATATAAAATATAAAATCCCTCAGTTGTAGCACAGCTAAACAGAACTGTCTTTAACCTGGTTTTAAACATTGTCATTGAGGAGGCCTGTCTCACATCTTCAGGAAGACTGTTCCAGATTTTAGCAGCATGAATCTGAAAAGCAGCCTCCCCATGTTTAGTTCTGACTCTGGGCACTAACAGGAGTCCAGTCCCTGTGCTCCTCAGAGTCCCAGCAGGAGTCCAGTCCTTGTGCTCCTCAGAGTCCCAGCAGGAGTCCAGTCCCTGTGCTCCTCAGAGTCCGGGCTGGTTCATATGGGACTAACATGTCAGATTTGTACACACAGATTTGAGATTTGTACACGAGCAGAGCTGTTTTAAAGTCTATTCTCTGAGCCACAGGAAGCCAGTGCAGAGACCTGAGAACTGGACTAATGTGGTCGTACTTCCTGGTTCTAGTCAGGACTAATGTGGTCGTACTTCCTGGTTCTAGTCAGGACTAATGTGGTCATACTTCCTGGTTCTAGTCAGGACTAATGTGGTCGTACTTCCTGGTTCTGGTCAGGACTCGAGCTGCTGCATTTTGAATGTACTGCCGTAGTAACAATATCCAGGAACCATCCTCAGATGTTGATGCTCCGAGTCAGGACCAGAGCTGGAGGATTTTACCTATTGTACATGGGTTTAGGGGCAGGGGAAACTGGAGCACCCGGAGGAAACCTACGCAGACACGGGGAGAACATGCAAACCTTACTCAGAGATCCTGTTCCGACCGGGATTCGAACCTGACCCAAGAAGCGAGATTGTCAAGTATCTATTCATCTAAGTACATACTCTCTAAATTCAAAGATATATCCGACAATCTGCTGCTGGAAAAGATCTAAAGACTAAGGCCAGAAACATGTAAAACTAAAGTAAGTAATGTTTATTTATATAGCACATGTTACAGACCAAGGTACAGACCCAAAGCACCTGGGGTCCAGAACACACTGGACCATCAAAGCCTCTGACCCAACACCATCCATTCACTCTCTCATTTACATTCAGACCTATTGTGCATGCTTTTAGTGGTAGGGGAAACCGGAGCACCAGGAGGAAACCTACGTAGACACGGGGAGAACATGCAAACTCCACTCAGATAGGCCCTGTTCCGACCGGGATTCGAACCCAGGACCTTCTTGCTGAGAAGCGAGAGCTGTGCCGATGGGAAGATGGAACCAAGTGTTTTCAAAGCTAGAAACTGGTTTGGTTCAAAGTGAAATGTTTATTCTGTGAAAGCATCTAGGGACAGAGAAACCGGTCTGTAACTAGTTATCTTAAAATTTGTTTATGTTGGAATAAACAAATTGAAATCATTGTCTCCCCGATATTAGTCAAGTTGAATATTTGACTTGTTTTCATGTTTATTGGTTTATTTTCTCTGAATACGGAAAAAGCGTGGTTCAAATCATCGGCGTGTCAATGAATGTTTTTGTATCAGAAGTTCAGAAGTCACATTTGACCAGAGTGAGAAGATTCCACATTAGCGTTGGCGTCCGGAGCCACTGGAGCAGGTTTCCCACATTCCAGTCGTGTTTGTGTGACTTTGTTCTGAGTGCGGAGGCAGCGCACTGACTCCGCTTCTCTCACTGGATCAAACCAGGAAATACTTCTGTTCCTGCTCCTCCGACACGCCTCCTGCTCCTCCGTCACGCCTCCTGCTCCTCCGTCACATGTGGGACCTGACGTTTCCGTGTGTCACTCTCAGTCACAGAGTCATTGCGTGTCTATTCTGTGCTGAGTGAGCAGAGTTAGCACACACCCTGTTAGCGAATGTGGCTAATCATTTACACCGAGTGCTTTCCGTTTGCCGACACTTGTCAAACACGACCAGACGGCATGTTTCAAACGACTATTATCCAAGACTAAGAAAGGAATTAGACTTGACAAATATGCTGAATAATTGTACATTATACAACTATTGAAAAAGCCCTAATACATAATAGATTGCTGTAAGTGTGTGTGTGTATAAGGCCAGACAAAAAAAAAACTCAAATTCAAGTCAAATACGGCTCAAATGTGGATAAATTTACCTTAGATTGTCCTCCTGCTGCTTGTCCAATGAAATACATTCTGTTTTGAGGCCTTGCTTTCTCTCACTGGCCTAAAGGATTATCATTTGTTCCAATATACAGTCATAACTCTTCTGAAGAACAAGACTGGAAAGCCCTAAAGCAGGATTCTCCGATCCTAAACCAAGACCCTGGGTCTGGGGGCTGTGTACATCCAGAGTCCTGGTAAACACAGAATCATTCAAATATCAGGTGTTAGCAGAACGGGTCGAGCTGAGACGGAGTTTGGGAGTGCGGCGTCACAGCAGGAAATATGAGGTTTCTTTGTGCATCAGATTTTATGGTCCAGTCATTTTAAATCTACGTCTGAAAGTCATATGTGCACCGCCCCAAATCAGATCAGTGGTTTTTCTGTGTATTTCCAAAGTTTCAGTGACTGTGGTTGAATCGTTCCTTTGTTTACAGTCTGTGCAGAACATTCCGGAATCCAAAATGTTCCGAGCTGCAGAGGCTAATGCGTTTCCAAACTCTTATGCAATTCATGTTGGAAAGAGGAGTGGGAGGAGGGGGGGATCCAGGTCGGGGAGTGCAGTCCCGGGTCGCGTGCTGGGACATGTATCACAGAGGGATGGGGGAGAGAGAGGGAGGGAGAGGGGAGAGAGGGGAGGAGGGAGGGATGAAGAGAGGGGGAAGGAGGGGGGAGAGGAGGGAAGGGGGAGAGAGGGAAGGAGGGGGGGAGAGGGAGGTAAACAAGTGCAGTGTGCTCATAACAACAGAACTGTCCTGGACTGGCCTTGTGCCTCCACAGCCCGTGAAGCACCAGCACCTAAAGCAACAGCACCTGAAGCAACAGCACCTGAACCAACAGCACCTGAAGCACCAGCTCCTGAAGCAACAGCACCTGAAGCAACAGCACCTGAAGCACCAGCTCCTGAAGCAACAGCACCTGAAGCAACAGCACCTGAAGCACCAGCACCTGAAGCACCAGCACCTGAAGCACCAGCACCTGAAGCAACAGCACCTGAAGCAACAGCACATGAAGCAACAGCACCTGAAGCACCAGCACCTAAAGCAACAGCACCTGAAGCAACAGCACCTGAAGCACCAGCACATGAAGCAACAGCACCTGAAGCAACAGCACCTGAAGCACCAGCACATGAAGCAACAGCACCTGAAGCACCAGCACATGAAGCAACAGCACCTGAAGCAACAGCCCCTGAAGCACCAGCCCCTGAAGCACCAGCCCCTAAAGCAACAGCACCTGAAGCAACAGCACCTGAAGCAACAGCACCTGAAGCAACAGCACATGAAGCACCAGCACATGAAGCAACAGCACCTGAAGCACCAGCCCCTGAAGCACCAGCCCCTGAAGCACCAGCCCCTGAAGCAACAGCACCTGAAGCACCAGCACATGAAGCAACAGCACCTGAAGCACCAGCACCTGAAGCAACAGCACCTGAAGCACCAGCACCTGAAGCAACAGCACCTGAAGCACCAGCACATGAAGCAACAGCACCTGAAGCAACGGCCCCTGAAGCAACGGCCCCTGAAGCAACAGCCCCTGAAGCAACAGCCCCTGAAGCACCAGCACCTAAAGCAACAGCACCTGAAGCAACAGCACCTGAAGCACCAGCACATGAAGCAACAGCACCTGAAGCAACAGCCCCTGAAGCACCAGCCCCTGAAGCACCAGCCCCTGAAGCACCAGCACCTAAAGCAACAGCACCTGAAGCAACAGCACCTGAAGCACCAGCACATGAAGCAACAGCACCTGAAGCACCAGCCCCTGAAGCACCAGCCCCTGAAGCACCAGCCCCTGAAGCAACAGCACCTGAAGCACCAGCCCCTGAAGCAACAGCCCCTGAAGCACCAGCACCTAAAGCAACAGCACCTGAAGCAACAGCACCTGAAGCAACAGCACCTGAAGCACCAGCACATGAAGCAACAGCACCTGAAGCAACAGCACCTGAAGCAACAGCACCTGAAGCAACAGCACATGAAGCACCAGCACATGAAGCAACAGCACCTGAAGCACCAGCCCCTGAAGCACCAGCCCCTGAAGCACCAGCCCCTGAAGCAACAGCACCTGAAGCACCAGCACATGAAGCAACAGCACCTGAAGCACCAGCACCTGAAGCAACAGCACCTGAAGCAACAGCACCTGAAGCACCAGCACCGGAAGCAACAGCACCTGAAGCACCAGCACATGAAGCAACAGCACCTGAAGCAACAGCCCCTGAAGCAACGGCCCCTGAAGCAACAGCCCCTGAAGCAACAGCCCCTGAAGCACCAGCACCTAAAGCAACAGCACCTGAAGCAACAGCACCTGAAGCAACAGCACCTGAAGCACCAGCACATGAAGCAACAGCACCTGAAGCAACAGCCCCTGAAGCACCAGCCCCTGAAGCACCAGCCCCTGAAGCACCAGCACCTAAAGCAACAGCACCTGAAGCAACAGCACCTGAAGCACCAGCACATGAAGCAACAGCACCTGAAGCACCAGCCCCTGAAGCACCAGCCCCTGAAGCACCAGCCCCTGAAGCAACAGCACCTGAAGCACCAGCCCCTGAAGCAACAGCCCCTGAAGCACCAGCACCTAAAGCAACAGCACCTGAAGCAACAGCACCTGAAGCAACAGCACCTGAAGCACCAGCACATGAAGCAACAGCACCTGAAGCACCAGCACCTAAAGCAACAGCACCTGAAGCAACAGCACCTGAAGCAACAGCCCCTGAAGCAACAGCACCTGAAGCAACAGCACCTGAAGCAACAGCACCTGATCAATCAGGATCCAAACTGTAGCAGACTGAAAGAGACATCTCCTTGTAACTGCTTTTTACACATTTACGTGTTTGAAACAGGAAGTAGCTTCACATTAGTCCTGCTCTCAGGTCTCTGCGGCTCAGAGAAGAGACTTTAAATCAGCTCTGATTGTTACAAGTCTCTCCATGGCCTCGTACCAAAGTACATCTGTGACATGTTAGAACACAGGGACTGGCCTCATGCTGGGACTCTGAAGGAGCACAGGGACTGGCCTCATGCTGGGACTCTGAAGGAGCACAGGGACTGGCCTCATGCTGGGACTCTGAAGGAGCACAGGGACTGGCCTCATGCTGGGACTCTGAAGGAGCACAGGGACTGGCCTCATGCTGGGACTCTGAAGGAGCACAGGGACTGGCCTCATGCTGGGACTCTGAAGGAGCACAGGGACTGGCCTCATGCTGGGACTCTGAAGGAGCACAGGGACTGGCCTCATGCTGGGACTCTGAGGAGCACAGGGACTGGCCTCCTGCTGGGACTCTGAGGAGCACAGGGACTGGCCTCATGCTGGGACTCTGAGGAGCACAGGGACTGGCCTCCTGCTGGGACTCTGAAGGAGCACAGGGACTGGCCTCCTGCTGGGACTCTGAGGAGCACAGGGACTGGCCTCCTGCTGGGACTCTGAGGAGCACAGGGACTGGCCTCCTGCTGGGACTCTGAGGAGCACAAGGACTGGCCTCCTGCTGGGACTCTGAGGAGCACTGAATGTCAGATTCGTACTAAAAACCTGTCTTCCTGAAAATGTGAGACAGACTTTTTCTCTGACCAGGTTCAAATTCAGATTATTTATGTCTTATTTTAAAGTAATACGTGTGATCTGTGCAATACAAATAAACTGTCTTTCCCAGGACGACTCAAAACATAAAATAATGAAAATTTGGGCCAGAAAACAACATTTTTAAGGAACCAAGAAGAAAACCCAGAAGTGAGCGCTCGGAGGATTTAGGGAGAGCTCTGAGTGAATTGTATATCTGAGAGAAATATGCCTGTATATCATTTGAACTCCTGTAAAGAGAAAAGTTTGTAACAAGGGGTAGGAAGCATAAGTTTCACTTCTACCTACTCCTTTTCGAATTGTGCATATATATGTTTATATGTTTCTTCTTTTTGTTTTGTTTTGTATTGCGCATGTAATTCGAAATAAACACTATTACTACTACTACTATTAGTGAGAAATGAGGATAATGAGGAGAAACTCTGAGTCTAAGGTCTATGCCCGGGGTTAATGTTCTGTTCACGTTTCATAGATTTCCATATTTAGTGTTCAGCCCTCGGCCTGAGTGTGTTGGTTTTGGAAAATAGAGTTTAAAAATGTTGATAAAAATCTATTGAGCGCTGAGTGTCAGAAACAAACATGGATTTATTGAAGAAAAAGTTCAAAGTTTAAAGTTTTCTGTATTGTCGACTTGTGGAAGTTGGTTTTTTGTGGCAAACACATAGAGTCTGTGTAAGGATCGATAATAAAGTAATAAAGGTCTATAAAACATGGAGAACATCCATCCATCCATTTTCTACCCTTTAATCCATTTCTGGGTCAGGGGGGTGGCAGTCAGAGATGCCACCCAAGTCTCATAGCACCAGCCCCTCACTGATCCTCTGCAGGTGGTGAGTCCACAGGAGGACAGCTGCTCTCTGAGTGTGAGCATAGCCTTGATCTTTCAGTGGGGGCTTTGGGCAAAGTGGGGTTAAGTGTCTTGCCCAAGGACACAACGACAGCAGTCATCAGTGGGAGTCGGTGGAGAAGGTGTAGAGGTGGGAATTGAACCCACGACCTTCAGGCCTGAAGGCCAATGCTCTACCAACTGAGCTACTGTCGCCCCAACATGGAGAACACAAATGTAAAATATATCATGATACTGTATAACAAAAATATTATCATCCAGGATCATGTGTTATTCTTTAAATGCGAAAGAGGCTGGCTAGCTACAGGTAGCTCCCAAGCTACAGGTTGGAGAGCCCTGATGTAGTGTATGCGCTCTGTGGCAGCTGCTTCCCGTCTTATGTGTGTGTGTGGAGCTGTACGGGCTGTTTGGTGATTAATGGTTGCGTCAGGAGCAGAGCAGCCACTCAAGACAGAGACAGAGCTGCTTATGTAACAAGTACACACACTTCTACACACCACTACACACTCCCTCCTGCTGCTACACACCACTACACACAGCTACACACTACTACACAAGCGGCTTATCTCCGGCTCAAACTGTTCCACAACAACAACACGCTGTACGCAGCTAAACATCACTGACGCCAAACAGGAAGTGGAAGAAAGTGTGTTATTGGGGTTTTGGAGGGTCTTGAAAGAGAGTCCAAAGGGTCCAGAGGGAGAGTCCAGAGTGAATCCAGAGGGTCCTGTCTGAGAGACAGTCCAGAGAGAGGGTCCAGAGGGTACTGTGAGTGTTTGTCTCTTTGTGTTGCAGCAGGTTCCATGTAGATGGTGCTTTCCTAACTTCCCGAAAGCTCTGTGAGTGTTCACCAGTTCACTTCCTGATTTTCAGAGCTCTGTACTGAGTCAGGACTGAGACTGAGACCAGGACTGAGACTGAGACCAGGACTGAGACTGAGACCAGGACTGAGACTGAGACCAGGACCGAGACTGAGACCAGGACTGAGACTAGGACTGAGACATAAGATTCAGATTCATTTATTTGCCATTTGCAGTAAAACCACATAGGAAAAACTGTGCAAGACTACCCCGGTGTGCACACACACCAGAGCTCTTGCCACGGCGCCATCTTTACGGCGCCATGCGACATGGCAGGACTAAGACGGAGACCAGGACTGAGACCTGGATCTCTCTGGTCACAAAGGCTTACAACCACATGAGTACATGCACTGGGACAATGCGACAGAAATAAAGAATATTCTTAGTTGACGCCACAAAGAAAATCATTTTGAATACTGAATAATTCCTTTCTGTGGTTTTTTGAAACCCATAACCTTATTCTGAATACTTCATATACGCTCAACCAGAAAAATAAAATGTATATGATCAGAATCAGACATTTTTCTATTGCCATTGTAACAGGAAGTCACAAACTGAATATTGCTCTGGCTCTCAGTGCAAACAAGTTCTAAAAGTAAACATAGAATAAGACAACACAATGTACACACATGTATACATACATGTACATAGATGTATATATGTACACACTCGGATTGGATTGATTTAGATTTCAGTTTTAAATGAGGTAGAGTTAATACTGAAACTATTCTGTTCAGGTTTGCTACTCGTCCAGGTTGAAATATTTATTTACAAAACTTCATAGTCATACGAGTTATACACATTGTATTTGTAAAGTTGGTTTGTGTTTTGTAAAAGGGAACTCCCAGGAAGCTGCATTAGCCCCAAAAACAACACATGTTAAACAAATGTGATGATTTATACCTTTTGAATAGAATAGGATTTGTCTCTGTAGTAGATCAATAGTAAATCATTACTATCAGCCGTGTGCACCGTGGCTTGTGTAAGTATAACAGTATTTTTGACAGTTCTTTTGTGCGTAAACAACTTAAAGGTGTAATGAGAAAAGCCGGCCTCGGGGGATGGAGCTGCAGGTCAGAGGATAAATGCTCATGAATTATCAATGCCCTGGTCCATTGTTGCGTCGATGACTAATTCTTAAGCCTGGAAATGCGATCAGCTGTGGAGACCTCAGTTGCCAGGGCCGACAGAGAACACATCACCCCTGTACCTCTGACGCAATCAAACAGAATCCCCAACACAGCTACAGCAACACAAAATGTCTCCTTCATATTTGACTGGGAACTAGACGAGCACAATAAGGCCATAACACACACACACAGCAGTCAAAGTCTTATTGTATTTAATCAGAGGGATGTGCGGACAGTCCCTGAGCTTTAACTGTCATTTATGAACCACTTCTGGCTTTTCAGAGAGAAGCATTGTCAAAGCTATTGTGCACAAAGCCTTTAAAACGACAGCAATAACCACGGAACAATAACTCACACATTCATTGCAGAGTTGTTATTGAGCTGCTTCTGGCATTTGTTTATACTGCTGTGAAAGCGTTCCCAGTTTAAAAAGGTAAATGTAAACTAAACACGTGTAGTTTCATAATGATTCAAATCTTTCATAGGAGTTATGTGATGTCAATGAGAAAATCTAGTTAAAAAGCAGTTTTGTCAATGGAAAACCTGTATATTTATGTATATAACCATAGAATATTGTGTGATCCTAGTATGTAAACAAAGAAAAGTTTAACTTACAAACCACAAAACAGACATGATGGGTTTGTTGCTAGCTGTCAAAACCGTTTTGGTCAATATCTAGCTTTCATTATGCACTTTTGGTCTCTGTCACATATTTACATCATACTTATAAGCAAACAGACGACCACCCGCACTCGGCCAATCAGCTCTCAGTACTTTACAGACATTATATGTTTGCTAGAAAGGTAAATACAGCATTTTGTTTGTGGTATTTGACACAGACAAAATGTACTGATGAAAAAAACATCCAGCTTCAACAGACAAAGAGTGAGTAAAGAGCTAAAAAACGAATAGCTAGTAAAGAACTTTTATTTAGTTATTAGTTGAGTACTTAAGCAGTTTTATGAGCACATCTGTCTTATGTCACTATTTTGGCATTTTGACACATACTGGTACTGGCGCCCTTATTTATGCCTAACAAAAACACGTCATCTATTTATCTATTTAAATTATGGACATGACAATACATCACACATTACAATTACGTTTCAAATAACTGTCTTCTTGTCTCACAAATGTAATGATCAGAAAGAAGTAAAATAATCTTATGTTGCCCCTTTCTTTCAACAATATTAACTCCTCCTTCAAACTGTTTTTCTTTTGTTTGTTTTTAAAGTTAATTATCTTTTATTACATTGTTATTTTCTTATTTTTCTAATTATTTATTTCATACTATTTCACTATTTTTCTTGTTATGTAATCTATTTTCAACACACAACAGCTGCTTATGTCCACACTATTATATCATACTTATTTATCCTAGTGTTAGCTTTAGGCTCGATAGACAGTTAGCATGGAGCTAAAGGCTAACACTAAACAGAGAACAGCTGATTGACTGTGGCCGCTTTTGGACACCCCGGAAAAGGACCATCTGCAGGGGACACAAATACACCCCGAGCAGCAGGCCCCGGGGGTCCCTGTCCCACCACCACAGCTTTCACACCAGACTCACCCAGATATATGTCTCCGAACGACCCACTGCCGATCTTTCTGCCCAGTCTGTATCTGTTCCCAACCCTCAGCTCCATGGTCGGCGATCTGTGTACGGCTAGCAAGCGCTGGCTAGCTTAACCAAATCCACAAAAATCTGTTTAGAAAGACCAGGGTGTGTAGGATCCAACCAGGCGGAAATCTGGACCCAAAACAATTCTATAAAAGCAAAAAGAGGGTCTTCTTCACGTCTCCTCCCGGGGACCAGCTCCCACAATCTTTCACCACTTGTTTTAAAATGATAACGACGTCATATCGGTCCAATACGCGGTGGGTCGCGACGCTGGACGTGTGGACGTGATGCTCCTGGAGGTTACAAAGTCCAAAAAGCTAAAATGTCCGCGGATGAAGATGGATTTTGAGGAGATCGTCTTGGCATTATCTGTATGTTTCACGAGCTCTCTGGTCTCTGCCTTGTTCGGCTCTCACAGCAGGATGACCTCACTTCCGTGTTGGGGGAGGGGGCGGGGCCACCAGAGACGCTTTCAGAAGAGATGGCGTTACAAGAACTGAAAGATAAAACACGGTGAAACGGTTTCTCTATTCACTCTTTGTCTTGTCCACAACCACAAGCTATCTGCTCGGAGATCTGAGATGGGACGGATTTACACCTGATGCCCTTCCATCAGTCCAAAGACCTCTGTCAGACCAAAGACCAGCTCCGTCTCTCATAATGTACCACTGACGAAAGGCACAGTTTGAAGACAGAATGTACTTTTTGTTCAAAATAACTTTTCAGTGTCTGTATTAGCCAGAGCCTGTGTCGTTGGCGCTGCACATCCTTCTTGTGCTGCTTTCAACTGTGGATGTGAAATGAATTTGATAGTTTGGAAACGCACAGTCGTTCTGTGTAACTTATATGTTCCTCATAAGTGCGTTCTCACATCATGGAGTGGAATAAACTGACCTTCAGAAAAAACACACAGAGAATTCATAAAGTTTCAGTGATGGAGATATATTTGATTAGGTGAACTACGAGAGTCACTTAAAACTAACCCAACAGTGAAACATAGACAGACTTCTGTTTTCAACTAAACACAAGGAGCGTGTCAGACCAGGACCCCAACTGAGACCAACTGAGACCAACTAAGACCAACTGAGACCAACTAAGAGCAACTGAGACCCCAACAGAGACCAACTGAGACCCCAACTGAGACCAACTGAGACCAACTGAGACCAACTGAGACCAACTAAGACCAACTGAGACCAACTGAGACCAACTAAGACCAACTGAGACCCCAACTGACGCCAACTGAGACCAACTAAGACCAACTGAGACCAACTAAGACCAACTGAGACCCCAACTAAGATCCCAACTGAGACCCCAACTGAGACCAACTGAGACCAACTAAAACCCCAACTAAGACCCCAACTGAGACCAACTTAGACCTACTGAGACCAACTAAGACCAACTGAGACCAACTAAGACCAACTGAGACCAACTAAGACCAACTGAGACCCCAACTAAGACCCCAACTGAGACCCCAACTGAGACCAACTAAAACCCCAACTAAGACCCCAACTGAGACCAACTTAGACCTACTGAGACCAACTAAGACCAACTGAGACCAACTAAGACCAATTGAGACCAACTAAGACCAACTGAGACCCCAACTAAGACCCCAACTGAGACCAACTGAGACCCCAACTGAGACCAACTAAAACCCCAACTGAGACCCCAACTGAGACCAACTAAAACCCTAACTAAGACCCCAACTGAGACCCCAACTGAGACCAACTAAAACCCCAACTAAGACTCCAACTGAGACCAACTGAGACCCCAACTGAGACCAACTAAAACCCCAACTGAGACCCCAACTGAGACCAACTAAAACCCCAACTAAGACCCCAACTGAGACCCCAACTGAGACCAACTAAAACCCCAACTAATAAGACCCCAACTGAGACCAACTGAGACCCCAACTGAGAGAACAACTAAGACCGAGACTATAGTTGAGTTATTGTGATAATTGATATGAAGTTAAACCCACAGAGAAATGTTCCCACTTTATTTAGTTCAGGGACAGTGAATATTAATGAACATTTCTGTAAATGTCTCTCCTGAAAGACAAGAAAAAAAGTTTGCTACAGACGGTTAAAATAATGTGATCTACAGTATTTACAATATTTACAAGGACAAGACAAGCATCATTCAACAAACAATACACAATCATAAGGAGACACACACAGAACACACACAGAACACACACAGAGCAATTAACAGCAATATACAAGAACTGTACAAAGTAAAAGTATTCTGAGTATTGAGAGTACTGCATACTGACCCTGTGGAATATGTAACAAAAAATATTTTAAAGCTCTCCCCTGGTCCTCTGCTCTCCCATGGTCCTCTGCTCTCCCATGTTCCTCTGCTCTCCCCTGGTCCTCTGCTCTCCCCTGGTCCCCTGCTCTCCCCTGGTCCCCTGCTCTCCCATGGTCCTCTGCTCTCCCATGGTCCTCTGCTCTCCCATGTTCCTCTGCTCTCCCCTGGTCCTCTGCCCTCCCCTGGTCCTCTGCTCTCCCCTGGTCCCCTGCTCTCCCATGGTCCTCTGCTCTCCCATGGTCCTCTGCTCTCCCAGTTCCTCTGCTCTCCCTGGTCCTCTGCCCTCCCTGGTCCTCTGCTCTCCCCTGGTCCTCTGCCCTCCCTGGTCCTCTGCTCTCCCCTGGTCCTCTGCTCTCCCTGGTCCTCTGCTCTCCCCTGGTCCTCTGCTCTCCCCTGGTCCTCTGCTCTCCCCTGGTCCTCTGCTCTCCCTGTCCCTGCTCTCCCCTGGTCCTCTGCTCTCCCCTGGTCCTCTGCTCTCCCCTGGTCCCTGCTCTCCCCTGGTCCTCTGCCCTCCCTGGTCTTCTCTCCCTGGTCCTCTGCTCTCCCTGGTCCTCTGCTCTCCCCTGGTCTCTCCTGCTCTCTCCCTGGTCTCTCTCCCCTGTCCCCTCCCCCTGGTCCTCTGCTCTCCCCTGGTCCTCTGCCTCCCTGGTCCCCTCCCTGGTCCCTGCTCTCCCTGGTCCTGCTCTCCCTGGTCCTCTGCTCTCCCCTGGTCCTCTGCTCTCCCTGGTCCCCTGCTCTCCCCTGGTCCTCTGCTCTCCCTGGTCCTGCTCTCCCTGGTCCTCTGCTCTCCCCTGGTCCTCTGCTCCCCTGTCCCGCTCTCCCTGGTCCCTGCTCTCCCTGGTCCTCTGCCTCCCTGGTCCTCTGCTCTCCCTGGTCCGCCTCCCCTGGTCCTCTGCTCTCCCCTGGTCCCTGCTCTCCCCTGGTCCTCTGCTCTCCCCTGGTCCCCTGCTCTCCCCTGGTCCTCTGCCCTCCCCTGGTCCTCTGCTCTCCCCTGGTCCTCTGCTCTCCCCTGGTCCTCTGCCCTCCCCTGGTCCTCTGCTCTCCCCTGGTCCTCTGCTCTCCCCTGGTCCTCTGCCCTCCCCTGGTCCTCTGCTCTCCCCTGCTCCCCTGCACAAAGTTAATAATAATAATAATAATAATAAAAATAATAATCATAATCATAATCATAATAATAATAACGATAATAATAACAACATATTTCACATATATTGCACCCAGTGGCGGCCGGCCAATAGAGGGCGCTAGGGCGCCGCCCCACCACTCACAACTTGCCATGTTACCTTGAATAAAACGTTAAAAAAAATAATAACATTAAAATATTTCGAAATTTATGTGTGTTTTATTTCAGATGTGGAAGAAATACTTTATAGTTTATGCTGAGTTGGATTGATTAAGCTCATCAGCGTTGTCTGTGTCGGACTGAGGACGTATTTCCGCCTCAGGGCGCAAAAGATTGCGCCCTGAGCCGTCTATGGACTCTCGTTAAAAGTTGTACATGCGCAGTAGCTCCTCTTCAATGCAAGAGATAAGACGATTTGGGGGCGCAGGAGAAATGCGCCCTGAGGGGGCGGGATCGCCCGCGACCTGTACTGTCACTGTCTGTGACGTCCGTTTACAGTGATTGACAGGTCAAGCTGTGGGAGTTTGAGACGAACGTAAAGAGACGCAAAATGGAGAACGAAAAAAAGAATAATTCAGTTAGATCACTCAAAACAATACCGTTTGAGAGAAGATCATACCAGGAGAAGGTTGAGGTTAAAGAGCTTGGACCTGATCAGCCAAATATTACCATTAGTCAGCAGTCCAGCGACAGGGGGAGACGGTACACTCGTACTTTTTCCAGGACCTGGTTCAGCGCCAAATCTTGGCTAGCAGCATGTAGCGAGGCTAATGCTTTATTTTGCTTTCCATGCCTCTTGTTTCAAACATCAGGATCTGACCCAGCATGGATCAAGACAGGTATGACTGATCTGAAGCACTTTTTAGAAAAGGCAAAGAAGCATGAGCAGACTGGTATCCACATGCAAAATGCCCTCAAATTAGCTATGTTTGGGAAGATAAATGTTTCATCCCAGCTGGATGAAAGCTACAGGCCTGATCATGTGACCTTGTTGATTCTCGTGTGAGGCTTCAGTCACAACAGTCAGTGTAAACTTACTTACTGCTGGTATATATCTAGTCATCATATTCATAGCCCCCCCAGTAGAAAATTCCACCAGCCGCCACTGATTGCACCTTACATTTACAAAAAACTCAAAGTGCTACATATTAAAATACAATACAACAAACAGAGACAAAATCTAAATAAAATATTGATAAATCGCCCCATGTTTATGATCATAATGTAAAGTATGGAATGTCACATATGAAATACATAATGAACTTCTGTTCTCAGCTGTTATTGAATGTTTAACTGCACAGAGAATGTTTTTCGTTTTCATCCTTGTTGTTGAAATCTCCTCATGAAGAGTCTCTGTGCGCGTAACAAAAGAGCAACGGTCCCTTTGTCCGCTGCCCTTCGCTGTCGCCCTTTGACTTATTATGTTGTTTTGGAACCACGCACAAAAACAAACACACCTTTTTATATGTTCACACATTTACTCTTTTGTACAGTTAGTTAAGACCTTCATCAAAAATACGCATATTCCCGAGTGGTCATTGGTAAATTATTAAAAACTGAACAATATATCATTTTCATAATATTCAAAGTATTTGTTACACTTTACTGAAATGATAAATAACTGACAAACAACAACAACAAATGTTTGAAAATTACTGACAAGAAATTATGTTTTATTTTGACGACCCTTTTATTGTGAAATTCCCAGAGCCGGAAGTATCGTGTAGAGGCTGTAGTGTTGCAGTTTCCTGGTTCGTTCTGTCAGAGGAGTTTTACAAATGCTCTCTTGCCTTTAGTTTAGTCTGAGAACATGTCACAGCAGGAGGGAGACCGGGCGCAGATCCCGGAGCCCCCGGAGATAACTGCGGAGGACGGCGCTGCAGGGAACATGACCAGGTGCTGCATTTACTCCTTTACTACACTTTAATTTCCTCTTTTCAAATTAGAGAGACTAAATTCCATTCATTCTTCTGACATGTTGCTTAGTATTCTGTCCTTTCCATTTGTTTCCCAGTGCATATAGTGCGCATTAGACTATATGACTTTGAGTTTATTAATATACTATTAATATGTTCTATACATCTGCTAAATAACTTTAAAGCATACAGGATTTATTTAATATAATATGTTCTCACTAGTTTTGCTATACCGGCTCTACCTGCTGAGGAGGCTCAGGTCTTTTGGAGTGCAGGGGCCACTCCTGAAAACTTTCTCTGACTCTGTGGTGGCATCAGCCTCTTGTATGGTGTGGTCTGCTGGAGCAGCAGCATCACAGAGAGGGAAGAAGCTGGAACATCAGGAAGTCCAGCTCAGTCCTGGGCTGTTCCCTGGACACAGTGCAGCAGGTGGGGGACAGGAGGGTCCTGGACAAACTAACATGCTGGACCATGACTGTCGCCCCCTGCAGGACACTCTCTCTGCCCTGGAGAGCAGCTTCAGTGACAGACTTATTCACCCTCGCTCTGTGAAGGAGAGGTTCTGTAGGTCTTTCCTTCCTGCTGCTGTCAGACTGTACAATAAGAACTGCTGAGCCTGTAAATTTCATTCATCTGTAAATAAGTAACTTCTTAAATCATGTGCAATACTGCTCCTTCAGAATGTTGCCACTTAAGTAAGTAAGTAAAATGTATTTATAGAGCACCTTTCACAGATAAAAATCACAAAGTGCTGTACAAGGTAAAAGCAGAAATGAATGTACAATAGAAATAAGACAAAAATAGAAAATAAAATAAAAACAAGAAATCAACCAAAAGCTGTCCTAAAAAGAAGGGTCTTTAGTCCCTTTTTTAAAAGCATCGGCAGAGTTGACCACACGGAGGGACAGAGGCAGGGCGTTCCACAGTCTGGGGGCCACGGACTAGAAGGACCAGTCCCCCCGGGTCTTATAGCGGGTCTTTGGGACCGCAAGTAAATTCTGGCCTGTGGACCTACTTCTTACCCTGCTCTATATGTTCAGTACATAACTCTGCACTACTACAGTACATGTATATATTTTTTGACTGGTATTGAAGCATCTACAGCTATTTATGTTAGTTAAGAAACATAGCTACTATGTATTTTGTATATTGTGTGTGCTCCCTGTGTGCTCTTACTACTGTCCTGTCTGTGCGCTGCAACAACGAAATTTCCCCACTGTGGGACAAATAAAGGAACTCTTATCTTATACTGTTTTATTTTTTATTAACAGTATTATTCTTTATTATTATTATTATTATTTAGACGGTAACGACATTACCGTTGCTACTCTCGTTATTGTCGTTACCGCTGTGACTCTTGTTACGTCGTTACTGTTGTTACTGTCGTTACCGTTGTTACCGTCGTTACCGTCATTACTCTTGTTACCGTCGTTACTCTCAATACCGTTGTTACTGTTATCTTCTTCTTCTTTCCTCTGATGTGTTTTTAGTGTTTATTTATGGAATGTTAATGTTTGCAGTGAGTCGTGTTTGGACCTAGACCACAGCAGCGTCCACGAAGTGGTCCGGTTCGGGCCCTCGGCGCTCCCCGGTCAGTCCCATCCATGCGCTACGTAAATAAATGTGGTTAGCTATATCCATACTACACGCTAAAGTTAGCTCCAAAGCCCTGGAAGAATGTTTTCAGAGTCTATTTATGTGACATTAAATAAAAGTTATTCTCAGACGAGAGAGAGACCAGAGAGAGAGACCAGAGAGAGAGACCAGAGAGAGAGACCAGAGAGAGAGACCAGAGAGAGAGACCAGAGAGAGAGACCAGAGAGAGAGACCAGAGAGAGAGACCAGAGAGAGAGACCAGAGAGAGAGACCAGAGAGAGACCAGAGAGAGAGAGACCAGAGAGAGAGAGACCAGAGAGAGAGACCAGAGAGAGAGACAGAGAGAGAGACCAGAGAGAGAGACCAGAGAGAGAGACCAGAGAGAGAGACCAGAGAGAGAGACCAGAGAGAGAGACCAGAGAGAGAGACCAGAGAGAGAGACCAGAGAGAGACCAGAGAGAGACCAGAGAGAGACCAGAGAGAGACCAGAGAGAGACCAGAGAGAGACCAGAGAGAGAGACCAGAGAGAGAGACCAGAGAGAAAGACCAGAGAAAGACCAGAGAAAGACCAGAGAGAGACCAGAGAGAGAGACCAGAGAGAGAGACCAGAGAGAGACCAGAGAGAGACCAGAGAGAGACCAGAGAGAGACCAGAGAGAGACCAGAGAGAGACCAGAGAGAGACCAGAGAGAGACCAGAGAGAGACCAGAGAGAGACACACAGGGGTGATGTGTTCTCTTCTCCCTCACAGAGAGACAGTACGACCCGGACACCACAGAGCCGGTGATCTCGGGCCTGACGTCTTTGGAGGAACTTCTGTCCTGGAAGAGGAGCGAGGCCCACCCCTTCAACGTGTCCACTGTCCCCCGGTTGCCCAGAGACCCGCCCCTGTCCCAGACCCCCCACAGGACCCTGGTGTCACATGACATGATGGGCGGGTACCTGGACGACAGGTGAGCTCATTGTCATTGTGGACTTTTTGTATTATGTTAAATTTGTATTGTTTTTTTAAATTGTGTCTATGGCACTAATGTAGCTGGTGAGAGTAAACATGGCTATACCTGCAGGTGAAAGCCAGATCCTGTCAGACCTCTGAAGCAAAGCAGGGCAGGGCCTGGTTAGTACTGTGATGGGAGACCTCTGGGAACACCAGGTGCTACAGTGGGTCGGCTGCGGCTGTAAAGTGCCAAACTGTAGTTGTGTCCTTAGGCAAGACACTTCTAGCCTGGCTCTGCCAGACCCTTGTAGTTCTGCCATGCTCCACCAGAGGCGTTTGGCTGAACCACATGGGTCTGGTATCGACGCCATAGCGAACGCCTTCCCCAGATTATTTTTTAATCGACCAATCAGGATGGCCGGTGTTACGTGGGGTTTGCACTGCCTCCTCAAGCTTCTCTCATGCAGCAGCGAGAGGAATCCAAGATGGCGGACGTAAAGTCCGCGAATCTTTTTAAAAGAGTGAATACGATCGAATTAAGACACGGAGGTCACTTTTAATGCAATTTGAGGCGAGATGTTGATGGTTCTATGTTGATATATGTGTGTTTTAAGAGTCAAATGTTCCTGTAAAGTTCGGTTGAAGCACTGGTTCAGTGTTCCTGTTTACACACTATGTACCAGGGTTGCCAGGTTTGGTGGTTCCCGCATATTTTTTTCCAAGAGACTTGTAGGTATTAAATAAATAGAAAGACAATAAACAGAATCATGATAGCCCAAGTTGATTACATTACGTTTTTAGCCAAAAAATAATTCTGAGTGGTTTTTTTTGTGGGTATTCTTGCGGATTTTGGGTTGGAAAATCTTGCTGGGATTTGGCAACCTATGGGAGCCACGGGCTTCGATGTGAGTGGTTGAAAGCAGTCTTCATTCAAGATAACGGACAAGTGGTCTATCCAATCACATACAAGGATTTTTTTTACAAGGCCCTGCCTTCTGAAATCCAACCACCAGTACCAGACTCATGTGTGAAGTGCAGCGATCTACATGGGTCTGGCCAGAGTCAGGCTAAGACACTTCTGGAGTCTGATAGAAATGCCCAACTGCCCACTGCACTAATCCAACAACAGCTCCCATAGAGGACAGGAAAGATAGTTAAACTATAGGCTCTTTGGTATATTGTGATGTCACATGAAGTGTGCTGTGTATGTTGTGATGTCACATGAAGTGTGTTGTGTGGAGATTTCTACAGGGCACAGATTCAGCTCAGCCGTACTCCTTTTACCACTGGCCTCTCATCGACATCTTCAACTACTTCAGCCACAGCATGGTGACCATCCCTCCAGCCGGCTGGACCGAGGCCGCGCACCGCCACGGGGTCCTGGTCCTGGGTACGTTCAGACACAGACACGGGTCCTGGTCCTGGTTTTGTACCAGATACCTCCTGTGCCCCTGGGATAAAGACCTTTTCTGTGGTTCTCCTGGCGCCGCCCTTTACACCATGATATGAATCTAGATGAAGGGGACTCTCAATTTGATGCAATACATTTCTCAACAACTCGAAACGATTCAGTAAAAATAAAAGCTTTTCTAACAATACGGCCCATTTTAACAAAAATACTGCATCAATGATAAAATTTACTGAAAATAAAGTATTATGAGGCTCCCCCTTATATCAGCGATCTGATTCAGCCTTATACCCCCACTGGGGCCCTGAGGTCTGTGGACCAGAATCTGTTGATGGTCCTACGCACGCGCTTTCGGACCAGGGGAGACCGGTCCTTCCAGGTTGTTACGCCTAAGCTCTGGAACAATCTTCCGCTCTCTCTGCGGCTGATGGAGTCAGTTGATTCATTCAAAGATCAGCTAAAAACTTTTAGCTTTTACATAATTTTCTTGCAGCTGTTTCAAACCTGTCACTGAGTTGTCTTGGCCATTATATTTTTATTTTTTGCATGCACATTTTAAACTGTATTTTGTCTGTTTTTACCTGTTTTAACTGTGAAGCGCTTTGTGGCCTTGATCAGTGAAAAGCGTGGTATAAATAAATCTTACTTACTTACTATTATTACATTTTCCATTCATTAAATAAATCAAATCTAAATGTATTTTTAAGCACCCTATTACGCTGCCACAGACTGATGGTTCGGCTCTGGTCTGGGTCTGGCTCCATGGTTCCGGTCCCATGGTTCCTGTCCCATGGTTCTGGTCCATGGTTCTGGTTCCACGGTTCTGGTTCCATGGTTCTGGTCCATGGTTGTGGTCCCATGGTTCTGGTCCCATGGTTCCTCTCCATGGTTCTGGCCCATGGTTCCTGTCCATGGTTCTGGTCCATGTTGCAGGGACCTTCATCACAGAGTGGACCGATGGGGGAGCAGCCTGTGAGAGTTTCCTGCAGGAGGAGGAGTCGTACCGAGCGGTGGCAGATAAACTGGTGCAGATCTGTGTCTGTTACGGCTTCGACGGATGGTTGGTCAACATCGAGAACGAGCTCAGTGTGAGTGTGAGACGTTTAACACCAGAGCAGTCATTTTGACGGCTCCCTCTCAAATCCCTTTGAAAATCCCTAGAAATAGTTTTATTAAAATTAATGTTAATGAGATAAAATAAAATGACTTTTATATCAACATTTAAGGCCAGGAGGTCAATTACATTCAATTCTTAAAATGTGTAATTCATTTAGAGTTACATACTATCACTTTAAAAACAGTTCTGTTCAGCTGTGCATACAACTGAGGGATTTTATATTTTTATCTTTCTTTTTAATGTTCTGTGATTATTTATGATTTAAATGCTTTCTTGTTTTGTTCAGCACTTTGAGTTGCCTTGTGTATGAATTGTGCTATATAAATAAACTTGCCTTGCCTTAGATCTGGATTTAAGTCTGGATTAATAAAGAACCTCCAGAACAGTCCACTTTCTTAGCGGAGCACCTCTCTCTGGTCTCTCTCTGGTCTCTCTCTCTGGTCTCTCTCTCTGGTCTCTCTCTGGTCTTTCTCTGGTCTCGCTCTCTGGTCTCGCTCTCTGGTCTCGCTCTCTGGTCTCGCTCTCTGGTCTCTCTCTCTGGTCTCTCTCTGGTCTCTCTCTCTGGTCTCTTTCTGGTCTCTTTCTGGTATCACTCTCTGGTCTCTCTCTCTGGTCTCTCTCTCTGGTCTCTCTCTGGTCTCTCTCTCTGGTCTCTCTCTGGTCTTTCTCTGGTCTCGCTCTCTGGTCTCGCTCTCTGGTCTCTCTCCCTGGTCTCTCTCTCTGGTCTCTCTCCCTGGTCTCTCTCTCTCTGGTCTCTCCCTGGTTTCTCTGGTCTCTCTGGTCTCTTTCTGGTCTCTTTCTGGTATCTCTCTCTGGTCTCTCTCTCTGGTCTCTTTCTGGTCTCTCTCTGGTCTCTCTCTGGTCTCTTTCTGGTCTCTTTCTGGTATCTCTCTCTGGTCTCTTTCTGGTATCTCTCTCTGGTCTCTTTCTGGTATCTCTCTCTGGTCTCTCTCTGGTCTCTCTCTGGTGTCTCTCTGGTCTCTCTCTGGCCTCTCTCTGGCCTCTCTCTGGCCTCTCTCTGGTCTCTCTCTGGTCTCTCTCTGGTCTCTCTCTGGTCTCTCTCTGGTCTCTCTCTGGTCTCTGACTCTTCTCTCTCGGCCCTGGAGCTCTAAAAATGTCCTAAAGTACATTTTAAAACACCTCTATATTAACTCCAGCAGTATTATTGTTTTTAAATCCTGACCAAAGTAAACAGAAGTGTCTGAATCAAACCAAAGTGTTTTTCTAAGAACACATTTAGCGACAGGACATGGGTTTGTGGCCCTGAATCTAAATGTGTTTCAGACCTGACCTGAAAGAAGCCTGTTGTTGCTCTGTCGTAGGCCTCTGCGGTGAAGAACATGCCCCTGTTCCTTCAGTACCTCACGGAGCAGATCCATGAGAGGGCATCGGGGGGGCTGGTCCTCTGGTACGACAGCGTGGTGCATTCTGGGAAACTCATGTGGCAGAACGAGCTCAACCAGAACAACAGGTCAAGGACATTTTTAATATGCTTTATATACTTTGGTAAAGTGGCATGCATCTTTCAGCTCCATGGTAAAGTGGCCCGCATCTTTCAGCTCCATGGTAAAGTGGCCCGCATCTTTCAGCTCCATGGTAAAGTGGCCCGCATCTTTCAGCTCTACGGTAAAGTGGCCCACATATTTCCTCACACATGTTCAACTCTCCTTTGGACCAATTGCAAGACAGCGTCACGGGCCGAGTAACAAGAGTGAAGCTCTTAGCCTCAACATTTGGGCTGTGGCTGTAGTTTTGATACTAGCTTTAGTTTAGTTTTATTTTGAACAACCGTCTGAAATCTCTCCGCTGAGGGACGAATAAAGGTTTTTCATCTGTTAAATAAATAATCCGTTCTGTCTCCGCCGCACCACACTTTGCCACAGACTGTTCTTTGATGCATGCGACGGCTTCTTCACCAACTACAACTGGACGGAGCGGAGTCTGGAGTGGATGAGCGGCTACAGCGCGGTGCAGGCCCGACAGTCAGACGTCTACATCGGGGTGGACGTGTTCGCCCGAGGAGAGGTGGTGGGCGGCATGTACGACACACACAAGGTACGCTCTGGGACACGCTGCTGCTACTGTAGGAAATGTGTGTTAAGGCGCGTTCAGACCAAAAGCTTCAAAAAGCTTTTGACGCGCTTCAACTGGCGCCGGGATAGTTTTGTCATTTTGGTGCTTGAAGCTTTTGACGCGAGTGACGCGCCTGACGCCGGTGGGAGGAGCTTCTCTGTTGCCTGTAGTCAGGACAGCGGTGGATTTTTCAATGAGCAGCGAGCCTTTATTTGTTATATAAAGCAAAATAACGTTGTTGTAGGGCTTCAACAAAACATGTTCTGGGTTCACCACAGACTTGAGAGGCTGCAGTGTTTGCAGAGTTCCGTCATTTACTCCAGGAGCTGCGTACGGAGGAGTTTCGCTTTCAGCGGTACTTCCGCATGTCACTCGCCCGGTTTGAGTTCTCAAACCCCGGAGCTCGCCTCTCCCCGGCTCTCCCTGCCTCTCCCCGGCTCTCACCCGCCCGGAGCTGCCTTGCTCTGAGCCAGACTCATCGTCAGCCTGTTCTTATTTTAAATAAACTACGTTTATTGGACTATGAGTCCGGAATAAAGTTGAATTGAATTTACTACACAGCATGTGTACAATGATTTTGTTACTCAGAATGTTACTACTCATACAAATAATATTACTAATAACAATAATGACAATAAAACAGCAGCAGCAGATACATGACTTCTCTTCATGACAGAGACAGACCCGCTGCTGCTGCTGCTGCTCCTCGTCTCCTGATTGGTTGAAGCCCGTGTCAAAGCTTCAAAAGCTCAGCTTTGCTCAACTTCGGCGTCAAAGGGATTGTTGTGATACGCGAGCGTTTCGCGCGTCAAAAGCTTCAAGTGAGCGCGTACTACGCGCGACTCTTGAAGCTTTTGACGCGCGTCAAGTGACGCCGGGGCTCTCGGCTTCACCTGACGCGCTTCACCATTCACTTTCAATGGAAACCTGACGCTTTTGACGCCGAAGTTAAGTCCGGTGTGAACGCCCCTTTAGAGATGCAGAGATGTGTGCGTGTTTCACTGATGTTTTGTTAACGGGGCGGGGCTAGCCAACAGAAGGGCGGGGCTAACCGCCAGAAGGGGTGAGGCTAACAAACAGAAGGGGCGGGGCTAACAAACAGAAGGGCGGGGCTAATGGGTAGAAGGAGCGGGGCTAACAAACAGAAGGGCGGGGCTTATGGGTAGAAGGAGCGGGGCTAACAAACAGAAGGGCGGGGCTAATGGGTAGAAGGAGCGGGGCTAACAAACAGAAGGGCGGGGCTAATGGGTAGAAGGGGACTAAAGCCGCTTTTCCACAGTAACAGTACGCTTCGAATTGACTCTACACGGCGCGGCGCAGCCCAGTTTGTGTGCTTTTCCATCAAAAATAGTACCCCTAGTACGTCCTCAGCGTTGTCAGACCACGTCATTTACGCGTGACGCGTAACTAGTATTGGTGCATGCATTTATTATAATATCAGACGAACAGCAAGTGTTTAATAGAAAATTCAGCACAGCACGAGTGGTTGTTGAAAATGCTTATGTCTTAAAAGAATGACTCGGACACTGAAGTCAATGGTGCTGACTGCTCTGTACAATCTGAATGGGACATACCTGTAGCAACAGCAGCCTGTGCTTGTCCGAGGGTCAGGATACGGCCTGGCTATAGCTAATGCTAGCGGCGCGCTAGCTCGAGACTCTGCTCACTCACTAACCCTGGATTCCAAAGCTACAACTGTACTACACTTAACACATCTATCACTGCCATCAGAGGAGGATCCAGGGTTTAAACTCGTCATATGGCAACTCGAGCAGTAAAGGACCGAGGATTAGACAGAAGCAGCCATAGGGGTAGCTAGTTAGCGGCTAGGCTAGGCTAGGCTAGGCTAGTCCTCAGCTACAATACAGTTGATTCTGAGTGCTTACAAAGTTAGCTTGTTGTAGACTAATACGTGGATTTATCAAAGGTTAATGGAAACAGAGCGCAGAGGGATAACAATCAAAACATGCTCACCGTATACAGATTTAGACTTGCAGATTTATTAAAAACAAACATAAAGTGCAAAACATAAGTTTCAAATTACGTATAAAAGTAAGCAAAGTAAGTCCAAAGTACGTATGTCTGAGACCAGATGAATACTCCGGTCACTCTTTGCTCGTTGGTAATTTCCACACTTATGGAAAGGGATTCTCTTTAATCCCTTTAAACGGATTGGGGATATACCTCCGTATATCCCCAATCCGTTTCTCAGTCTCATCAATCCTACAGTTTGCTTTCCTAATATCTTCCCTGATGGCGTTCAGGCTCTCCACCGTTTCCCGTCTGAATTCTCTTATCTCACGCAGGACTGTATCCAAGTCTGACATTTTCTGTCCAACCCGCACCGTATCTGATGTTAGCTCCTCCGCTAATTCCTCCTCTGAACCAGTTAGCTCCTCCGCGCCAGCTAGCTCCTCCGCTAGCCCGACGTCGTCATTACGGCGTTGTTTGACGATACCAGTGCTCTTTCTGACTTTTCTTCCAGGCATTTCGCAAGCCCTTTTTGTTATCTTCTTTTAAATCTCAGTGTTATCCTCAGGCTTGAGCCATACGGGGTGAGATTTTAACTTTTTAACGGGGACGTGCGTGTCTACGGTGTTGCCATGTTCGACCCAGAACCAGAACCCGGAAAGGGATTCTCAAACAAATATACACACGACAACTTAAATACAAGCACAAAACATAATGACAACACGTGAATACTGCAGATAATACGAGATGCAGAAATCCAGAGCTGGTGATCTCCTGAAAACTGTGTTGAGCCTCGAGCTGCCTTTGAATTCTTTCTTTGTCCTGAAGAGAGGAACGTGTGGACCTCTTCCACCGACCAGGACCAGGACTTTTGGGGCTTTCTGTGTGATTCCATTTCTCTGGAGTGAGGAGGACGTAATGTAGCCGAAGCAGAGCCGAGCAGAGCAGCCGGTTTTAAAGATGGAGGTTGAGTTGTTTTTCCCAAAGGGTCAGAGGTCGCTTCCAGTGACGACACTCGTTGACCAATCAGTGTGAGACAGTGGGCCGACGTCACGTCATGGTACCGGTACTACGGGGATGGAACCACAGTCGAGGTGTTGCGAAAAAGTAACGCAAAGTCCGGGACTATCCCTAGTGGAAATGCAAAATAAGCGCGCCGTACCGTACTGAAACGAACCGAACTGACACTGTGGAAAAGTGACGTATATGAGGAGCTGAGTGTCTCATTTCTTCTGTAACATTATTTCAGTTCAATCTAAACATTTCAGATGAACATGTGTTGAATAAAGAACCACGAGGGTCAAAGGTCATCACATTATACAGAACAGACTCAGGTTAAATCCCTGTGGTCCTTGTTTTCTTGTGGCTCCTCACATATGTGTTCATGTGTAAATATATATGTGTTCAAACAAATATATATGTTCAGACAAATATACACATGATCAGACAAATATATATGTGTTCAAACAAATATATATGTTCAGACAAATATACACATGATCAGACAAATATAAGTTCTTGTTATTATTGGGTGGGTGACTGTCGTCTTCTATCATCTTGTGTGTAAAAATGTGTATTCTGATGTTTTCAGGCTTTGGAGATGATCCGGAAGCACCACTTCTCGGTGGCCATCTTTGCCCCTGGCTGGGTGTACGAGACTCAGGAGAAGGCAGAGTTCCGACACAATCAGGACAAGTGAGATGGACACTGCAGTTAGGATCATTAAGAACGTTCATATCGGGCTGCACCTTTTTGGTTAAATATAAAAGTGTTCAGTGTGTAACAGGAACTTTGTCCCGTTCAGGTTCTGGGCTCTGCTCTCGGACCACCTGCCCCCCCACAGACACACCTGCTCACTGCCCTTCACCTCTACCTTCTGCCAGGGCTTTGGGAAGAGCCTCTACTGGAGAGGAGAGGTACTACACCCACACCACACTCCCACAGCATGATACTACCCCCCTCTGAAGGTGAATGGACGCTGTGTTGTTTCCTGCAGATGGAGCGGGACAGGCCCTGGTTCCACCTCAGTGCCCAGCAGACGCAGCCCGCCTTCTGCAGCTCCAAAGTGGGCCGGGCCTGGCTCAAGACCCGGGCGTGTCCGGACCAGGTGTGGAGCGGGGGGTCGTCCCTGCTCCTGGAGGGCCTCATCCCCTCAGAGCAGACGGAAGCAGCACATGCACGGTGAGGTCGCAGTCACTCAACAGAAATATGGGAAAAATATAAACAGGAAGTCTATAGTATCATGATATTTGGGCCACAATTCAATATTATCGTGATTCTGAACATATCGCGATACAGACAGGATGTGATTCTGTGATTTATTGTGAAACTTTACAAACATGGTCTCAGTGAAGTGTGAGTGAGTCTGATGTGATGCTGTTGTTTTTCAGAGTCCTGTCTCTCCACATGGCCCTGGCCTCCTCCACACTGGTCTGCCTGGTCTACAAGGCCTCACCTGGTGTCTCTGTGTCTCTGGAGCAGATCGTCCATGATCCAAACCAGGACACATGTGAGTGACCAGAGGGAGAGAGACCAGAGGGAGAGAGAGACCAGAGAGAGAGAGACCAGAGAGAGAGAGACCAGAGAGAGAGAGACCAGAGAGAGAGAGACCAGAGAGAGAGAGACCAGAGAGAGAGAGACCAGAGAGAGAGAGACCAGAGAGAGAGAGACCAGAGAGAGAGAGACAGAGAGAGAGAGAGAGAGACCAGAGAGAGAGAGACCAGAGAGAGAGAGACCAGAGAGAGAGACCAGAGAGAGAGAGACCAGAGAGAGAGAGACCAGAGAGAGAGAGACCAGAGAGAGAGAGAGAGAGAGAGAGAGAGACCAGAGAGAGAGAGACCAGAGAGAGAGAGACCAGAGAGAGAGAGACCAGAGAGAGAGAGACCAGAGAGAGAGAGACCAGAGAGAGAGAGACCAGAGAGAGAGAGACCAGAGAGAGAGAGAGACCAGAGAGGAGAGAGACCAGAGAGAGAGAGACCAGAGAGAGAGAGAGACCAGAGAGAGAGAGAGACCAGAGAGAGAGAGACCAGAGAGAGAGAGACCAGAGAGAGAGAGAGACCAGAGAGAGAGAGACCAGAGAGATAGTCCAGTCATTCGAGTGTTGTGATGTCACATTAATTCTCCCTCTCTTACCGCGTGTGCGTTTGCGTGTGTATGTGTGTGTGCGTTTGCGTGTGTATGTGTGTGTGCATTTGCGTGTGTGTCTCTGTGTGTGTGTGTGCGTTTGCGTGTGTGTCTGTGTGTGTGTGTGTGTGTGTGCGTTTGCGTGTGTGTCTGTGTGTGTGTGCGTTTGCGTGTGTGTGTGTCTGTGTGTGTGTGTGTGTGTGTGCGTTTGCGTGTGTGTCTGTGTGTGTGTGCAGTCAGGACCCTGTCTCCTTTGGCCCTGGGACCAGAACATCCTCTGGTGTCTCACTTCTTAAAGCTGAGTGGACTTCACCATCAGAAGGACTGGGCCGTCATGTGAGTGTGTGACATCACAATGTGTTTCTACTGTTCTTACCAAAACTACTGTGTGTGTGTGTGTGTGTGTGTGTGTGTCTGTGTGTATTGATGTGTTTGTGTGTGTGTGTAGGTGCTCTCTGCTGGAGGTTGAGGGTTGTTTTCTCAGAGAGCTCTGTGTGAATATCTGCAGAGAAGGAGAAGCTCAGGACACTGCCTTCTCCTGTAGACTGGGACAGATCACGGTACGCACACACGCACAGACACACACACTACAGACACATACACACATCACACACCAGAGACGCAGCTGCTGTTGTCGCTGTGAAGTCTAGAGTTGTGTAGCAGATAGAGCAGACGGACGCACAACAGTAGAATCCATGTGTTTGTGGCAGCTGTGCACCCAGTGGAAATGAAAGGTGTGTGTGTATCAGGTGTGTGTGTGTGTTTTTAATGGGTCAAAAAAAGAATGGGTTCTATTTTGTCACTGTCACAGTACTCTTACTACAGTCTGACAGTGTCACAGTACTCTTACTACAGTCTGACGGTGTCACTGTACTCTTACTTCAGTCTGACAGTCTCGCAGTACTCTTACTACAGTCTGACAGTGTCACTGTACTCTTACTTCAGTCTGACAGTCTCGCAGTACTCTTACTACAGTCTGACAGTGTCACAGTACTCTTACTACAGTCTGACGGTGTCACTGTACTCTTACTTCAGTCTGACAGTGTCACAGTACTCTTACTACAGTCTGACGGTGTCACTGTACTCTTACTTCAGTCTGACAGTCTCGCAGTACTCTTACTACAGTCTGACAGTGTCACAGTACTCTTACTACAGTCTGACAGTCCTCTCTCCTGTCCTCAGCTCCTGGACTCCTGGAGTTTGATGGGGCCCCCAGAGCAGGTGGTGGGGCCCTCAGAGCGGGTCCGGGGCCTCTGCATCTATGACGTGGTGTGGTTGCCAGGTTCCTCTGCGGTCTCCCATCCTCCTGAGCCTCCCGTGCTCCTGCTGAACGCCACTCTGCGCTGGAACTTCCCGTCAGACCTGGCCTCTCACTACAGGGTGCACTGGCGCAGGCTCAGGGGCCCGGACCCCAGGATCCCCATGGGGCCCCTGGTCCTGGTGCAGAGGGCTTATGGAGAGCTGTTCAGAGTCACTGAGCTGCAGGTGGCGCCTCCTCCTGCTCTGATGGAGCTGCTGGTGGAACCGGTCCTGAGGAGCGGCTGCCAGATCCCTGAGGGCCACTGGGGCCGCGCCCGCCTCAGCTACTCCAGGGACCAGGAGGAGTGAGGGCCCAGGAGGAGTGAGGGCCCAGGAGAGGAGGAGTGAGTGCCCAGGAGGAGTCAGGGACCCAGGAGGAGTGAGGGCCCAGGAGGAGTGAGTGCCCAGGAGGAGTGAGTGCCCCAGGAGGAGTGAGTGCCCCAGGAGGGAGTGAGTGCCCCAGGAGGGAGTGAGTGCCCAGGAGGGAGTGAGTGCCCAGGAGGGAGTGAGTGCCCAGGAGGAGTGAGTGCCCCAGGAGGAGTGAGTGCCCCAGGAGGAGTGAGTGCCCCAGGAGGAGTGAGTGCCCCAGGAGGGAGTGAGTGCCCCAGGAGGAGTGAGTGCCCCAGGAGGAGTGAGTGCCCAGGAGGAGTGAGTGCCCAGGAGGAGTGAGTGCCCAGGAGGAGTGAGTGCCCCAGGAGGAGTGAGTGCCCAGGAGGAGTGAGTGCCCAGGAGGAGTGAGTGCCCAGGAGGAGTGAGTGCCCAGGAGGAGTGAGTGCCCAGGAGGAGTGAGTGCCCAGGAGGAGTGAGTGCCCAGGAGGGAGTGAGTGCCCAGGAGGGAGTGAGTGCCAGGAGTGAGTGCCCCAGGAGGAGTGAGTGCCCAGGAGGAGTGAGTGCCCCAGGAGGGAGTGAGGGACCCAGGAGGGAGTGAGGGACCCAGGAGGGAGTGAGGGACCCAGGAGGGAGTGAGGGACCCAGGAGGGCGTGAGGGACCCAGGAGGGAGTGAGGGACCCAGCAAGGGACCCAGGAGGGAGTGAGTGCCCAGGAGGGAGTGAGTGCCCAGGAGGGAGTGAGTGCCCAGGAGGGAGTGAGTGCCCCAGGAGGGAGTGAGTGCCCCGGAGGGAGTGAGTGCCAGGAGGGAGTGAGTGCCCAGGAGGGAGTGAGTGCCCAGGAGGGAGTGAGTGCCCCAGGAGGGAGTGAGTGCCCCAGGAGGGAGTGAGTGCCCCAGGAGGGAGTGAGTGCCCCAGGAGGGAGTGAGTGCCCCAGGAGGGAGTGAGTGCCCCAGGAGGGAGTGAGTGCCCCAGGAGGGAGTGAGGGACCCAGGAGGGAGTGAGGGACCCAGGAGGGAGTGAGGGACCCAGGAGGGAGTGAGGGACCCAGGAGGGAGTGAGGGACCCAGGAGGGAGTGAGGGACCAGGAGGAGTGAGGGACCAGGAGGAGTGAGTGCCCAGGAGGGAGTGAGTGCCCAGGAGGGAGTGAGTGCCCAGGAGGGAGTGAGTGCCCAGGAGGGAGTGAGTGCCCAGGAGGGAGTGAGTGCCCAGGAGGGAGTGAGTGCCCAGGAGGGAGTGAGTGCCCAGGAGGGAGTGAGTGACCCAGGAGGGAGTGAGGGACCCAGGAGGGAGTGAGGGACCCAGGAGGGAGTGAGGGACCAGGAGGAGTGAGGGACCAGGAGGAGTGAGGGACCAGGAGGAGTCAGGGACCAGGAGGAGTCAGGGACCAGGAGGAGTCAGGGACCAGGAGGAGTCAGGGACCAGGAGGAGTCAGGGACCAGGAGGAGTCAGGGACCAGGAGGAGTCAGGGACCAGGAGGAGTCAGGGACCAGGAGGAGTCAGGGACCAGGAGGAGTCAGGGACCAGGAGGAGTCGGGGACCAGGAGGAGTCAGGGACCAGGAGGAGTGAGGGCCCAGCTCCTCCAGGGACCTATACTTTTCAAAGTAAAGGTGTGTGTGTTGTGCTGATCCAGGACGCTGTGGTCTCTGCTCCTTTTGGACCAACGTCTCTGTGTTTTTGAACTGTTTGTTTCTCTGATCTGTTGTTGGAGAATCGACAGTTTTGTAAAGTCCTCAGAGAAAACTACTGCTGTGGTTTAGGGCGGTACAAGAATAATAGTGTTTACTCATGACGAGGGTGTGTCGCCTTGAAGGACTTTACAAAGTTATTGATTCCTCAACAGCAGATCAGAGAATCAATCAAACAGAGGACATTCCACAATAATAAACACACAGAGCCACTGGTCCGCACTGGTCCGCACTGGTCCGCACTGGTCCGCACTGGTCCGCACTGGTCCGCACTGGTCCGCACTGGTCCACACTGGTCCACACTGGTCAGGACAAGATAAAGTCAGGTCTGTCTCTGTGTGGATGCAGATCATTTCCCAGTTAAACAGTATAAAAACAAAGTCCCCATCGGTGGCCCACACTAGACCCAGACATCACCAGGAGCCTTGTTTCTGGACCCACCCTTCCCCGGCCGCCCGGTCACTAACGGGGAGTGTGGACCCCTCTCCTTTGACCTCCGTCACCTCTGAAGTCTCCTCCCTCCATCTAAAAAACTCTGGCCCTCCCTCTCTCAGCCCGATGCAGAGAAACTGGTCCATGTCTTAATCTCTCCTGTTGTTGTATTTTAATCTGTAGCACTTTGAGGTTTAATGGAAACGTAAACAAAAAAAAAGTTATCATTTTTATTCTTTACATTTTTAGTGTATGCAGTTTACTTCCCATGATCCAATCGCCTTAATACACTTAATAATAAATGGTCTTCAAAAGTCCACAACCGATCACTGTCTTCTGGAGTCAAGAAGGTTTTGACTCAATTAGAAAAAATGTTCCTTTGAATTTGGAAACAATGTTTTTGGAGTTTAAACCAGACTGCAGTAAGTAAAACATGTTTGTGTGGAGTGACTGGAAAAAGAGACAGAACAAAGAGAACAAAGAGTTAGACTGGACTTGTTAAAGACATCTCTCAAACGGAGATCGACTCTCGCCCTAAGAACGGATCATGACCTGGAATAGAACTGAAACTAAACAAATGTTCTAATAAAAGAGACAATTGTAACATTGTGTAACTTGTTTATGTAAGAACTGCTGAATGAGAGAGACCAGAGAGAGAGACCAGAGAGAGAGACCAGAGAGAGAGAGAGACCAGAGAGAGAGAGAGACCAGAGAGAGAGAGAGACCAGAGAGAGAGAGAGACCAGAGAGAGAGAGAGACCAGAGAGAGAGAGAGACCAGAGAGAGAGACCAGAGAGAGACCAGAAAGAGACCAGAGTCGACCTTCTCATTCGTACATAGATAACATGTTTTTCTGTACAGAGATGACGCAGGACCACAGTTTTACTAAAAACCTCTTTATTGATCTTTGGGCTAAAATCAGAGTGGATCATTTGGAGACAGAGGAGACAGAGGTGACTGTGCTGTTCCAGACAGCAGCAGCAGGGGGCGCCGTGGCACAGGTCAGCTCTGTGTGATCATCTGCAACATGTGGAGCGCCATGGCACCCTGGTCTGACGGGATCTGCAACAACACGGTATTACAGGACGTTACAGAAGAAACAAGCAATTATACGGTTATGTTAGGAGCAGAGAGAGGAGCAGAGAGAGAGGAGCAGAGGGGTGAACAGAGAGGAGCAGAGAGAGGAGCAGAGAGAGAGGAGCAGAGGGGTGAACAGAGAGGAGCAGAGAGAGGAGCAGAGAGAGGAGCAGAGAGAGGAGCAGAGAGAGCAGAGAGGAGCAGAGAGGAGCAGAGAGGAGCAGAGAGGAGAGAGAGGAGCAGAGAGAGAGGAGCAGAGAGAGAGGAGCAGAAAGAGAGGAGCAGAAAGAGAGGAGCAGAGAGAGGAGCAGAGAGAGGAGCAGAGAGAGGAGCAGAGAGAGAGGAGCAGAGAGAGAGGAGCAGAGAGAGGAGCAGAGAGAGGAGCAGAGCAGAAGGAGGAGCAGAGGGAGGAGCAGAGAGAGAGGAGCAGAGAGAGAGGAGCAGAGAGAGGAGCAGAGAGAGGAGCAGAGAGAGAGGAGCAGAGAGGAGCAGAGAGAGAGGAGCAGAGAGAGAGGAGCAGAGAGGAGCAGAGAGAGAGGAGCAGAGAGAGAGGAGCAGAGAGAGGAGCAGAGAGAGAGGAGCAGAGAGAGGAGCAGAGAGAGGAGCAGAGAGAGGAGCAGAGGGAGGAGCAGAGAGAGAGGAGCAGAGAGAGGAGCAGAGAGAGGAGCAGAGAGAGGAGCAGAGGGAGGAGCAGAGAGAGGAGCAGAGAGAGGAGCAGAGAGAGAGGAGCAGAAGGAGGAGCAGAAGGAGGAGCAGAGAGAGAGGAGCAGAAGGAGGAGCAGAGGGAGGAGCAGAGGAGCACCATGTGTCCGGCCTTGAGGATCCAGTAGAAGGAGAAGTTCTTGTAGGTCTTGTAGAAGGCCCCGGTGACTCCAGGAGCCGCCGGGTCGTCCAGGGGCGTCCAGCGCAGTTTGTTAAAGAACGGAAGCCCCTCCCACTTTAGCTCCTTCACCCACAGCTCCTGACCTACACACACACAGACACACACACAGAGACACACAGAGACACAGACACACACACAGACACACACACACAGAGACAGACACACAAACATACACACACACACAGAGACAGACACACACGTATTATGTCCAGTATTCAAGGTCACTTGAGCAAATCGATGTATCAAAAATACCTGAATCTACAATAATATTATAATTTAACTCCTTTTACTTTTCTTTTTGGTCGTACAAAATGTGTTACTTTTGAAAAAAATAATGTTAGGTACCCTAGCTTTAAATCATATGGAAATAACCATTTGTAAATGTGTGACCAGTTTGACAGTCGTTATTTGAAATATGTTCCGTTTGTAAAGATCATGGACAGACCCATCGTGTCCACGATCAGGTCCAGCTGTCCGTTGTAGACCGTGACGTTGACCCCAGAGGACAGCAGCTGGTCCACGGTCTCCACCACGGGTTTCATGAAGTCTGCAGCCATGTTCCGGAACACTGCCTCCGCCTGGCCTGCGCAGGGATTACAGCTGTCAGTACATCTGCCTTCATAGATGGTCCTGGTCTCAGGTCTCTGTCCTGAGGTCCTCTCACATTAGTCCTGGTCTCAGGTCTCTGTCCTGAAGTCCTCTCACATTAGTCCTGGTCTCAGGTCTCTGTCCTGAGGTCCTCTCACATTAGTCCTGGTCTCAGGTCTCTGTCCTGAAGTCCTCTCACATTAGTCCTGGTCTCAGGTCTCTGTCCTGAGGTCCTCTCACATTAGTCTCTGGTCTCAGGTCTCTGTCCTGAAGTCCTCTCACATTAGTCCTGGTCTCAGGTCTCTGTCCTGAAGTCCTCTCACATTAGTCCTGGTCTCAGGTCTCTGTCCTGAAGTCCTCTCACATTAGTCCTGGTCTCAGGTCTCTGTCCTGAGGTCCTCTCACATTAGTCCTGGTCTCTGGTCTCTGTCCTGAAGTCCTCTCACATTAGTCCTGGTCTCAGGTCTCTGTCCTGAGGTCCTCTCACATTAGTCCTGGTCTCTGTCCTGAAGTCCTCTCACATTAGTCCTGGTCTCAGGTCTCTGTCCTGAAGTCCTCTCACATTAGTCCTGGTCTCAGGTCTCTGGTCTCTGTCCTGAAGTCCTCTCACATTAGTCCTGGTCTCTGGTCTCTGTCCTGAAGTCCTCTCACATTAGTCCTGGTCTCTGGTCTCTGTCCTGAGGTCCTCTCACATTAGTCCTGGTCTCTGTCCTGAAGTCCTCTCAGATTAGTCCTGGTCTCAGGTCTCTGTGGCTACCTCCCCAGGTGACGTTCTGGGGGATGACCTTCAGCCTCCTCCGGACCTCTCCGTTCATCAGCTGACTCAGGGACCGCCTCTGCAGACGCTGGACGTGGCGATGGAACTGAAGAGCTGAGGACAACACAGATGTAAACAGACTTTCTGGATCTGCAGCTGTAGATGTGTACTCTCTCACAGATGGCGTCGGCCCCTGGCTTCGCCCCCACGCTCTGCTCCGGATCTTGCGTCAGGATATTGTAGAAGTTGACGTTGTTGGTGTTCTGTTAAAAACCAGAAAATAAAGTGTTTATGGAAAAACAGAGAGAATGTGATAATAAAAGAGATGAAGAGAATTCTGCAAACATCTCTCTGGTCTCAGTCTCTCTCTCTGGCCTCTCTCTCTCTCTCTGGCCTCTCTCTCTCTGGCCTCTCTCTCTCTCTGGCCTCTCTCTCTCTCTGGCCTCTCTCTCTCTCTCTGGCCTCTCTCTCTCTCTGGCCTCTCTCTCTCTCTGGCCTCTCTCTCTCTCTGGCCTCTCTCTCTCTCTGGCCTCTCTCTCTCTCTGGCCTCTCTCTCTCTCTGGCCTCTCTCTCTCTCTGGCCTCTCTCTCTCTCTGGCCTCTCTCTCTCTCTGGCCTCTCTCTCTCTGGCCTCTCTCTCTCTGGCCTCTCTCTCTCTGGCCTCTCTCTCTCTGGCCTCTCTCTCTCTGGCCTCTCTCTCTCTCTCTCTGGCCTCTCTCTCTGGCCTCTCTCTCTCTCTCTCTGGCCTCTCTCGCTCTCTCTGGCCTCTCTCTCTCTCTCTGGCCTCTCTCTCTCTCTCTGGCCTCTCTCTCTCTGGCCTCTCTCTCTCTCTCTGGCCTCTCTCTCTCTCTCTGGCCTCCCTCTCTCTCTCTGGCCCCTCTCTCTCTCTCTGGCCTCTCTCTCTCTCTCTGGCCTCCCTCTCTCTCTCTGGCCTCTCTCTCTCTCTCTGGCCTCTCTCTCTCTGGCCTCTCTCTCTCTCTGGCCTCTCTCTCTCTCTGGCCTCTCTCTCTCTGGCCTCTCTCTCTCTCTGGCCTCTCTCTCTCTGGCCTCTCTCTCTCTGGCCTCTCTCTCTCTGGCCTCTCTCTCTCTGGCCTCTCTCTCTCTAGCCTCTCTCTCTCTGGCCTCTCTCTCTCTCTCTGGCCTCTCTCTCTCTCTCTGGCCTCTCTCTCTCTCTCTGGCCTCTCTCTCTCTGGCCTCTCTCTCTCTGGCCTCTCTCTCTCTCTCTGGCCTCTCTCTCTCTGGCCTCTCTCTCTCTGGCCTCTCTCTCTCTGGCCTCTCTCTCTCTGGCCTCTCTCTCTCTCTCTGGCCTCTCTCTCTCTCTGGTCTCTCTCTCTCTCTGGCCTCTCTCTCTCTCTGGCCTCTCTCTCTCTCTGGCCTCTCTCTCTCTCTGGCCTCTCTCTCTCTGGCCTCTCTCTCTGGTCTCACCTTCTCCACCACAGACTCTGCCAGGGACCAGAGCTCTGTAGCCTTGAGGAAGTGCCCCTGCTCCATGGCGGCCTGCACATCCTGAGCCACTGCGCTCACCTCCGCCAGCCCCAGGTCGTCCAGCAGCGACTGTCAGCACAGGGCACACCAGAGGAAGATACTGCAGTAAAACCACATTGGAATACTTGTGCAAGAGTCCCCACTGTGCACCAAACAAGTACAGGAGTACAAGTATCCGCCTCTTTCAGAGCGTAGCTAGTTATGTTCTCTGGTCTTTTGCCATAGCAACAATTGCCATGGTAACGGTTGTTATAGTGATGGTTGCCATGGCAATAGTCACCATGGCAACTGCTGCTATGGCAATAGTCACCATGGCAACTGCTGCTATGGCAATAGTCACCATGGCGCCTGTTACCCTGGTAATGATCACTGTGGCAATTGTTGCTATGGCAATCACTGGCAACTGTTACCATGGCAACCATCACTGGCAACTATTTATATGAAATAGTCACCCTGGTAACCGTTTATGGCAGTTTGTTTCCAGTGGCTATGATAACTGTTGTCATAGTGATGGTTGCCATGGTAATAGTTACTATGGAAACCGTTGCTATGGTAATAGTCACTATGGCGGCTGTTACCCTGGTAATGATCACTGTGGCAATTGTTGCTATGGCAACCATCACTATGGGAACAATCACCATGATGCATTTTGAGCACATAAATCAAGCCATGAAAACCACTGTAACCATGACAACTGTTAGCATGGATGGCCATAGTAACAGTTACTATGACAATCATTATGGCAACGGTTGCCATGGAAGCGGACAGACAATCTAGTGCATTTCTTGCAACTTATTTTTTGGGACTTCGTTTCCGAACATCTTTCTCGATAGATTTTTAAGAAAGTATTAGGAATTACGATTATTTACTGTTTAGTAAACTTTTTAAGTCAAGATTCAACCACAGCACAAAACATTTGTCAAGTTTTCAGATTCTAAAGCTTTAGATTCTAGAGCTTTAGATTCTAGAGCTCTAAATTCTGCGGCTCTAGAGTAAAACTGTGTTAAAGACCAAACAGAACTCACTGTGGTGTAGAGGTACGGCCCCCAGGTCATGACCGAGTCTGAGCAAACACAACATTAGTGCACAATATTCTGTGTGTGAGACACGACAATACTCCACAAAATCTTAACTGTGTAAAGAACGATAGTCGTTTCATTTGCTCATCAATAATAATTAATGAAAATAATAATAATACTACTACTGTAGCCACAGCTGCCCTGGGGCACACTGAGGCAGCCAGTCTGTGCCATCGGCCCCTCCCACCACCACCAACCATTCACACACACACCAGACTCTTTCTAATGTGGGGGAAGTGTCTTGCCTAAGGACACAACCACAGTTTGACACCTGGTGTTCCCAGAGGTCTCCCATCACAGTACTAACCAGGCCCTGTCCTGCTTAGCTGCAGAGGTCTGACTGAATCTGGCTTGCAGGTTTGGCCGCACTACTATTACTCAGAGAAACGTATGAATGAGACAAACCTAGAGGTGAGATCCAGGAGTCTCCCAGAGCCACTCCAGCAAAGTTACACTTGATGGATCCGTGTGCGACGGCCTGCGGCAAACACACGTGTTGTTCTTTCAAAGATACAAGTGTGATTCAAGTGTGTGACGCTCACCTCAGTCAGAGCCAGAGAGATGGCGGCGGCCATCTTTCCTCCGTACGACTCAGAGAAGATGTAGAAGGGAATGTTCTGGAGACGAGAGCGAGAAGTGTTCACCACATGAAGAACAAGAAGGTTTCAGTCAGAGGAGTTTAAGATAGAACTGTCCTTGTGTCCCAGAGCCTCAGGCTGCTAGCATGCTAACATACTAACATGTATACATACAACTATATGCACTAGAATATACAGGATTTTATTAAATCCAAACTTTATCTCTTTAGCAAGTGTTACAGTTATATAATGTTTGTCTTGTTGCAGAAATGTCGGATTAGAGCTGACAGAATGTGAGACCAAAAGGATGTAATCGACCCAGAACCTGCATAGACATGAAGCAGCCCAAACACCAGCCGGTTCTCAGTCCCTGTGCTCAGTCCCTGTGCTCAGTCCCTGTGCTCAGTCCCTGTGCTCAGTCCCTGTGCTCAGTCCCTGTGCTCAGTCCCTGTGCTCAGTCCCTGTGCTCAGTACCTGAAAGTCGTCTCTGTCGGTGAAGAAGCTCCGCAGCAGCACCATCATGTCTGAGGACACTGTGGACACGTCTTTGGCAAAAGCTTCGTCTGTTTCTGCGAAACTAAAGCCGGTCCCCACAGGGTTATCCACAAACAGGACGCTGGCAGACTGGACCTACACACACACAGAGACACACACACACAGAGAGACACAGACACACACACACACAGAGACACACACACACAGAGAGACACACACACACACAGAGACACACACACACACACACAGAGAGACACACACACACACACACACACACAGAGACACACACACACACACACACAGAGAGACACACACACACACACACACACAGAGACAGACACGCATGTACGCCCACGCACACACACACACACAGGGTTAAAGTGATTGTCTAGAGTTTGTCAGAAAGAGAGACAGAGAGGTACTTGATTTGAAAAAAAAAGACGCAAGCTCCTCCCCCTTCCTTTCTGATTGGTCTACGCCTACGTTTCCGTAACACTTTGAAATGTTAATCAGAGAACACATTATTAATACACATGCACGGAGGTTTTCAGAAGTATTTGTTAACGTTTTAATAATATAAAATAACAAAATTATATTTTTATGCACAAAAAAAGCGATCGCGGCAAACCAGGAACAAGCTATTATCATGAACTGCACATTATAGGACACATCTGCGGAGGATCTGATTATGGATATAGGTTCAGTATATAAATGATTATGGATATAGGTTCAGTATATAAATGATTATAGATATAGGTTCAGTATATAAATGATTATGGATATAGGTTCAGTATATAAATGATTATGGATATAGGTTCAGTATATAAATGATTATGGATATAGGTTCAGTATATAAATGATTATGGATATAGGTTCAGTATATAAATGATTATGGATATAGGTTCAGTATATAAATGATTATGGATATAGGTTCATATATAAATGATTATGGATATAGGTTCAGTATATAAATGATTATGGATATAGGTTCAGTATATAAATGATTATGGATATAGGTTCAGTATATAAATGATTATGGATATAGGTTCATTATATAAATGATTATGGATATAGGTTCATATATAAATGATTATGGATATAGGTTCATATATAAATGATTATGGATATAGGTTCAGTATATAATGAAGGCTTGATTCGGAGGCTCCGCGAAAACAAACAACTGAGCATGAGCAGCTGCGAGCATCAGCGCTGATGATTGACAGCTCTTGGCATGACTCGATTGGTTAACGTGGACGGCACCGTGGATTCTGAGCTATAGCTAAGAGCAGGGAAGGCGGGACTTACCTGTAATATTAGAATTCATAAAATGACTTATTTTAAATCAACATTTAAGGCCAGGAGGTCAATTTAACACATTTCCACAAAATGTGTAATTCATTTAGAGTTACAGACTATCACTTTAACCTACACACACACAAGGGACCAGAGCATGGATCTATAATATTAACTGGATAGAGTATTAGTTTATATCTGTCCCACCTATGGGCACAGGGGGCGCTGTGGTACTGCAGAGAACCTGACAGAAAATCTACAGCTTTCATGAAGGTCGTATTTTGTGGGAATTTTAGTGTCTCTTGAACTTTTTTTCTTCTAAAATCCTTCTGTTTTCTTTAAATCCACACTTTACTGCAACAAACTCTGCTCGATTCCTTCCTGCTCTGACTCCGCTCTGCTGCTGCTCTGATCAGCAGCTCTGATTGGTCAAAGCGCGGCCGAGCCCCTCTGTGCACATGCATGAAAGCCACACACGTGTGTTTGGTGCAATACATCATGGGAGCTCATCCACTGGGACCGGGAGGACCAGACGATGCCCAAATATAGGCGAGCTCTGCTAATCTCTCGGCACTCGTGTATGTCCCATGCACTACTGAGCACAAGCCATTCATTTGAACAGGGCGCCATCTTGGATCACCGGGGCTTGGACCAGAGACACAAACACAGAGATACACACAGAGGACCAAAGACCCACACACAATAATAATAATGCTGTTTGTAGAAAAACACTTCATATAGTCTGTGGGAAAAACTCATGGTCAGGGATGTCCAAACATTTCAGCAAGAGAGCTTTAAAATGAGGTATAACAGGCCAGGGTTCCTCTGACAATCAACGCTGCAGTCTATCATCCATCCATCCATCCATTTTCTTCCCCTTAATCCATTTATCATATTCATTCAAACTCATTTCAGGGGCCTCACAGAAGGGCCTCTTGTGATTTAAGTCCTGTATCAACAGTTAACTTCTCCTCACCCATGTCGTGTCTCTCGGCTTCAGGTCTCGATCTAAAGGACCGATCTCTTCAAAGTTGCCGAAGCCGGTCCCAGAGCCTCCTGGACCTCCCTGCACACAAACAAATGAGTATTATTATTACAAATGCAAACATCAAAACAAGAAAACCTTTTTTGTCCCACACTGGGGAAATGTATTTAAGTAGCTTCTGCGTTTCTTAGCTAACTGTAAATGCTTCGTAAGAGCAGCCAGTTCATTTGCAGTTTTTGCACATTGGACATGATGACACAACAAAACAGATTCCAAAACCGGAGGTGACTCAAACAGGAGTGAGACCATAAACGTCAGGAGACCATGGGACAGACTGTAACCGTTGCTGGTTCTGGTCACTTCCACATTTCAGCTCAAATAGATGTTAGTCAGAGTCAGTGTGAGACATCATCTGCTCAGGGTCCTGTTGTGCAATGGATCTTATTAATACGGAAAAAGCCTTTTGGAGAAGAATTGGAATTTCGTGAGGTTATTTACTTTTTATGTAACGTGAAAATATATCTTCAGAAAATGAGGTGAATTTAAGTTCAGAGGGTAAAAAAATGCTTTCGGCCTGTAACGCCCTGTGCCACCACCAGAGGGAGGAGTACTATTTGTTTTTCCCCACAATTTCATAATTAGAAATTTTTCACATGAGAAATCACCAAAACTAATTAACCACCCCTCTTACCGGCATATGGACTGTCCCAACACCCCCCCCTCACCTGCACATGGACTGTCCCAACACCCCCCTCTCACCTGCACATGGACTGTCCCAACACCCCCCTCTCACCTGCACATGGACTGTTCCAACACCCCCCTCTCCCCTGCACATGGACTGCTCCAACACCCCCCTCTCACCTGCACATGGACTGTTCCAACACCCCCTCTCACCTGCATATGGACTGTTCCAACCACTCCCCTCTCACCTGCACATGGACTGTTCCAACAGTCCCTCAGCAGGAGGCTACAGTCCGACCCAGAACCTCCGCCGTAAGAACAGTGCGCTGGAGTTGGACTCATGAACACTTCATAAATCATCACTGACCTCTGTCCTTTATGACCGTCACTTTATGCTACTGTCACTTTAACTGCACTGCTAAAGGTCTATTGTATGTACCTAGTGCACTTGTATATTATAGTAATTCTAAGAAATGTTATAGACGCAGGCAAAGTTTCAATCTTAATCCTGTTAGATCTGAGTGCTGCCTTTGACACCGTCGACCATGAGATCCTCTTACAGAGACTAGAGGACTGGGTTGGCGTCGCTGGCACCGCCCTAAGTTGGTTTAGGTCTTACCTTGAAGACAGGAAGTACTTTGTGGAGATTGGAAACTGTGTCTCAGATCATATGGCCCTGACCTGTGGAGTACCACAGGGGTCGATCCTGGGACCTCTGCTGTTCAATCTCTACATGCTGCCGTTAGGTCAGTTAATACGCAGAAACAAAGTGTCCTATCACAACTTTGCAGACGACACTCAGATCTATGTCTCACTGACTGCAGGAGAACATGGACCAGTGGACTCACTCCTTCACTGTATCCAACAGATCAGTGAGTGGATGCAAAACAACTTCCTTCAGCTAAACGCAGACAAAACTGAAATGATTGTCTTTGGTCCTCAGAAACAAAGAGAGAGCGTCATCTGTCATCTACAGTCTCTCTCCCTAAAACCTTCAAACAAGGTCAGAAATCTAGGGGTAATACTGAACTCAGACTTACGTTTTAATAGCCACATCAAATCAGTAACATCAGCAGCTTTTTACCATCTAAAAAACATTGCCAGGATCAAAAACATAGTGTCTAAAGCTGACTGAGATTCTTATCCATGCATTTGTCTCCAGTAGGTTAGACTACTGCAATGGCCTGCTCACAGGTCTGTCCAAACAGGCTGTAAAACAGCTGCAGTACATTCAAAATGCAGCAGCTCGGGTCCTGACTAGAACCAGGAAGTACGACCACATTAGTCCAGTTCTCAGGTCTCTGCACTGGCTTCTGTAGTGTAGTGTACAGTGTAGTGTAGTGAACACTGTAGTGTAGTGTACAGTGTAGTGTAGTGTAGTGTACAGTGTAGTGTAGTGAACACTGTAGTGTAGTGTACAGTGTAGTGTAGTGTAGTGTAGTGTAGTGTACAGTGTAGTGTAGTGTAGTGTACAGTGTAGAGTAGTGAACACTGTAGTGTAGTGTACAGTGTAGTGTAGTGTACAGTGTAGTGAACACTGTAGTGTAGTGTACAGTGTAGTGTAGTGTACAGTGTAGTGAACACTGTAGTGTAGTGTACAGTGTAGTGTAGTGTACAGTGTAGTGTAGTGAACACTGTAGTGTACAGTGTAGAGTAGTGAACACTGTTGTGTAGTGTACAGTGTAGTGTAGTGTAGTGTAGTGAACACTGTAGTGTAGTGTACAGTGTAGAGTAGTGAACACTGTAGTGTAGTGAACACTGTAGTGTAGTGAACAGTGTAGTGTAGTGTACAGTGTAGTGTAGTGAACACTGTAGTGTAGTGTACAGTGTAGTGTAGTGAACACTGTAGTACAGTGTAGTGTAGTGTACAGTGTAGTGTAGTGAACACTGTAGTGTAGTGTACAGTGTAGTGTAGTGTACAGTGTAGTGTAGTGAACACTGTAGTGTAGTGTACAGTGTAGTGTACAGTGTAGAGTAGTGAACACTGTAGTGTAGTGAACACTGTAGTGTAGTGAACACTGTAGTGTAGTGTACAGTGTAGTGTACAGTGTAGTGTAGTGTACAGTGTAGTGTAGTGTACAGTGTAGAGTAGTGAACACTGTAGTGTAGTGAACACTGTAGTGTAGTGAACACTGTAGTGTAGTGTACAGTGTAGTGTAGTGTAGTGTACAGTGTAGTGTAGTGAACACTGTAGTGTAGTGTACAGTGTAGTGTACAGTGTAGTGTAGTGAACACTGTAGTGTAGTGTACAGTGTAGTGTAGTGTACAGTGTAGTGTAGTGAACACTGTAGTGTAGTGTACAGTGTAGTGTACAGTGTAGAGTAGTGAACACTGTAGTGTAGTGTACAGTGTAGTGTACAGTGTAGTGTAGTGTACAGTGTAGTGTAGCGTACAGTGTAGAGTAGTGAACACTGTAGTGTAGTGAACACTGTAGTGTTGTGTACAGTGTAGTGTAGTGTACACTGTAGTGTAGTGTACACTGTAGTGTAGTGTAGTGTACAGTGTAGTGAACACTGTAGTGAACACTGTAGTGTAGTGTAGTGTACAGTGTAGTGTAGTGTACAGTGTTGTGTAGTGTACAGTGTTGTGTAGTGTACAGTGTTGTGTAGTGTACACTGTAGTGTAGTGTAGTGTACAGTGTAGTGAACACTGTAGTGAACACTGTAGTGTAGTGTAGTGTAGTGTAGAGTAGTGAACACTGTAGTGTAGTGTACACTGTAGTGTAGTGTACACTGTAGTGTAGTGTAGTGTACAGTGTAGTGAACACTGTAGTGAACACTGTAGTGAACACTGTAGTGTAGTGTACAGTGTAGTGTAGTGTACAGTGTTGTGTAGTGTACAGTGTAGTGTAGTGTACAGTGTTGTGTAGTGTACAGTGTAGAGTAGTGAACACTGTAGTGTAGTGTACAGTGTAGAGTAGTGAACACTGTAGTGTAGTGTACAGTGTAGAGTAGTGAACACTGTAGTGTAGTGTACAGTGTAGCGTAGTGAACACTGTAGTGTAGTGTACAGTGTAGAGTAGTGAACACTGTAGTGGGTGTTACCTGCAGCCACATGACCAGTGGCAGCTCTGTGTAGTGAGCAGACGGGGAGTCAGCAAAGTAAAGCCACCAGAACATGTGTGCTCCATCTCTGACCGGCACGTACCCCCAGCTCTCTGAGCCCTTTAAGGGACTGGCCAGCCCTGTGCACACAGAAAAACACTGCCAACGTGTGGAAGAGGAAAACACTGCCGACGTGTGGAAGAGGAGGGAATAACAAGAACAACATCGATCTCTCAATAATATACAGAGTTTGATCATCTAAATACATGATTTCATGGGTTCAAATGACAGAACAATCCTGTACGAGATAGTTTAGATTCAAAGATGTTTGACTTCATATCTTAATTATTGTGCTTTAAACCTTTTGTATTGCTTGTCCATCCATTTTCTTCCGCTTTATCCATTGCCAGGTCAGAGGGCCAGCAATCTGAGCAGAGATTCCCCATCTACACATACCTGCTCGTATCTGGGGGAAAACTCAGGCGTTCGCAGCTGAGAGACACAGTCCCTCTGTGTCTTCCCCTGGTCTCCTCATATGGTCCTACAGCCTATGGTCCTGCAGCCTATGGTCCTGCAGCCTATGGTCCAGCAGCCTATGGTCCTGCAGCCTATGGTCCTACAGCCTATGGTCCTACAGCCTATGGTCCTACAGCCTATGGTCCTACAGCCTATGGTCCTACAGCCTATGGTCCTACAGCCTATGGTCCTACAGCCTATGGTCCTACAGCCTATGGTCCTACAGCCTATGGTCCTACAGCCTATGGTCCTACAGCCTATGGTCCTACAGCCTATGGTCCTACAGCCTATGGTCCAACAGCCTATGGTCCAACAGCCTATGGTCCAACAGCCTATGGTCCTACAGCCTATGGTCCAACAGCCTATGGTCCTGCAGCCTATGGTCCTGCAGCCTATGGTCCAACAGCCTATGGTCCTACAGCCTATGGTCCTACAGCCTATGGTCCTACAGTCTATGGTCCAACAGCCTATGGTCCAACAGCCTATGGTCCAACAGCCAATGGTCCAACAGCCTATGGTCCTACAGCCTATGGTCCTACACTTATGTCCGGTTGGGTTATGGAACCTTTTGTATTAATTTGAGTTATTAAAATATTCGCATTTTGCAAATTATCAATTCATATTTACATATTTAAATGTTACGATGTTTTTCACATCAGTCAGCCTACACGTGGATAAATACAATATGCACGTGGATCATATGACAACAGACAAGAGAAATAGTTCTAAAATGTACCTTTGGTGAAGAGTGAAGCCAAAAGCAGCAGCACAAACGGTGATTGTTGCCAGTCCATTGTTGAGTGAAGTCTGCTTCCACTTCAGAGCAGGTCACGTGATCCCTCCCAGCGCTGGTCAGCTGACAAACACGTCCGCATTTCGTTTATTATTATGCTCTTTCTCTCTTTTCATGTACTTAGATAGTTAGCGTGCTGTTGTAGATAGCTTGTCATTTAGTAAACATAATCCTACATGGGCCTTATGCATTTGTTTAATTTACACCGTATGAAGCGTATCAACATAATATAGATAATTTACTTTGGACGACAACCGTAAAAAGTGAGAATTGTAAGTTCAAATATGTTGTCACATTTCGTATCCACGTTTTGTCCCCGGAACCATGCCCGAAACACACGTAAAGAAGACATTTTCAAAATTAAATTCTCTTATACAGTTGTGTTTGTTTTTTGAGGTTTTTTCTACACAAACAAATATTGACATCATTTAAATTATTCACACTCGGAAATATTATTCCAATAAGTGCGTATATCGACGAAACTGCAATAAACATTGCGTAAAGTGTAACAGAAGAATTTATTTTGAAAAGCCCGGAAGTGTACAGCGACCTCAGTGGTTGCCGCCGCGTTGCTTGAGTCCATTGAGAATGAAGTAACTCCATGTTCCGCTGTGTTTATCCGTCTCGTTTTAACCGTAGACTGTAAATATTACTTGCTTTAACTCCCCCGCGTCATCATGGCAGCCAGCTTCATCCGTGTGCGCCTCCACTTTGACTACGCCCCTCCTGCGGTGGTGGGATGCCGCATGTGCTGGTTGCTGGTGGACCTCCGCTGCTGCCGTGTGGTGGCCGACCTGGAGGGCATGATCCGGGACCGGTTCGACCTGAGCCCGGGAAGCGTGCTCCGCCTCTTCATAGAGGACTGCTACCTGCCCCACACCGAGAGCATCCTCCTGGTCCGCGATAACGACTGCGTGAGGTGAGGTCCAGACAGCTGCCTCCTCTTCCTCCTCAGCTGGCTCCTCTTTATCTGGAGGAGTAGCGAGTCTAGACTTTTGCATCATCATCTTTTTCTTTGGGTCTTTACCAAACACTCTCGATCATAACCAAAGTAGAAGTAGGCCTTTATACTAAGACCCAAATTGGACCTAAGGGTTGCATCTAAATCTTGCAGAAAAATATACCATTCTTTCCTTCCTTTTTGTTTTAACTGATCGTTTATAAGACTGAGGTAGCTGGTTTTGTTCAGTTTCTGGGGAATTTAGATGTAGAGAGACCAAACCAGGACTCCACATGGGGTTGAATAGATGGCAGACTAGCCACTGAAAAGGTTTAAAATGGTTTGCATATGTCTTGTACTTTTTTGTTTTTTGCTATCTTTAAAAATGGACAACAAATGGATTCTGTTTTTGGGACTAAATGTTGATAATTTGTGTCCGACAGAGTACAGGTTGACAGTATCTCAAAAACGTCAACGCAGACGTCCCCAGAAGCTGCCAGCGGAAGCAAAAGCAAGCGACACAGACCCGCAGAAGATCCAACAGAAGCCGGAGCCACTTTGGAATTTAAGAAGAAAAAGCGGAAAAAGAGTTGTGTTGTGGAGAGCCCCGCGGTGACTGTTCTGCCAGAGCCAGAAAAGATGCTCGCAAAGACACAGAAGAAGAAGAAGAAGGAAAAGGAGTCAAAACGCACTCCCCCTGCTTCTGCCAACGCACTTTCAAATGTCAAGAAGTCCACAAAAAGTCCACTCAAACCGAAACAGAAGCCGAAAAGTAGTAGTTCTTCAAGTTCAAGCAGCAGTGAAGACGAACAACCAGTGAAAAAAACTCCAAAGTCTGTATCCAAACCTGCCCCGACCAAAGCACAGGCAACCCCCAAACCGCTCACAAACGGAGGCCCGGCTTTGAAAAAACTGCCTCGTCCTTCATCCTCCTCTTCATCAGACACAGACTCCACCTCGGAGGATGAGAAAGCCGCTAAATCTGCAAAACCAAAGCCACAAACTGAAGTTAGCGCCACGACCACAAACGGGACGAATGGCAACGAGGAGGAGGAAATCGAGCTGGTGATCAAGAAACCACTACAGCATCCGAAAGGACGCATCATGCTGGGGCAGCAGCAGCAGCAGTGGCAGCGGCCTGGGGGAAGAGGGAGAGGCAGGGGAGAAGGAGGAGGAGCAGGGAGAGGAGAAGGCAGAGGAAGAGGGGAGAGGCCCGGACCCAGGGAAGAGGGGGGGAGTGCAGGCAGAGGGCGGGGCAGGTGTGTCCAGTACGACTACAACGAGAAGGAGCGAGCCAAGAGACCGGCAGCGTACGGAGAGGACCAACTCCACAACGTGTCTGTGGTTCTGCAGGTGAGAGGCTCAACTGTGACAGTGTTTACGGATGTATAATTGATAATAATGATAATATAATACGTTTTTTAAAAATGTGTATGTATAGTGTAATTATATAATCTATATATATATATATATATATATATATATATATATATATATATAAAATTACACGAAAACTGTGATGTCGCTGGTACGGCGGAGCCGGGGCTCCACTCTGGAGCCAAGGCCTGGGGTTGGAGTGCGTACGCAAGCGTCTGGTGGCCTTTGCCCACAGGGCCCAGCCGGGCTCAGTCCGAATGGACAACGTGGGCCAGGCCTCCTGTGGACCCACCACCCGCAGAGGGATTCATGGCGGGACGTTGCCGAGTGCACTGGGCAGCAGTTGAAGCCAGAATCCCAGACGACCCGGTCCAAGCACACAGCATTTGGCTGTTCAGGTGGATCGGTGCAGCGTGCGCAGTGATGCACTCGCTGTATTGGACCATTGTGGTGAAGAGGGAGCAGCGTCTGCAGTCAGAGCTGTATCGGACCGTTGTGGTAAAGGGGGAGCTGAGCCGAAAGGCAAAGCTCCCCTATGTTCAATCTTTGTTCCCTCCCTCACCTCTGGTCATGAACTTTGGGTAAGGATCAAAAGAACGAGATCGCGGATACAAGCGGTCGAAATGAGCTTCCTCCGCAGAGTGGCTCTTAGAGAGCTCGGAGTGGAGCCGTTGCTCCCTTAGAGATAGTGTGAGGAGCTTGGAGTAGAGCCGCTGTTGCGGATGCCTCCTGGTCTCCTCCCTGAGGAGGTGCTCTGGGCACGTCCCACTGGGAGGAGACCCCAGGGAAGACCCAGGACTCGCTGGAGGGACTATGTCTCTCTCTCTGGGAGCGCCTTGGGCCCCCCGGACGAGCTGGAGGAAGTGTGTGTGGAGAGGGAAGTTTGCTTAGACTGCCGTCCCCCCAACCCAGCAACGGATGAAGCGGAAGAAAATGGAGGAATGGGTTTTATACAGCACCTTTTTGGACTCTCATGTTTCATTCACTCCAAACACAGGTGATTAACTACTGCCCCCCCCACCGTTCAGACACCAACCTAAAAGTACTGTGGGTATATACAGTGCCTTGCGAAAGTATTCGGCCCCCTTGAACCTTTCAACATTTCGCCACATTTCAGGCTTCAAACATAAAGATATACAAATTTAATTTTTTGTCATGAATCAACAAGTGGGACACAATCGTGAAGTGAAACAAAATTTATTGGATAATTTAAACTTCTTTAACAAATAAAAAACTGAAAAGTGGGGCGTGCAATATTATTCGGCCCCTTTACTTTCAGTGCAGCAAACTCAGTCCAGAAGTTCAGTGAGGATCTTTGAATGATCCAATGTTGTCCTAAATGACTGATGATGATAAATAGAATGCTCCTGTGTGTAATCAAGTCTCCGTATAAATGCACCTGCTCTTTGATAGTCTCAGGGTTCTGTTTAAAGCGCAGAGAGAACCATGAAGACAAAGGAACACACCAGGCAGGTCCGAGATACTGTTGTGGAGAAGTTTAAAGCCGGATTTGGATACAAAAAGATTTCCCAAGTTTTAAACATCTCAAGGAGCACTGTGCAAGCAATTATATTGAAATGGAAGGAGTATCAGACCACTGCAAATCTACCAAGACCCGGCCGTCCCTCCAAACTTTCATCTCAAACAAGGAGAAGACTGATCAGAGATGCAGCCAAGAGGCCCATGATCACTCTGGATGAACTGCAGATAGCTACAATTTTATATCTTTATGTTTGAAGCCTGAAATATTGAAAGGTTGAAGGGGGCCGATTACTTTCGCAAGGCACTGTATGATATAAACCGTGAAGTAAAAAGCAGAAAACAAGGATTGAATGGAAATCAAATAAGATTTTTGGACCTGAATAATGATATTTCGGTGATTCCTGGTGCAGACGATAACCATGTGACTCCAACAGAACGGCTCTGAGAGTCTTCCTAGACCGGACTACAGCACCATGCCGCTGCTCGCGGGGCCTCCACAGGTTGGTCAGAAGATCGCCTTTAAGGTAGCTCTATATTTACTTTATATTTTAGACTTTTCTCAAAGACTGAATATCATCGATTTCAAAGCATAACAAATGTAATCGTGTGAATCTTTTCTTTTGGCAACAGCTGCTGGAGCTGACGGAGAACTACACACCAGAGGTATCGGGTTATAAAGTGAGTCAGTCTCAATTCAATTTACTGGGACACTTTTATTCTTTTGGTTGAAACATACTTTACTGATCCTGTTGGAGAAATACAGGTGTTCAGCAGCAGAAACGCATCCATCCAAACAAACATAAATACACCAACAACAACACAAGTGACTAAAGATATAAAGTGCAGCACCAGCAGAGGTGGTGTAAGCTGGTCTCTCTTTCTGGTCTCTCTCTGGTCTCTATGGTCTCTCTCTCTGGTCTCTATGGTCTCTCTCTCTGGTCTCTATGGTCTCTCTCTCTGATCTCTCTGATCTCTCTCTGGTCTCTCTATGGTCTCTCTCTCTGATCTCTCTCTGGTCTCTCTATGGTCTCTCTCTCTGATCTCTCTCTGGTCTCTCTATGGTCTCTCTCTCTGATCTCTCTCTGGTCTCTCTGGTCTATCTCTCTGATCTCTCTCTGGTCTCTCTGGTCTCTCTCTCTGGTCTCTATGGTCTCTCTATGGTCAAATGTTCTAATGAATGTGTTTTTCAGGAGGGCAGGATTCTGGGTTTCGACCCCAGCACTAAACAGATCGAGCTGAAACTTCTCACGTCGTCACAAGGTAAAACTTCAGGATCCTCAGATCCACAGGTCCCACTCACATGTGCTTTTCCCTCCAGCCCCAGTGGAACCTGGGAAGTTTGACCTGGTTTATCAGAACGCAGACGGCTCCGAGAGCGTGGAGTACGCTGTGGATCGAGGCTCACTCGTAAGTCACGGGTCTGGGATCTAGTCTCCATCAAAGCTGAAGAGACGGGTCTGGAGCAGTGTCTCGGTTTAACAGCTTGTTCTATATTCAATCTTAAGCATGACACATTGCACAATAAATGACTCAAAATATCAAGAGTACAATAAAAGAGTGAGGTCAATAACTTAAAGCATTTCAGTGTTTTTTCAATGCAAATTTCTCACTATTTACAGACAAAAAACAATTGTAAAACACAAACTGTCGAGTTGGTAGAGCATTGACCTTTGAGCCAGAGGGTCGTGGGTTCAAGCCCGACTTTCACCATCGACTCCCACTGTCTGCTGTCGTTGTGTCCTTGGGCAAGACACTTAACCTCTGGGAACAGCAGGTGGCACAGTGGGGCGGCTGTAAAGTGCCAAACTGCTGTTGTGTCCTTAGGCAAGACACTTCCCCCCATTGCCTAGAATGAGTCTGGTGTGTGTGTGAATGGTTGGTGGTGGTGGGAGGGGCCAATGGCACAGACTGTTGCCTCGCTTCTGTCAGTGTGCCCCAGGGCAGCTGTGGCTACTGTAGTTTATCACCACCGTGTATGGAGTGAAAGAATAACGACATGTGAAGTATCTTTGAGTGTCCAAAAGAGCGCTGTATAAAAACCAATGCATTATTATTATTATTATTATGAAGTTACCTGTAAACAGTGTCACAAAATGACTTAAAGTATTACACTACTGATTTACTTTGAAGTTACTTTCCCCAAATATATAAATACAAACTAAATGTAGCTAAAGTGTGGATGAATGAGGGATCAGCGCTTCTTCCTGTAGTCAACCACCCTCCAGGAGGAAACGTATAAAGCTATAGATGGATATTATTTATTATTATTGTTATTAAAATTATTTTTCATTAGTGGAAAAAATTATGTTTGTTGTGCAGCCGGTTTTCAAACTAATGCATGTTTTTCCTCCAGGTAACAGAGAGGTGGGATTCTCTGCTCGAACCGCGACTTGTCCTTTAAAGTGGGAGTCATGGCAACGGCAGGATTCATGGAGGCTTCCAAAATGTACATATTATATACAGTTCATTTTTAAAACCTCTTTTAACTGTAAAGTCCTTAAAGAAGTGTGTTTCTGCGGATACAGTGCGACGAGGACATGAGTTTATTTTTGTACAAAACAAAGGATTTCTTTGGTCAAATTTTAAATGTTATTTTCCTGCAATAAAACGAATGGTTCAAAACTATATTTTATAATAATTTTGTTAAATTAGATTAAGGTTTTTGTTTGTTTTATAAATGGGTTATTTTCAATTCGTTGTTGGAACTGTTGGGTCACAGAATGTTATTGTAGAAAGTTTAAATCCGAGGTCCTTTTTTTTTGTATGAAATCTCCAAAGAGCACATGGCGCCTCCTTGTGGTGAAGTCATGTACAGCCGTGTACTACACTGCAAGAACACCTGGAAAAAAGTCACATTTTCTTGAATCAAATTTATATTGATTTAAAAACAATTAAGAAATGTGTCTATAATGAAGTTTCTATACTTAAAACATTCTTGAAAAGCTTACGTATTAGAGAACCCAACTTTCACACCACACTGTTACTGTGCAATCTGGTTTATCTTCAAACAAGTGGTAGGTTTCTAAAAACAAAACATCAGAATCATTCAGGTTTTTAAGTATTTCACACAAGCATCAACTCTAAGGACCTGGTCTCATTGATCAGCTGTGTCTTGTTTGTGTAACAATAAAAATTAATTATTTAAAGAAAAAGTTTATAAGATAAGAATTCCTTTATTTGTCCCACAGTGGGGAAATTTCGGTGTTGCATTGCACATATAGGACAGTAGTAAGAGCACACAGGGATCACACACAATATATACAAATAAGTAGTAGCTATGTTTCTTAGCTAACATAACTAGCTGTAGATGCTGAAAATGCTTCAATACCAGTCAAAAAATATATATGTAGTAGTGCAGTTATATACTGTACAGTTAAATAGTGCAGGATCATAAGTATATAATATTGATGTCATAATTGATTAGATAAGAGCATTGGCCTTAAGGCCAGAAGGTCGTGGGTTCAATTCCCACCTCTGCACCTTCTCCACCGACTCCCACTGATGACTGCTGTCGTTGTGTCCTTGGGCAAGACACTTAATACAATTTTTTTACAATACAATTTATTCTTGTATAGCCCTAGGTCACAACAGAAGTCATCTCAGAGGACTTAACAAAACCATTGAAATCACCAACACAGGTCAGAGAATCAACAGTTAAAACACATGAAGAATACAGTATAAAGCACACACAGAAGAAAATGTCCATACATGTTGTAGAATGCTAAAGTGTCCTGATCATCACCAATCCTTTCTGTTGGACACTAACTGTCCAACAAGACCCTCCTGCATCGACAAGGAAAAACTCTTAAAAAACCCAGTGGGAAAAAGTGAGAAACCTTGGAGGAGAACTAGGGAAACCCACAGGGAGGGAGACCCATATGAGAAAGGGATCCGCTCCTCCGGACGGACAGGCTAATGATCTAGGACCTAAGCTAGCTACAGAACGTGGACCAGTGGACGCTGAACGTGGACAGGTCCGGTGCAGGACTGAAGCACTCCCAGGCGGGTCGGGCGGGGCAGTCCGCAGGTGTAGATGGAAGAGGCCAGGCTCAGAGATCCCGTCATCGTACCATGAAACAGACAATGGGACAACGGGTGAATAGCAATGAACAAACTACAGTCAGAATCCTAAAAATGCTAAACAGATAAAGTAGGAAGGAGGAGAGGATAGTGCTCAAGTTACCATACTTCTCCCAGCAAACTGACTCCCTATGCAGCTTGACTAACACTCTGAGGAGTTTAACCTTCTCCGAGTCTTACCTTCCTAGCCATATGCTAAACTAAAGAGGACTGTTTTAAACCTAGCCTTGAATAAAGAATAACATACAGCATAATATATAACATAATATACAACATAACACAATACATTATTGAATAATATATAACATAATACAGCATATATATATAATATATACACTACATATTATATATTACCTAATTATATGCTAAATTAAAGTAAAGTGCTTTAAGCCTGGCCTTGAATGTGGAGACCGTATCTGCTTCCTTAACATAAATGGGAAGCTGATTCCACAGTAAAGGAGCTTGGTAGCTAAATGCTCTGCCACCAACAGTGACCTTTGAGACCTTAGGGACCACCAGACGTCTGGCGTTTTGTGAGCGCAACGCTCGACCTGGTTGATACGACACTAACGTGTCTTGGAGATAAGAGGGAGCCAAGCCATTTATGGCTTTATATGTTAAGAGTAGGATTTTAAACTTTATTCTGTACTCCACAGGGAGCCAGTGGAGTGATTTTAACACCGGAGTTATGTGCTCCCTCCTTTTGGTACCTGTTAAGATCCTAGCTGCTGTATTCTGAACGAGCTGGAAGCTCTTCAAAGAGGCTTTAGGGCACGCTGCCAGTAAAGCGTTACAGTAGTCGAGCCTTGAGGTGACAAACGCGTGAATGAGTTTTTCCGCGTCACTTTTAGGAAGAAAATTCCTAATTTTAGCGATGTTCCGTAAGTGGAAGTACGCCGTTTTAGTTGCTTGGCTTATATAAGCCTTGAAGGAGAGTTCTTGGTCAAAAATGACTCCAAGATTCCTCACAGTGTTACTGGGTATTATACTGACATTATCGAGAGTAACCATCTGGTTAGTGAGGGAGTCACACAGGCGCTTCGGACCGAGTAGGATCACTTCTGTCTTCTCCGGGTTGAGAAGTAGGAAGTTAAGAGTCATCCACATTTTAAGGTCCTTTATGCAGGCACTGAGCTTTTCTAGCTGATCTGTCTGATTTGGCTTCATCGACAGATAAAGCTGTGTATCATCTGCATAGCAGTGGAAATTAATTCCATGCTTTTTAATAATGTTTCCCAGTGGCAGCATGTAGAGAGTAAAAAGAATCGGTCCGAGTACCGAACCCTGCGGCACACCGAATTCCACTCCAGAATAAGGCGACGAGTCCTGATTCACATTGACGAAGTGATATCGATCTGATAAATAGGATTTAAACCAGCCAAGGGCTGTTCCTCTAAGACCTATATCACATTCTAGCCTCTGCAGTAGAATGCTGTGGTCTATTGTGTCAAATGCAGCACTAAGGTCCAGTAGGACCAGCACTGACACTTGTCCATTATCGGCAGCTAGTAGTAAGTCATTTGTGACTTTGACTAGTGCCGTTTCAGTGCTATGATGAGCTCTGAATCCTGATTGAAAGACTTCAAACATATCATTTTCCTGCAGGTGGCAGCGGAGCTGCTCAGCTATAAGTTTTTCCAGGATTTTAGATATAAAAGTGAGGTTTGAGATCGGTCTGTAGTTTGTAAGTATTTCTGGGTCCAGGTTTGTTTTCTTCAGAAGGGGTTTGATTACCGCGGTTTTAAAAGCTTGTGGGACATAGCCACATTGTATGGATGCGTTTATTATATTTACGATAGGCTCAATTATCAAAGGAAGTATGTCTTTGAAGAGCCATGTCGGGACTGCGTCTAACATGCAAGTTGAGGCTTTTGAGGATGTGACCACAGAGATCACCTCTGCTTGGCTCACAGCCATGAATTTATTAAGGCCCACTGAAGAGTCTAAGTGGGAAGTCACGTATGCCGCTTCAACCTGTCCACCACTAACAGCAGGAGCAACCTCCTCCAGCTTGTCACGGATGGATGTAATTTTATTATTAAAGAAGTGGAGAAAGTCGACACTGCTCAGTGAGCTTGGAATTTTAGGCTCGATTGCGCTATGGCAGTTTGTGAGTTTAGCGACGGTGCCAAACAAAAATCTACTGTTGTTTTTATTCGCTTCTATTAAAGTTGAATAGTATTGAGTTCGAGCCCCGCGAAGGGCATTCTTGTAGTTTCAGAGACCTGCTTTCCACTCCCTGTGGACAGGCTCCGAGTGGGAGTGGCGATATAGCCTCTCCAATTTTCTGACGTCCTGTTTTAAAGTGTGGAGTTGAACACTGTACCAGGGCGACGATGATCTAATCCTAATGGTTTTCTGTTTTAAAGGAGCTGCTGCATTTAATGCAGATTTTAAAGACTCCATAGTGTTGCCCACCGTTTGGTCAATGACTGAGGGACTGCAGCAGCTGTGAACAGGTTCACCTGCAGCAGTATTCAACATAGGCTGTATTAGTTCTTTGAACCTTGTGATAGATTTATCATTTAAGGTTCTTTTCATTATGGTTTTATCTTGCGGGACAGGAAAGTCCTCCAAAGCGAGATCAAACGTGATCAAGAAATGGTCAGACAGCACTTTGCCCAAAGCCCCCGCTGAAAGATCAAGGCTATGCTCACACTCAGAGAGCAGCCGTCCTCCTGTGGACTCACCACCTGCAGAGGGTCAGTGAGGGGCTGGTGCTATGAGACTTGGGTGGCATCTCTGACTGCCACCCCCCTGACCCAGAAATGGATTAAAGGGTAGAAAATGGATGGATGGATGACCGAGGACCGACCCCTGTGGATCCCAGAAGGGTACTTTAGAGTCGAGTGCTGCTAGACTTATGTCACAGTCTGACACTGGGCATTTACGTTTAATGATTTTATTCGGAATAGTCCTAAATCACAACAGTCGTCTCAGAGGACTTCACAAAGTTGTTGATTCGCCAACAACAAATCAGAGAATCAAACACTTCGAACATAGGGAATGCAATAATAATGACATAGGGGCCACTGGTCCATAGCAGTAAATGTTAATAAATGTTAATGAATGTTAATGAGTGGTACATTCATGCCCTCCTGCATCTGCAACAAACAACTCAACTAAAGCCCTGTGAAAAACCATCACAGCAGCAGCACCATATGTCATTGAGGCAAAATCAGAGAAAAACATTTGGAAGTTTTACAACTGACTGCAAAAATAAGTATTTAATCAAAGTAAATTCAAAAACAAAATCCAGCGTAAATATCAAAATTCAACCGAACATAGACAAGACCATGAAATGACAATGAACAAGGAAGGACGACACAGGGTTAAACACACTGATGACCATGGGTGAGACCATGGGTGAGACCATGGGTGAGATCATGGGTGAGACCATGTGGGCGGGTCATCACACAACAGGAAGTAGAACTAGAGCAGATACAGGAGCAGACAGGAAATTAACCTAAACCAGGACAACCCATTTTTATTTGTTAATAAAAATATGTTTATTAATTATGCCTTCCGAGTCATTGTTATTATGATCATTATGTATTTTGTATATATCATATCCTAAAATAATAATAGTCAAACATTAGCACGCGCCCCCTCCCTCTCTCCCCACGCACGCGCACCCCACGCCCCTCAGCCTCCTCAGCCTCCTCAGCCTCCTCAGCCTCCTCAGACGCGGGGACGTGGATGTGGAGGATGTGGAGGATGGAGCAGTCCGCATCCAGACCCAGACCAGGGCCCTTCTAATCCCGCAGAGCACAGCGTCCAGCCCGGGCCCTCACAGCGCCATGGAGACCCAGCAGGAGCGGGAGCAGCTCCTCCAGGTGCTCCGGAGGCTCAAGGAGGTCTTCGACATGTGTGACCGCGACGCAGACGGCTTCATCCGGGTGGAGCGTCTCGTCAACATCGGTCTGCAGTTCGGACAAGGAGACGAGGTGGGTTCTCATTCCAACAGGAGATGGTTTTACTGATACAGCATCAAAACACAAAGAAAACATGGCTAAGATGCGGAGGCTCCAAGATGTATCAAAAACCAAAACCAAAACCCGTCAAATTGACTGCTTTGGGAATTGTAGAGTGAGATGCAGTTGTTTTGGCAGCATCGCTCAGGCATTTTGTCACGGATGGAAACATAAATAAACTGCCTGCTACAGATGTTTCCTGCTATGTCGGTGCTTTGTTGTAATGCAGCTAAAGGATATAATTATTTCATCCATTTGAACTGAACATAATGAGGCTTTTTGTTTATCTGGGCCTTAAAAACAATCCAGCCTAAATTTGTTTTATGAAACGTGTTAATCCTAGTTAACAGTTAATGACGTGTATATCAACGACAACATTATGGATTTATTATTTTAACATTACAACGTTTAGCTAAGACTAATCTGCACTGTCCGTCTCTATAAGGACTTTTAACACAATTAAAAAGACACTGGTTTGTTAGAAATAAAATCACAAATAAAAAAATGCATCTCATGAATCAATATTAGTATAGTCAAATTAAAGCTGGGCTACGTAATTCTCAAACCTCACCAAAAGTAACTATAGCATGAAAGCATTTCCATTGATGACGGTATGTGGCTTAAAGGGTCAGACTTCCTTTATCTTACACCAATATGTCTTTGAATTTATCTGTTTTTTTAGCAATATTATTATTATTATTATTATTATTATATTCTTTAAATCATTGGGACTATCCTCATGTCATTTCACAGTTGGTAAATATAAATGACCCGTTACAGATGATTAAAAGTAGAAGAAGAATACCCTAAATCTGTGTCTAAAAACTATTAAAGAGCGACTAAACACCAAATCAACTTTTTTTAACTCATAAACTGCATAAATATGTTTATTGTAGTGCTGTCTACATATCCTGGTCATTTCTTTTGACATTTTAGTTCAAATTAGATAAAATATCACTTTTAAGCCAAAAAACGCTGTGTGGCGCCCTCTCAACCTTTTTGGTGGTACTACATTTGAATTTGGTTCTGGCCTCTCCATTGACTCTCAAGTTCTCTATGACATCAGTTGTTTTGTGTGACGTCAGTCTGTCAGAGCCAGTGATATAAACCCATTCAACTCTCACACACGCCCCAGCTGCAGTTTGGAGTATTCTGGCGCCATCTAGTGGATTAAAATTAAATTACATGAGTCATTCTGAGATTATTGAGTGTGATTAGGTTCAGGTGTGTAGCTTTACAATTATCTTAGTGTGTAAACAAGGGTGGAATGAGACTTTCTGGTCTCTAAACTATTGCTTTAAGCAGCAATGACAACTGTCTGTTTTTTTTTAGTGAGACAAGTGAGCTGTCAATCACAGCCCAGACCACGCCCAACTCTAAAGCTCACCGCACACCGAAACGCAGCGCCTCGCGGCGCGTCATTTGACGCGCGTTCATGACATGTGTCAAATTACACCGGAACGCCTTGGCTAGCGTCCTTTTCCAGCTGATCGCAGATGAAATGGGTGAGTGACGTTTGGAAGTTTCTACTAATATTTTGGGGGAGGAAACAAAGTATTTACGTGAAATTATGCTGGCAAATATTACAAGAAAAGACTATTTGGACCCATTTTTTAAACAGGCTAATAACTAGCTCTGGGTAACGCTGTACTTGGGTTATCAAGCTTTCCTCGTCCATTGTGACCGGTTTACTTGAGCAATAGCGCCGACAAGTGTGTAAATTTGAGACCGCGCTCACAGCTACGTGATAAGAAGCGCAGAAGAAGAAAACTACGGGTGCTTGGAGGGACAGTTTCAGCCGCGGCGCCGCGTCTGGATTCAACAAAACTGAATCGTGGCGCCCGGTCCAGCGTCGCCGCGCGTCACTGCAACCTTGGTGTGCGTTCTCTCATAGAAAATAAAGGAGGCGGCTCTTTTGCCGCGCGTCAAGGCGTTTCGGTGTGCGTTGGGCTTTAGCCCCCCTTCTTGTCCCTTGGTCCTCCAGGAAACGCCCTTTTAAGAGAACATTTTCAAATCTTCATGTGGGCGGAGCAAGGCTGGGCACAGGTGTTTAGTCGCTCTTTAAGTTAAACAAGATTATTTAATCACTGAGTCGGGTCAATTTTCCCCGAGGAGAGCACAAAGGTTAAAGCCTGTCACAAACGAATGGAACAATCTATTTTTCCTCCATGTTTAGAGTCAACCTGGGCAAAGTGCGGCCCGGGGACCACATATGGCCCTACTCACTCTTCCATGTGGCCCTCGGACCTTTTCCCATTCGCAAACTTGATACCGTCACCTCCCATTTAAAGGTTTGCAGCTTCATGAGTGCTTCATGGGGAGGCCGTGTTTCAGATTCTTCACTGCTAAAATATGGAACAGTCTTCCTGAAAATGTGAGACAGGCTCCATCTCTGACAATGGTGAAATCCAGGTTAAAAACAGGGGGATTTAATATTGCTATCTTTCTTTTTAATGCACTGTGATTATTTAAAGGCGCTATACCCGTTTCTGCACCGCCCCCCAACTCCCTCAATGGCTTCTCATTTCCCCTACGCTCTCATCCCACGGAGCCACCTAGTTTTATTTGCTAACACGATATATAAGTAAAAGAATACCGCTAGTTTCGCGTCCGAATGTATTAGTTTAAAATATAGAATATATTATAATATTTATTTAAAATTTATTATACAGCTCCTCACAGCAGCAGCAGAACACTACATTGACTTGAATGCAATTCTTCCGATAATTTTTTCTTGATAACAGAACTCTCAAACCAATAATGACCGCTGCCCCAATGCAATCTCTGTTTGTAATTCAGGTGTGTAAAATACTGCCATTACTTTGCAAGTACAACAAGCTATCAGCACCTGTCACTACACACTTGTCTGTGTAGAGAAGCTAGCGGAGCTAGCCACGCTCAATAAACAAATACATATCAATCAATCAACACCATTAAATGTTAATCGGACAATACAGTATACATATACATCCTTAACACACATGCACGGACCATTTCAGAATTTGCTGTTAACGTTTTCATGACAAAAATACTGTTTTAGAGTGACAAAAAGCGATTGCGAAAAACCCGGAAGTTACCATGAAACAACTAGCTAGCTTAGCTGTTACCTGCCTAGCACGTCCCGGTGAAACCTTTGGGAGCTAACTATTTTATTTGCAGTCATTAAATACATTTCAAATTATAAGGGTTATCTAATATTTGTTCAAATATGTATATATTTTTTATTTTAGAACTTTTCACTGCTTGTAATTCTTACACAGCTGAATCAATTACCTCAAGTTTTCAATTAAATGATGTATTATGATACGACTTGTATGTAGTAAAAAACATTTTTATGAACTACTTAAAAAAAATCGGGTATAGCTTCTTTAATATGTTTATGTCTTGTTTTGTTCTGAGCTTTGAGTTGCTTTGTGTATGAACTGTGCCATATAGATAAACTTGCCTTACCTTTCATGGGCGGCAGTGGCTCCGTTGGTAGAGCATTGGCCTTTGAGTCCGAAGGTCGTAGGTTCAATCCCACCAATCCACCAACTCCACTGATGTCTGCTGTTGTTGTGTCCTTGGGCAAGACACTCAACCCACTTTGCCTACTGTATAAGGACCACGGAAGTGATGTTCTCTGCTTGCCTTGATGTGTACTGTATGTGTGTGTATATGTGTGTGTGTGTGTGTGTATGTGTGTGCATGTGTATGTATGTGTGTGTGTGCATGTGTGTGTATGTGTGTGCATGTGTATGTGTGTGTGTATGTGTGTGTGTGTGTGCATGTGTATGTGTGTGTATGTGTATGTATGTGTGTGTAAGTGTATGTGTGTGTGTATGTATGTGTATGTGTGTATGTGTGTGTGTGTGTGCATGTGTATGTGTGTGTATGTGTATGTATGTGTGTGTAAGTGTATGTGTGTGTGTATGTATGTGTATGTGTGTATGTGTGTGTGTGTGTGTGCATGTGTATGTATGTGTGTGTATGTATGTATGTGTGTGTATGTGTACTGTATGTGTGTATGTGTATGTATGTGTACTGTATGTGTGTATGTGTGTATGTGTGTATGTGTAGTGTATGTGTGTGTATGTATGTGTATGTGTGTGTATGTGTATGTATCAAACTGAAATTTCCCCATTGTGGGACGAATAAAGGACTTTCTTCACCAAGAATTTAAATCTAAAGACGAGTTAAAATATAATCTGTTTGATATAATATTTAAATGAATTTAAAGTACGTCTCATGCAGTAAAAGGTAAACAGCTTCATAGCCAAAGAAGATAACTCACAGACACAAAGAAAACATTGGATCTTCAGGTTTCCTTTTCATCTGGAAATATTTTCTATCAGAAGAACACAAAGTCAACTAAATGTAACCACATGAAAACAACAATCTCCCACTTTTCTGACAAACCGTAGCTTAACTCTCCGGTCCACATGTTACAGCTTTAAAGATGAAGATGAAACGCACTTCTTCTTCTTCCTCTTAGACTAAAAGCTCGTTTCTTTCACATCTGCAGAGGAGCTTTGTGTCACTGTGAAGCTTTAATCCTAAACCAGAGGAATCTGGAGTTCCTGCTCCGCTGACATGGCGCCCCAGCGCTGTCATGGCGCCCCAGCTCTGAAAATATCCAGTTCTCTGAGGTGTTTCTTCCTCCTCCTCCCTGTTCCTGTCGTCATGGCAACGGGAGCTACACTCACACTAATGGGTGAATTACAGTGGATGGACTGGAAGAAGTCCCTTGTTAATCTCCAGCTCGCCTTAGCAACCGTCCTAGCAACACACCTTCCTCTGAGAGAAAAGAAGTTCAGAAAAATTGTCTTTTCCAGCTTTTGTTCAAATCTGTTTCTTCTGCATTAACTGTGTTTGCTCCATGTGTTAAGAAACATTATTAACACTAGAACTCCCAGAGCAGTCAATTTGACGGCTTTTTGTTTTGGAGTAAATACTCAGATGTTTTGTTTCAGATCAAAAAAATGAGCAGTTTGTTGGATCCAAACGCTCTCGGGAAAATCAACTTCAAAGACTTCTGCCACGGAGTGTTCGCCATGAAAGGTGAGGGACTGATGGGACTGATGAGACTGATGAGACTGATGGGACTGATGAGACTGAGACTGATGGGACTGATGGGACTGATGAGACTGATGAGACTGATGGGACTGATGGGACTGATGAGACTGAGACTGATGAGACTGATGGGACTGATGAGACTGATGAGACTGATGAGACTGAGACTGATGAGACTGATGGGACTGATGGGGCTGATGGGACTGAGACTGACGAGACTGAGACTGATGGGACTGAGACTGATGAGACTGAGACTGATGAGACTGAGACTGATGAGACTGAGACTGATGGGACTGAGACTGATGGGACTGAGACTGATGGGACTGAGACTGATGGGACTGATGAGACTGATGAGACTGAGACTGATGAGACTGAGACTGATGAGACTGAGACTGATGAGACTGAGACTGATGAGACTGAGACTGATGAGGCTGATGGGACTGAGACTGATCAGACTGATGGGACTGAGACTGATGCGACTGATGCGACTGAGACTGATGGGACTGATGAGACTGAGACTGATGCGACTGAGACTGATGAGACTGATGAGACTGATGAGACTGATGGGACTGAGACTGATGAGACTGATGAGACTGAGACTGATGGGACTGAGACTGATGAGACTGATGAGACTGAGACTGATGGGACTGATGAGACTGAGACTGATGATACTGATGGGACTGAGACTGATGAGACTGAGACTGATAGGACTGATGAGACTGAGACTGATGCGACTGATGAGACTGAGACTGATGAGACTGATGGGACTGAGACTGATGAGACTGATGGGACTGAGACTGATGGGACTGATGGGACTGATGAGACTGATGGGACTGATGAGACTGATGGGACTGATGGGACTTAGACTGATGAGACTGATGGGACTGAGACTGATGGGACTGATGAGACTGAGACTGATGGGACTGATGGGACTGAGACTGATGGGACTGATGGGACTGAGACTGATGAGACTGATGGGACTGATGAGACTGATGGGACTGATGGGACTGATGAGACTGATGAGACTGATGGGACTGATGAGACTGATGAGACTGATGGGACTGATGAGACTGATGGGACTGATGATACTGATGGGACTGATGGGACTGATGAGACTGGGACTGATGGGACTGATGAGACTGATGGGACTGATGAGACTGATGGGACTGATGAGACTGGGACTGATGAGACTGATGGGACTGATGAGACTGATGGGACTGATGAGACTGATGAGACTGATGGAGACTGATGAGACTGAGACTGATGGGACTGAGACTGATGGGACTGAGACTGATGGGACTGAGACTGATGAGACTGAGACTGATGGGACTGAGACTGATGAGACTGATGGGACTGGGACTGATGAGACTGATGGGACTGATGAGACTGATGAGACTGAGACTGATGAGACTGAGACTGATGGGGACTGATGAGACTAATGAGACTGAGACTGATGGAGACTGATGGGACTGATGAGACTGATGAGACTGATGAGACTGATGAGACTGATGAGACTGATGGGACTGATGGGACTGATGGGGCTGATGGGACTGATGGTACCCACACACCCTGGTCCAGGTCCAGGTCCAGATCCTGGTCCAGGTCCAGGTCCAGGTCCAGGTCCAGTCCTTGAGTCTCTGTGTTGCAGGATGTGAGGACATCCTGAAGATGCCGCTGACGTCTCGTTCCTCTGTCACCGACAACGGATACATTTACCAGGTATCACCTCCTGCACCTCCTGCACCACCACCTCCTGCTCCATCATCACCTCCTGTCTTTCACTTCCTTACATACATGTGTGTGTCTTTCACTTCCTTACATACATGTGTGTGTCTTTCACTTCCTTACATACATGTGTGTGTCTTTCACTTCCTTACATACAGGTGTGTGTCTTTCACTTCCTTACATACATGTGTGTGTCTTTCACTTCCTTACATACATGTGTGTGTCTTTCACTTCCTTACATACATGTGTGTGTCTTTCACTTCCTTACATACAGGTGTGTGTCTTTCACTTCCTTACATACATGTGTGTGTCTTTCACTTCCTTACATACGTGTGTGTGTCTATTTGTGTCTTTTTCTTTCTTACATATTTGTATGTGTCTTTTAGAACGGCGAGGCCAAGCTGGGGCCTCCTCACATTGTGTTCAGCTCTGAGCTCACACGCCAGCGACGGTACGTGTGTGTGTGTGTGTGTGCAATTTTTTAAGCCCAATACTTTTATGTTGCGTGTGTTATGTTGATGAATTTCATTGCCTTTTTGTTTCTAAGCCTTTTGAAGGGCCTTTTACACATATGAACAGTGTGCATGTGTGTGTTTGTCTCTCTTTCTCTGTGTGTGTGTGTGTGTGTGTGGGTGTAGGCCCTCTCCCGGCAGCAGCTCGGCCTCTGTTCTCTCTGGAGAGGAGCAGTTTGAGGATTATGGTGAAGTGGAGGACGTGGAGTTCACTCCCAGCAGTCCGTGTCCAGAGGAGGAGGCGCACACCTACATGGGCTCCTCTCTGCCCTCCAGGTGGGTCTGCTCCTCCTGTGGGTCTGCTCCTCCTGTGGGTCTGCTCCTCCTGTGGGTCTGCTCCTCCTGTGGGTCTGCTCCTCCTGTGGGTCTGCTCCTCCTGTGGGTCTGCTCCTCCTGTGGGTCTGCTCCTCCTTTGGGTTTGCTCCTCCTGTGGGTCTGATCCTCCTGTGGGTCTGATCCTCCTGTGGGTCTGCTCCTCCTGTGGGTCTGCTCCTCCTGTGGGTCTGCTCCTCCTGTGGGTCTGGCTCCTCCTGTGGGTCTGGCTCCTCCTGTGGGTCTGACACCACTAACGTGATCAGCTCAGTCTAGGGTCCAGACATAATACAACCTGACAAGAAATGTTTTGGGATGTGGTTGAATCAATAACTTAAAAAGTTTAGTAAGCATGAAATAATCATAATTCTTGATACTTTCTTAAAAATCTAGAGAGAAACATGTTCAGAAACAAAGTCCCAAAAGTTGCAAAAAATGAACTAGATTGTCTGTCCGTTGTCATGGTAGAAGTTACAATGGTGATTGTCCCCATAGTGATGGTTGCCATGGAGATTACCATAGTAACTGTTACCATGACAGTTGCCATCCATGCTAACCAACAAACGGTTGAGGAAACCAATAAGGGTTAAAGTAGCAGTATGTAATATTTGCATGTAAAGTCATCATTAAATGGCCCCAATATTTCAAAAGACATTATTATTAAATCATGCTCTGTTCGAATACATCTTTAACTGATAACAGTAGTTCAGAGATGTTTGAATATCAAAATTAGTTTTACGACCTGTAAAAGTTGTTAATTTTCATTTCGATGTCCCGCCCTCCACCGTTTCACTAGTCACGAAGTCCGTGATCCGGGCGCCGCGGCTAGCTAATCTCACTGGTAAAATAACATGTGACCACAGAACTAAAAAAGGTCTTATTATGACTCTCAAATCATTAATGACAAAACAAAGACTAAAACGAGAAGGACCGAGAAGGACCGAGAGGGGCCGAGAAGGGCCGAGAAGGACCGAGAAGGGCCGAGAAGGACCGAGAAGGGCCGAGAAGGGCCGAGAGGGACCGAGAAGGACCGACAAGGACCGACAAGGACCGACAAGGACCGACAAGGACCGACAAGGACCGACAAGGACCGACAAGGACCGACAATGACCGAGAAGGACCGAGAAGGACTGGGAGGGACTGGGAAGAAACCACTGTTATTCTCCTTCATGGTTTGGGGTTCTCTCCTTCATGGTTTGGGTTACTCTCCTTCATGCTTTGGTTTACTCACCTTCATGGTTTGGTTTACTCACCTTCATGGTTTGGTTTACTCATCTTCATGGTTTGGTTTACTCACCTTCATGGTTTGGTTTACTCACCTTCATGGTTTGGGTTACTCTCCTTCATGCGTTGGTTTACTCACCTTCATGGTTTGGTTTACTCACCTTCATGGTTTGAGTTACTCTCCTTCATGGTTTGTCTGTGTGTCCAGCGGGGGCCAGACTCCAGAGAAGATGCAGCAGTTGCGGAACAGTGACCTGTTGGACATCTACTGCTCCCAATGCTGCAAGAAGGTCAACCTGCTCAACGATCTGGAGGCGCGGCTCAGGAACCTCAAGTCCTGCAGGTATCGCCCCTAGTGGCCGACACGCGGAACTGCATCTACACACATTAACCCTGATGCACACCCTGGTCTCATCTCATTCAAATTCTAATATTTAAAAGCTAATGATATATGTTTATATGCTGCTATAACTAAGTCGCAGACAGACAGAAAACATGTCTTTATGATGAATTACTATGTAGTTAATGATTAATTGATCATGAATTAGTGAGTCCATTATTCATGTGATTGTTGTTTGGAGGGAGAAAGGCTGGAAATGTGAGAATTTGATCAAGTCTGGTCCAAACGCCTGGAGCAGATGCAGATGTGGAGGATTTTGACCTCGACTTTAAAAACAATAAAACATTTAATCCTAATACATGTTTCCTCTGTTGTTTTTCAGTCCAAGGAAAATCTCCAGCCGAGCGTTCGGAAGGTGAGACTTTTGACTTTAAAGAGTCAGGATATTATTACTGTCATTCAAATGTTATTGGTCCTGAGAGGGTTAATGTGTGATTCTAATTTAGTTGGCCCTGTGTATAACTGTGCTATACAGATAAACTTCCTCCAGCCTCACAGTGTGTTGTGTGCTATACAGATAAACTTCCTCCAGCCTCACAGTGTGTTGTGTGCAGGCAGCTGATCCAGGCCAACCACAGCGTGTTCGGCTGCAGCCCCCACAGCAGCACCGAGGACCTGCTCCGGGACAGCATGGACTCCTGCGACCTGGACATCGCCCACAAGGCATGTGACATCACAAACTCATGTGACATCACAAACTCATGTGACATCACAGACTCATGTGACATCACAGTCTGTGTTCATGTGACATCACAAACAGACTGTGTTCATGTGACATCACAGTCTGTGTTCATGTGACATCACAAAGAGACTGTGTTCATGTGACATCACAAAGAGACTGTAGACAAACAAAGGTTTAGAAAAGTCTAACATCTGGTTTCATATTGTGCTAAAATCCAACTTTTTGGTGAATTGCAGCTGTTTCCATGGTTACAGAGATGGTGGTGTGATGTGACTCTTTATGTCTGTTTCAGGTCAGTTTCCTGGAGAAGAAGGTCACAGAGTTGGAAGGAGACTGTTTGGCAAACGGAGACCTCAAGTCCAAGCTCAAACACCAGAACAATCACCTGGTGCTCAGGTACAAGGCCTTCTGTCATTGGTCCAATCATAGACCAGTGTTTCAGTTATTGGTCCAATCACAGACCAGTGTTTCAGTCTTTGGTCCAATCATAGACCAGTGTTTCAGTCATTGGTCCAATCACAGACCAGTGTTTCAGTCATTGGTCCAATCACCGACCAGTGTTTCAGTCATTGGTCCAATCACCGACCAGTGTTTCAGTCATTGGTCCAATCACAGACCAGTGTTTCAGTCATTGGTCCAATCACAGACCAGTGTTTCAGTTATTGGTCCAATCACAGACCAGTGTTTCAGTTATTGGTCCAATCACAGACCAGTGTTTCAGTCTTTGGTCCAATCATAGACCAGTGTTTCAGTCATTGGTCCAATCACAGACCAGTGTTTCAGTCATTGGTCCAATCACAGACCAGTGTTTCAGTCATTGGTCCAATCACAGACCAGTGTTTCAGTCATTGGTCCAATCATAGACCAGAGTTTGAGGATACTCATTATCTACATGTGGATGACAGAGCAACAAAGAAGGTCCTAAGGTGGAGCAAGTTTGTAGGATTTTACCTATTGGACATTTTTTTAGTGGTAGAGAAACTGGAGCACCTGGAGGAAACCTATATGAGAAGAACGTGTGTGTGTGTATGTGTGTGTGTTCAGGGTACACGAGCTGGAGGAGCAGGTGAAGGACGCTGAGTCTAAAGCAGATCAGAGTCTGGGGGACGAGTCCAAGAGGCACCGAGACGTCTACAGCAAAATGGAACGAGATCGAAACCACGAGATCAGCCTCCTCTGCTCCAGGTACATATATATATATATACTGTATGCATATATATATATATATTTATATATATACAGTGAGAGTAAAAAGTATTTGATCCCTTGCTGATTTTGTTGATTTGCCCACTAATACTGTAAAGACATGATCATTCTATACTTTTAATGGTGGATGCATTTAAACATGGTGAGATAGAATATCAAAAAGAAAATCCAGAAAATAACTTTAAGGAATATATTTCAATTCATTTGTATTTCATTGAGGGAAAAAAGTATTTGATCCTCCTAATTCTGGCTTTCACAGAGCAGTTAGACACTCCCAATCAACTTGGGAATTTAAGACTGAGATGAAGACAACTGTTCCAACTAATCACCTGTATAAAAGACAGAGACCAGAGACTCAGACGGTTCCAAGCTCTCCAACATGGATAAGACAAAAGAATTCTCTCAGGACCTCAGAGACAGGATTATTGACCTCCACAAATCTGGAATGGGCTACAAAAACATTAGCAAGATGCTGGGAATAGAAGTAACAACCATTGGTGCAACTGTTAGAACATTTAAAAAGTATAACATGACTATCAACAGACCTCGATCTGGTGCTCAACAGAAGATTTCACCTCGTGGGGTTACAATGATCATGAGAACTGTGAGAAATCGTCCTGCAACCACTCAGCAGGAGTTAGTGAATGACCTCAAGGCAGCGTGGACCACAGTCACCAGGAAAACAGTTGGCAACACTTTGCGACGGAATGGGTTAAAATCCTGCAGTGCCCGAAAGATACCCCTGCTTAAGAAGGCACATGTGGAGGCCCGCCTAAAGTATGCCAATGATCACCTCAAAGATGCACAAAGTGATTGGGAGAAGGTTCTATGGTCAGACGAGACCAAAATTGAACTATTTGGCCTAAACTCTACACGTCGTGTGTGGAGAAAGAAAAATGCTGCCTATGACCCAAAGAACACTGTGCCCACCATCAAGCATAGAGGTGGAAACATTATGTTTTGGGGGTGTTTCTCTGCCAAGGGCACAGGGCTACTACACTGCATCAGTGGGAAGATGGATGGAGCCATGTACCGTGCAGTCTTGAGGGACAACCTCCTCCAATCTGCCAGGAAGCTGAAAATGGGCCGTGGTTGGGTCTTCCAACATGACAACGATCCAAAACATACAGCAAAGGCAACAAAGGAGTGGCTCAAGAGGAACCATATTAAGGTCATGGAGTGGCCCAGCCAGTCTCCGGACCTCAATCCTATTGAAAATCTATGGAGGGAGCTGAAGGTCCGAGTTGCCAAGAGACAGCCCACCAACCTGAATGATTTCAAGAGGATCTGCAAAGAAGAGTTGGCCAATATTCCCCCTGATATGTGTGCTAACCTTGTGGTTAACTACCACAAACGTCTGACCGTTGTGCTTGCAAACAAAGGCTTTGCCACCAAGTATTAACTGCTTTTGTCTAGAGGGATCAAATACTTATTTCCCTCAATGAAACACAAATTAATTAAAATATATTCTTGAAAGTTATTTTCTGGATTTTCGTTTTGATATTCTGTCTCTCCATGTTAGCATACATCTACCATTAAAAGTATAGAATGATCATGTCTTTATTAGTGGGCAAACCAACAAATTCAGCAAGGGATCAAATACTTTTTACTCTCACTGTATATATATATATATATATATATTTATATATATATATGTATACGCACACACACATACAAACAGAGTGTGTCTGTTTCAGGATTCAGGATCTGGAGGAGGAGAACGGAGACATGAAGTTAAACGTGCGCCGACTCCGGACACAGACGGAGAAACTGGACCAGGTGCGTCTGAGACCAGGACTGTCTGAGACCGGGTCTGTCTGAGACCAGGACTGTCTGAGACCGGGTCTGTCTGAGACCGGGTCTGTCTGAGACCGGGTCTGTCTGAGACCGGGTCTGTCTGAGACCAGGTCTGTCTGAGACCAGGTCTGTCTGAGACCAGGTCTGTCTGAGACCAGGTCTGTCTGAGACCAGGTCTGTCTGAGACCAGGTCTGTCTGAGACCAGGTCTGTCTGAGACCAGGTCTGTCTGAGACCAGGTCTGTGCAGCAGGAGGAGGAGAGAACAAGAGCAGTCACAGCTCTTTTCTGCAGGTCTCAAACACTGAAGCTTTAGTTATTTCTGCTGTGATCGTCACATACTGTAAAATAGACTTTATTGATCTCTCACAGGTAAAATAAACCTTTGACTTTTCACATTAATGACAGAAGCAGAGATTGAGGAGACAAATGTTACATATATAAATATAATATGTATGTATTTACATATCTGAATGTATAAAGAGGGCGACAGTGGCTCAGTGTGTAGAGCATTGGCCTTTGAGCCTGAAGGTCGTGGGTTCAAGCCCACCGTAAGACCTACTTCACGACTCCCACTGATGTCTGCTGTCGTTGTGTCCTTGGGCAAGACACTTAACCCCACTTTCCCTGAAGCTCCCACTGAAAGATCTCAGCTCCTGTGGACTCAGCACCTGCAGGAGGATCAGTGAGGGGCTGGTGCTCTGTGTACTGGGTGCAGCTCTGACTGACGGGCGTTACGGTGGCTGAGTGGATAGCACTCTCGCCTCTCAGCAAAAAGGTCCTGGGTTCGAATCCCGGTCGGACCAGGGCCTTTCTGAGTGGAGTTTGCATGTTCTCCCCGTGTCTGCGTAGGTTTCCTCCGGGTACTCCGGTTTCCTCCGGGTACTCCGGTTTCCCCTACCACTAAAAATATGTCCAATAGTTCTGGCATGTGCCTCCTGTACTGGCCCCGCTCCCATCTCTGTGAGGAGTGAGAGACAAATGCCCAAAATTAACAATTGTAAACCGCTTTGAGACTCAGATCTGCAGTGAAAAGGCGGTATATAAATAAAGATTACTACTTACTACTACTGACACCCCCCCGCCCCAGAAATCGATTAAGGGAAAGAAAATGGATGGATGGATGGATGTATACATATCTGTATCTATATATACAGTATGTGTATATCTATATACAGTATGTATATATACAGTGTGTATGTTTATCTATATACAGTATATATATATATACAGTATGTATGTATATCTATATACAGTATATATATATACAGTATGTATGTATATGTATAGGTAAAGTGTATGTGTTTTGGTGCAGGAGAAACGTAAGATGTCGGACAAACTTGAAGACACCAGTGTGAGGCTCAGTGACGAGATGGAGCTGTACAGAAAGATCATGGACAAACTGTGGCAGAACAGACACGAGTTCCAGAAGGAGAAGGAGGCCATGCAGGAGGTGAGGAGGGGGGAGGAGGAGGTGAGGGGAGAGGGGCCATGTAGGAGGTGAGGAGAGGGGAGGAGGAGGTGAGGGGAGAGGGGCCATGTAGGAGGTGAGGAGAGGGGCCATGCAGGAGTATGTTTTACATGTATATACACTGTTTTTATGTTTTATGGTCTGTTTTTGAATTGCTTGTGAAGCACTTTGGGTTACACTGAATCCTGCTTCATAAATACATTTGAATTTGATTGATTGAGGAGGGAGGCGGGGGAAGGAGGCCATGCAGGAGGTGAGGAGGGGGGAGGAGGCCATGGAAGGAGTGAGGAGGAGGGAGGAGGCCATGGAGGGAGTGAGGAGGAGGCCCCTGAACCTGCCTGTGTTGCAGCTGATCGAGGACCTGCGGCGGGAGCTGGAGCACCTGCAGATGTTTAAACTGGAGGTGGAGCATCCAGGACAAGGCAGGAGTCTGTCTGAACTCAGCGCCAGAACCAGAGAGACCGAGATGGAGCATGAGGTCAAGAGGCTCAAGCAGGTACTGACCCAGACTGGTACCGACCCAGACTCTGGTACTGACCCAGACTGGTACCGACCCAGACACTGGTACTGACCCAGACTGGTACTAACCCAGACACTGGTACTGACCCAGACTCTGGTACTGACCCAGACTGGTACTGACCCAGACTGGTACCGACCCAGACTGGTACCGACCACTGAGACTCTGTAGGTCCTTCCTTCCTGCAGCTGTCAGACTGTACAACGAACCCTGCTGACCTGGTGCATGTCAGAATGTGCAGTGACCACATGTGTCTGTCCCAGAGCCTCCTGCTGCTCATGTCCAGGTGTAAACATACACCTGTGTCTGCTCATGTACAGATGTAAACATACGCCTGTGTCTGCTCATGTACAGGTGTAAACATACACCTGTGTCTGCTCATGTACAGGTGTAAACATACGCCTGTGTCTGCTCATGTACAGGTGTAAACATACACCTGTGTCTGCTCATGTACAGGTGTAAACATACGCCTGTGTCTGCTCATGTACAGATGTAAACATACGCCTGTGTCTGCTCATGTACAGATGTAAACATACACCTGTGTCTGCTCATGTACAGATGTAAACATACACCTGTGTCTGCTCATGTACAGATGTAAACATACACCTGTGTCTGCTCATGTACAGGTGTAAACATACACCTGTGTCTGCTCATGTACAGGTGTAAACATACACCTGTGTCTGCTCATGTACAGGTGTAAACATACACCTGTGTCTGCTCATGTACAGATGTAAACATACACCTGTGTCTGCTCATGTACAGATGTAAACATACACCTGTGTCTGCTCATGTACAGGTGTAAACATACACCTGTGTCTGCTCATGTACAGGTGTAAACATACACCTGTGTCTGCTCATGTACAGATGTAAACATACACCTGTGTCTGCTCATGTACAGATGTAAACATACACCTGTGTCTGCTCATGTACAGGTGTAAACATACACCTGTGTCTGCTCATGTACAGGTGTAAACATACACCTGTGTCTGCTCATGTACAGGTGTAAACATACACCTGTGTCTGCTCATGTACAGGTGTAAACATACACCTGTGTCTGCTCATGTACAGATGTAAACATACACCTGTGTCTGCTCATGTACAGATGTAAACATACACCTGTGTCTGCTCATGTACAGATGTAAACATACACCTGTGTCTGCTCATGTACAGATGTAAACATACACCTGTGTCTGCTCATGTACAGATGTAAACATACACCTGTGTCTGCTCATGTACAGGTGTAAACATACACCTGTGTCTGCTCATGTACAGGTGTAAACATACACCTGTGTCTGCTCATGTACAGATGTAAACATACACCTGTGTCTGCTCATGTACAGGTGTAAACATACACCTGTGTCTGCTCATGTACAGATGTAAACATACGCCTCTGTCTGCTCATGTACAGATGTAAACATACACCTGTGTCTGCTCATGTACAGATGTAAACATACACCTGTGTCTGCTCATGTACAGGTGTAAACATAGACCTGTGTCTGCTCATGTACAGATGTAAACATACGCCTGTGTCTGCTCATGTACAGGTGTAAAAGACGCCTGTGTCTGCTCATGTACAGGTGTAAAAGACGCCTGTGTCTTCTCCAGAATATACAGGAGTTTTACTTGATTCTTTATAAAGTTACAGATGTTATTGTACTACAGAGTGATGTTCAGACTGGATCATGCGTCGACTTTCAATGCAAAGTCAGTGGTGACACACGTCCGAGCGTCGCACGTGACGCTCGGACCGCGCGGCGCAGGAGGAACATCTACACACACAGGAAATGAATTTTGCTGAGCGTTTCCTCGAACGCTCCTGCAGCGTCCAATCAGAGAGCCGCAAAGTAGTCACAGGGACATTAGTGTCTGAGCGAGCAGACTGAACATACTGTAAACAGCTAAACCAGGACTAAACCAGGACTAAACCAGGACTAAACCAGGACTAAACCAGGACTAAACCAGGACTAAACCGGGGTTGTCTACGGGGGACATAGTGCTTGTGAACATATGAGTTTTCATGCTCCCGTGACTTTATGCAACTGCTTCGAGTGTGTTGACCAATGAGGAAGTACCGTTTAATAATAAAATAAACATATGGCGCACCTCCGTGAACACATACTACTGTTATATAAAGTCACCTCCGTGAACACATACTACTGTTATATAAAGTCACCTCCGTGAACACATACTACTGTTATATAAAGTCACCTCTGTGAACACATACTGCTGTTATATAAAGTCACCTCCGTGAACACATACTGCTGTTATATAAAGTCACCTCCGTGAACACATACTGCTGTTATATAAAGTCACCTCCGTGAACACATACTGCTGTTATATAAAGTCACCTCCGTGAACACATACTGCTGTTATATAAAGTCACCTCCATGAACACATACTGCTGTTATATAAAGTCACCTCCGTGAACACATACTGCTGTTATATAAAGTCACCTCCGTGAACACATACTGCTGTTATATAAAGTCACCTCCGTGAACACATACTGCTGTTATATAAAGTCACCTGTGAACACATACTGCTGTTATATAAAGTCACCTCCGTGAACACATACTGCTGTTATATAAAGTCACCTGTGAACACATACTGCTGTTATATAAAGTCACCTCCGTGAACACATACTGCTGTTATATAAAGTCACCTGTGAACACATACTACTGTTATATAAAGTCTCCTCTGTGAACACATACTGCTGTTATATAAAGTCACCTCCGTGAACACATACTGCTGTTATATAAAGTCACCTCCGTGAACACATACTACTGTTATATAAAGTCTGTGAAGGTCTCAGACACAGACACGCTGCAAAGCTGCATTATTGAAGAAGATCTTTACGCAAAAAGCTGCTAGCTTAACTCCGTTAGCATCAAAGACCGCCCGCTGCTTCCGCCCCTTCTGCCCCTTCTGGTGCACGCCACCGCAGCAGGACTTTTGGTGTGAAGACCCCTGCGTCTAAAAATTAGAGAATGTGCGTCTGGTTCCAGCGTCGGCGTCTGGTGGGCGAGGCCTTATAGTTTCTTTATCTTGTGCTGCGTGCTCCTCATTCTGCTGCTCTGTACCTGCTGATGCAACACTGACATTTCTCTGTGGGCCCATTCCTTTGTCTCTGTAGGAAAACTTCAAACTTCGAGACCAGAACGATGACTTAAACGCCCAGATCCTCAGTCTGAGTCTGTATGAAGCCAGAAACCTCTTTTCGTCCCAGAGCAAGACCCAGTCTCTGGCTGCAGAGATCGACAGCGCCTCCAGGGACGAGGTGAGAACAGGACCTCAGAATGTGTGACATCACAATGTTCCAAAGAGCCTTTAGTTTCACAGGACCTCAGAATGTGTGACATCACAATGTTCCAAAGAGCCTTTAGTTTCACAGGACCTCAGAATGTGTGACATCACAATGTTCCAGAGAGCCTTTAGTTTCACAGGACCTCAGAATGTGTGACATCACAATGTTCCAGAGAGCCTTTAGTTTCACAGGACCTCAGAATGTGTGACATCACAATGTTCCAGAGAGCCTTTAGTTTCACAGGACCTCAGAATGTGTGACATCACAATGTTCCAAAGAGCCTTTAGTTTCACAGGACTCTCAGAATGTGTGACATCACAATGTTCCAAAGAGCCTTTAGTTTCACAGGACCTCAGAATGTGTGACATCACAATGTTCCAAAGAGCCTTTAGTTTCACAGGACCTCAGAATGTGTGACATCACAATGTTCCAGAGAGCCTTTAGTTTCACAGGACCTCAGAATGTGTGACATCACAATGTTCCAAAGAGCCTTTAGTTTCACAGGACTCTCAGAATGTGTGACATCACAATGTTCCAGAGAGCCTTTAGTTTCACAGGACCTCAGAATGTGTGACATCACAATGTTCCAGAGAGCCTTTAGTTTCACAGGACCTCAGAATGTGTGACATCACAATGTTCCAGAGAGCCTTTAGTTTCACAGGACCTCAGAATGTGTGACATCACAATGTTCCAGAGAGCCTTTAGTTTCACAGGACTCTCAGAAATCTGAAACTACTACAACTCATCTTTGATCGCTCTTTTTTAAATCAATAGAATTTTGAAAAAAATACATTTTACTCAAAGTCCAGGACCAGTTTAAGACCACAGAGAAGGCCCTGTGCTCTGGGTTAAAGACCACAGAGAAGACCCTGTGCTCTGGGTTTAAGAGCACAGAGAAGGCCCTGTGCTCTGGGTTATAGACCACAGAGAAGGCCCTGTGCTCTGGGTTTAAGACCACAGAGAAGGCCCTGTGCTCTGGGTTTAAGACCACAGAGAAGACCCTGTGCTCTGGGTTAAAGACCACAGAGAAGGCCCTGTGCTCTGGGTTAAAGACCACAGAGAAGGCCCTGTGCTCTGGGTTTAAGACCACAGAGAAGGCCCTGTGCTCTGGGTTTAAGACCACAGAGAAGACCCTGTGCTCTGGGTTAAAGACCACAGAGAAGGCCCTGTGCTCTGGGTTTAAGAGCACAGAGAAGGCCCTGTGCTCTGGGTTTAAGACCACAGAGAAAACCCTGTGCTCTGGGTTAAAGACCACAGAGAAGGCCCTGTGCTCTGGGTTAAAGACCACAGAGAAGGCCCTGTGCTCTGGGTTTAAGACCACAGAGAAGGCCCTGTGCTCTGGGTTATAGACCACAGAGAAGGCCCTGTGCTCTGGGTTTAAGACCACAGAGAAGGCCCTGTGCTCTGGGTTTAAGACCACAGAGAAGGCCCTGTGCTCTGGGTTTAAGACCACAGAGAAGGCCCTGTGCTCTGGGTTTAAGACCACAGAGAAGGCCCTGTGCTCTGGGTTTAAGACCACAGAGAAGACCTTGTGCTCTGGGTTTAAGACCACAGAGAAGGCCCTGTGCTCTGGGTTTAAGACCACAGAGAAGGCCCTGTGCTCTGGGTTTAAGACCACAGAGAAGACCCTGTGCTATGGGTTAAAGACCCACAGAGAAGGCCCTGTGCTCTGGGTTATAGACCACAGAGAAGGCCCTGTGCTCTGGGTTTATAGACCACAGAGAAGGCCCTGTGCTCTGGGTTATAGACCACAGAGAAGGCCCTGTGCTCTGGGTTTAAGACCACAGAGAAGGCCCTGTGCTCTGGGTTTAAGACTACAGAGAAGGCCCTGTGCTCTGGGTTTAAGACCACAGAGAAGGCCCTGTGCTCTGGGTTTAAGACCACAGGGAAGGCCCTGTGCTCTGGGTTTAAGACCACAGGGAAGGCCCTGTGCTCTGGGTTTAAGACCACAGAGAAGGCCCTGTGCTCTGGGTTTAAGACCACAGAATAGAGGTGACGTCACGTGACGCTGTGGTTGTGGTGGTTCTTTGAGCAGCTAGACTCTCACGTGTGTCTCTGCAGCTGGTGGACGCTCTGAAGCACCAGGAGGAGATCAACCTGCGTCTGCGGCAGTACATGGACAAGATCATCCTGTCCATCCTGGAACACAACCCCTCCATCCTGGAGATCAAGACTTAGCCCGTCCCACCTTTACACTCGCTCTTGTTTAGAGATGAACCATTCCACCAACCGCTGAAGCAGGGTCTGTATCTAAAGTGTCAAATCACAATCACTGTTTACGCCGCGGGAGAAGGGCACACCTCAGACTGCCTCGAAACACATTTGCCAAAACCATGAAAATGCTAATGCTAACAGCAGGTCAGCTGTGGTCAGTTATTAACTCTCCTCCATCCTGTAACCTGTGATATTCTTAGTGTGCATATAGATGGGTTTCTGTGGCCATACACTAAGCTAACACTTCACTCTTTACGTGTGTATAAAAAAGAATGTTTGAACATAATGTTTGAGCTGAGTTCCTCTGAACATGAGGCGTCATCGCTGCTTTGGCCTTTTCCAGCTCCTTTGGCCTCAGAACTAAAGCTCCAAAGTGAAGTGAGCCTCTGGGTCTGAAGCACTTGAAATCACGACCAGAGAAACTTACGGTGTGAGAATAATCCCCTGTGACGTAAACTTCTATGATCTTTGATCTATTCCATGTCACATGCTAAAGCTAGCCAAACACATGGTGTTCTGAGGAGGCAGCGAGGGCTGCACTGCACTAAATACTCTTCTGTAGATGAACTAGTTTTGCTTAGTTGCACAAAGTGTTTACTGTGTTCTGCATCTTCACTCTGTACTCTATTTATGCACAAAGGTGGTGTTTGATTTAGTCACATATATATTTATCACAATCAACTCGTGTGTAAAAGATTGTACCTGCGCTGGTTTAACCAGAAACTTTGTCGGACACAACTTGGTACAGATACAGCTGTGCTCAAAAGTTTACATACCCTGAAGGAACCAGAAATGTGGACCATAAATGATAACACAATGTTTTCACTCATTGTTTGTGCTGGTTTTCTATTTTAAAAAACAACAACATTAGACCCTTTAACATTTATCACAGATTAATCTGTTCTTTATCCTCTCGGACGTTAAGCTCATTCTTCTTCGAGTTTCAAGTTCCAGTAAATTCCTGGGCTAACCTGCATGAGCGGCTGAATGATCATTTGTGAAGAGAAACACATTTATACGACAGTAAATGGAACCACTGACGATGAGTGGGAAAACACGTGTTATATTTAAAATCTCCAAATTATGGCAAAAACAAAGATACTCTCTGGTGTGAAAATTAGAAGCACAGCTGTTTCTATGACGATGGATATAACTTAGTCCATGTTGAGGCCAAAATGAAATTACATTGACATAATAAAGTCATTACAAACCACAGTTGTCTGTTTGATGAATAACACGTACTCACATCCCTGTGTCCGTGCTCCATGTGGGAAGGCAGAAAAGGCAAGTTTATTTGTATAGCACATTTTATATACGTTTTATTTGTACCCTGTCAGTCATCTTATCCTGTACGTTATATTGGTGTCTTATAAGCCCATAAAAGGGCAGTTGTACGCAAGACACAATAATAAATAAATGTTCATTCATTATACACAAGGAAACTCGAAGTGCGGAACAAAACTGTATGGAAACAATCATCCAAGGATCCTCAGAGTCCCAGCAGGAGGCCAGTCCCTGTGCTTCTCAGAGTCCCAGCAGGAGGCCAGTCCCTGTGCTCCTCAGAGTCCCAGCAGGAGGCCAGTCCCTGTGCTCCTCAGAGTCCCAGCAGGAGGCCAGTCCCTGTGCTCCTCAGAGTCCCAGCAGGAGGCCAGTCCCTGTGCTCCTCAGAGTCCCAGCAGGAGGCCAGTCCCTGTGCTCCTCAGAGTCCCAGCAGGAGTCCAGTCCCTGTGCTCCTCAGAGTCCCAGCAGGAGGCCAGTCCCTGTGCTCCTCAGAGTCCCAGCAGGAGGCCAGTCCCTGTGCTCCTCAGAGTCCCAGCAGGAGGCCAGTCCCTGTGCTCCTCAGAGTCCCAGCAGGAGGCCAGTCCCTGTGCTCCTCAGAGTCCCAGCAGGAGTCCAGTCCCTGTGCTCCTCAGAGTCCCAGCAGGAGGCCAGTCCCTGTGCTCCTCAGAGTCCCAGCAGGAGGCCAGTCCCTGTGCTCCTCAGAGTCCCAGCAGGAGGCCAGTCCCTGTGCTCCTCAGAGTCCCAGCAGGAGGCCAGTCCCTGTGCTCCTCAGAGTCCCAGCAGGAGGCCAGTCCCTGTGCTCCTCAGAGTCCCAGCAGGAGGCCTCCCTGTGCTCCTCAGAGTCCCAGCAGGAGGCCAGTCCCTGTGCTCCTCAGAGTCCCAGCACAAACATGTCTCAGATGTACTTTGGTATGAGACCATGGAGAGACTTGTAACAAATAGACCTGAGACCAGGACTAAAGTGAGAGGACTTCAGGACAGAGACCTGAGACCAAGTCTGCTTTAGACCAGTATTTCTCAACCATTGGGCCTTGCACAATAGTCTGCCTTGAGACATTGTTTGGTGTGATTTAAAAAATAAGCCAGAAAAGAAAATATTGTTTGAATCTCTACTTATTACACTTGTTAATAAAGGCTGCAGGTGGTTTGCCATGTGATAGTTTTCAATGATTTGAAAACGACTCAAACTAGTTTGAGAACACTGCTCTAGACTGCACAATATCCAGACTGTACAACGAACAATGTGGACTAACTAACACTGACCAACAAATAGTCGGGGTGGCATGGTGGTTAAGTGGATAGCACTTTCGCCTCTCAGCAAGAAGGTCCTGGGTTTGAATCCGGTTAGGACCAGGGCCTTTCTGAGTGGAGTTTGCATGTTCTCCCCGTGTCTGCGTAGGTTTCCTCCGGGTACTCCGGTTTCCCCTACCACTAAAAACATGCACAATAGGTCTGGCATGCGCCTCCTGTACTGGCGACCCCGCTCCCATCTCTGTGTGGAGTGAGAGGACAAGTGCCCAAAAATAATAACAATTGTAAACCGCTTTGTGACTCTGGTCTGTGAAAGGCAGTATATAAATAAAGATTACTTACTTAAATACGACTTCTTTATTTTGCTAAAGTTATATATTTTATTGCTGTGTGCTCCTCATTCCTACTGTTCTGTAACTGGTGATGCAACACTGACATTTCCCCACAGTGGGACGAATAAAGGCTCTCATCCTTTGTGCCTGTAGGAGCCTGTAGGAGCCTGTAGGAGCCCCTCCAGCCCAGCAGGCGTCAGCAGCGCTCCCACTGCCTCCACATCCCGCCGCCAAAAGCGTCTCTTGACAGAAGAATTATTTTCTCTTCGGAACAAGCTCCGACAAAGCAGCGCTGTTTCTTTTTTGTATCTCCCACCTCCACCGACACCATGTACGCCAGCACCAACCCGGGCAGCGCGCACGCAGACTTCCAGGACAGAAACGGCGTCAGCTACGTGTCCTCCGCGGAGTCTTTCGGACACTGCTCGCAACTGTTCTGGAAGAAGGACCCCAGTGATTCTGGAGTAAGAGCCTCTGATGTTCGCCTGACAGCACACACTCCCCCCGGTGCCCCCTCTCTGAAGCATGCCTTCACCCCGCCTGCAGGCTCTGGTCTCCCGCTGCAGCTGGTGCCCTGTGCGCGATGGCTCCTATCGCGTTAGCCGTGAGGAGGAGGACAATATGTCAACAAATAGCATCGTTAGCATCGCCCTCTTGCTTAGCGGCTAACGGCCTACTGTGACTTTTGCTCAGCGGCTTTCCATACACCAACCACGGCTTTAACACACCGTTATGACCCGAGCACATCTGTTAATGTATTATTGATTGAAACGCGCTCAGATAACGGTGCTAGCATGCTAAGTGCTAATGCATCGGTAGGCTATGCTCCGGGCTAGCGAGCTACATGCTGCTGCTGCTGCTGTCTCTGCATCCGTGCGTGTGAGGGGAGTTGTTTTCTGTTCTCCGGTGCACAGTGCAGTGGTTTGGGGGCAGATGTGGTGTCTGCGGTGGTGTTGGAGAGCGGGCAGAGCACAGATGAAGCTTTAGCGGGGCACGGTGATGGCTTGTCCCGCAGGAAACAGGAGCGGAAGGCGCCCCGCGGGGGACTGTGAAAGAGCCCTTTGTGAAGCCTCAGTGAACTTCATTGTTGACCTGTCCACGCCACTCCAGGCCACTCCAGACCACATCGGTTCAGTGTAACTCCCACTGCTGGGCCGACATCTGCAGCTTACATTCACGTTACAAGGATATACATGTGTTCTGTTGTAATTACTGCTTACAGATGTGTAGATTAACATGAAGAGGTCCTTTATATGTCCCACTGTGGGGAAATGTCAGTGTTGCATCACCAGTTACAGAACAGTAGAATCAGGAACACACAGCACAAGATACTATAACTCTAACATCTCTAACTTTAGCATAATGAACCATTAGAGGAGTGTCACATTGACCTGGGTTAGGGTTACTGGTTTCTAATTGACATTTTTTACATTTGCAAAAAACTGGTATATTAGTTCCATTCAAACTAAATCATGTGTTCTGCTATTTAGTTTGACTTCTAATAAGAAAAGTACATTTATTAATAGTATTATGGTCTAGTTAGTACAATATTAAACATGTGGAACTTCAGGCTGCTGACCATAGTGTAGGCCTCTCTAGTGTAGTCGTTGGACCAAAGTGCAATTATGAGTTTTTTAGTCTATTAACAGTAAATAATAGGTCTTGTTTGTACTAATCTCATGTTAGCATTATAAAACTACAGTTCTTCACCAAAAGCTTTTCTCTGTAAAGAGTAAAATCCATTTACTCCAGCTCAGTTTTGTTCGATTAATCCAATGTCGTCAATTAGTCTTAAATCCAAATATTGTTAATAATTAGTCTATTGTTGACTAATTATTTGAATTACAAGGTATGTTCATTTATCTTTGTGCTGTGTGCTCCTCTTTCCTACTGTTCTATAACTTGTGATGCAACACTGAAATTTCCCCACTGTGCGACCAATAAAGGATCTCTTAATCTTTTTATGGTAAACATTACATTCTGGTTTTCACTTTGACTTCAATCCAGGTTGTACGCTAAATCCAGAAATGTCATGAATCTTTATTTTAATATTAAAATAGTTTTTTTTTTGCACAACATTTAAATGGAAATGTTACATGTAAGTTGAGCTGCATAGAAGTTTGCGTGTGGGATTTACTTCTTTTTCACACCAATCCATTTAACGTAATGCAAAATGGGAACCGGTAAATTATGGGGTCATATCAAAAACGTCCGGAGCAACAATAAAAGGAATAAGCCGTTAGTACATAGAACAACTCTGTAAACATGTATTCATCGGGGTCGAACTAAAATATTCATGACAGGAACAAGTGGTTTTCTCAAGTTCAGTTACTGTTTGTACTGACTGATAAACCAATGACAGTTTATTTTCTGACGTATTGGATTCAAATTTTACCATAAATGAAATGGCACAGCTCATAGACAGAAGTCCTTTACAAAACAAGGGTCTGGCCTTGTTTCTGTCACAAGTGGGATAAAGGGTTAAACAATCTCCATGAATGTCCAAGAGAGGCCCCTGTCCTTAGACCCAGTGGGAGAAAAGCTAAACCTCAGAGAGACCCACAGAGGGGTCCAGTCCCACAGATGGCTGTAGATCCAGGACTGGGGACTAGTCTGTAGTGACATATCTGTGGTTTTCTGTTCCACCTTTTAATCTCGCCAACTCCTCCTTCTGTTGCAGCCGAGTTGGTGTGACCAGCCGCTGTCCCTGGAGACCGGGGCCCCTCCGCCGGCCCCCTCTGCTGCAGCCGCGTCTGCCCCGGCTCCCGCTCCGGACGACAGCGAGTCTGACGAGAGGCCGTACGTGTGCGACCTCTGCAACTGTGCCTACAAACACGCCAGCTCCCTGCTCAACCACAAGCTCACGCACCGCATCGGAGACTTCAAGTAAGACCCCTGTGTGTAACAGGATCCTCTGTAAGTCCAGATCAGGACCATAGGAACTGGTGCTGGGTCCAGACCAGGACCGGAGGCACAGTGGACTGGTCCAGGCTAGGACCATAAGCACTGGTGCTGGGTCCAGACCAGGACCGGAGGCACAGTGGACTGGTCCAGGCTAGGACCATAGGCACTGGTGCTGGGTCCAGACCAGGACCGGAGGCACAGTGGACTGGTCCAGGCTAGGACCATAAGCACTGGTGCTGGGTCCAGACCAGGACCGGAGGCACAGTGGACTGGTCCAGGCTAGGACCATAGGCACTGGTGCTGGGTCCAGACCAGGACCATAGGCACCGTGGACTGGTCCAGACCAGGACCATAGGCACAGTGGACTGGTGCTGGGTCCAAAACTCAAGAACAGTGACACATTGTGGCGCCGTCTGCCTGTGAAAGCTTGATCCTATCAGAGCTTAGAAGCTGAGTAGGGCAGGGTCTGGTTAGTACTGTGATGGGAGACCACGGGAACACCTGGTGCTGCAGTGGGGCGGCTGTAAATGTTTAAAGCGAGAATTGAAACCTGGAAAGGCTTCGTGTTTGTGTGCTGGGAGACTTCACGTCACTCACAACTCTTTCATCACATGTTTTCACTGCTCTTGTATTCAGTCTGTCACATCTGTAGATCAGCTTTTTCAGACAGAAAGGTTCGACCCTCACTCAGCCAATCAGCTGAAAACAGTGAAGTATTGGTTTGGTTCAAAGATGGAAAGACGATGAGCTGAACACAGATTGTTTTAGATGACGATGGTTAACTCTAAAACCAATGAATCTCAACAGGGAGGTGCTTCAGCTCTAACTCTCTCTGGTTTCTATTGACTTACATTGAAAAGTAAGCTACTCTGGCTCAGTATCAGTTTCACACTCACCACTTCTGGCCTTAAAGTCTCTTTGAGTGTTTATATTGTGATAATGTCTTTGTAAATCCAGATGTGACTTCTAGCAACTGGCAAACGGTAGCCTTCTGTCAGCGATTTTGGCTTTAGCTTGTGAACGATCACAGCTCCTGATTGGCGCTTGTTAATTTAGCCAACACAATCTAGCTCTACATTTCTTCTCAAATGGTCTGTTTGAGGGAGCTCTGTCTTTAACTGTACATCCATCTCCAACGGTGCGTTCATGTGTAGCATCAGGGTTACACGTCTACGGTGAAGGTTTGAATACATCTGACAGTGTTTGTGTTGCTTGTTGCTTGTAAGAAGTAGGAGTAAGAACATAAGAGGAATTCTGTATAATGTGTTGCACTGTAGGCTAAAGCTTAGGGACATTAGCATTAGCTGCACACTCTATGGGTCGCTTCAAATGAACAAGGATGGGTCTGTGAGGAGCCTGAGGTGTGAATGAGGACACAGATATACGTGTTGGAATATGGGTTGAAATAACAAAGCAGAACGATGTCCAAACAAAAACTACTCTGTGTAGATTAATTCAGTTCATGAATTAAGCCATTTACATGTGAAGGCAAGAGACAGTTTGTCCTGCATGGCTGTCTAGCTCGTCATCTTGTTGTTGTGGAGAGAGATGAGTCCAGTGGGTTGGACCATCTTGTTACAAAAACCCTGACCTCTGTAATCAAGGGCAAACACAACAGACCATGCACTGATACCCAAACAAACATGGCAGCGCTAAATATGAAGCTCTAAAGATGAGTTTCAGCAGGTTTGCTCTTAAGTGTCATCTGTCAGTGCTGCCTCCAATATGCAGACGAATCCAGCTGGGACCATAACAGCTGAATAGACAAGAGTTTTGTCAACAACAAATCTATAACCAACACCTTTTTCACAAAGATAGAAATCCTGGTTTTATTCCTTGTTTTGTCGTTTATGATTTGAGAATCATAACGAGACCTTTTTTAGATCTCCTGCCACATGGTACTTTACCAGTGAGATTAGCTCCACGCGGTGAGTTCTTGCGCCCGGATCACAGACTTTCTGATTGGTGAAACGGTGGAGGGCGGGACATCGAAATGAAAACAATAACAAGATTTAGAGGCTGGAAAAGTAATTTAGAAATTCAAATATCTCTGAACTACTGTTATTACTTAAAGAAGTATTGGATAAGAGCAGTTTATTATTATGACAGATTAGGACCCTTTAATGATGACAGATTAGGGCCCTTTAATGACGTCAGATTAGGGCCCTTTCATGACGACAGATTAGGGACCTTTAATGACGACAGATTAGGGACCTTTAATGACGACAGATTAGGGCCCTTTATTGATGACAGATTAGGGCCCTTTAATGACGACAGATTAGGGACCTTTAATGACGACAGATTAGGGCCCTTTATTGATGACAGATTAGGGCCCTTTAATGACAACAGATTAGGGACCTTTAATGACGACAGATTAGGGACCTTTAATGACGACAGATTAGGGACCTTTAATGATGATTTAAGGTTGTTTTCACTGAAGCCCATTTATTAAATCCGTGTTTTCTTTGCCCATACCCTTTTCTCCCAAACCCAGGTGTGACTTCTGCAGTAAGCCGTACACCAACTACATGTCTCTGAGGAACCACATGCGGATCCACGGACAGAAGCGCTACATGTGTGACCTGTGTGGGAAGGCCTTCCGCTTGGCTCGCTACCTCCGCAACCACCAGAGGATCCACGACGACGGGCCCAACCGCTTCGACTGCCCCTCCTGCTGCAAGAGCTACAGGACCATGCTGGAGCTGGCCCAGCACCGCTGCAGCGCGGCCAACAGCGGCCAGGTATGTCTGCTCCCACCACCAGACCGAACCAGACCGAACCAGACCGAACCAGACCGAACCAGACCGAACCAGACCGAACCAGACTGAACCAGACTGAACCAGACTGAACCAGACCAGTGCCAGGCATGTCGTAGATCAGGGGTGCTCACACTTTTTCAGAGTGCAAGCTTCTTATAAAATGATCAAGTCAAAATGATCTATCTACTACAAAAATGCAAAACATATATTTATTTCAAAAAATATTGAGGATTCTTTATACAACAATGTCACACTACAATGTATGTTTATGTTCATGCAAAACCGAATGAGCCAATATAGCACAACACAACACAATTAACTATGTACATTTTTTGTCATTACTCTGATGACTTGCACTGAATTGAATCAACCAGGGATGGAAAGTTGTTTGCGCATGCGCAGTGACCTAAGTGTCAGTAAAACATTACTGAGTAAAACACAGATGTCATGACTGTAGTGCCATGTCCATGTGCCATGCCTGTTTTTTAAAAATCCGATTATTTCCCCTCCTTTGTTTTATAAAATAATTTTCATCCACACATAACCGCACATCTGCGTTATCAATCACATTCGTAACATTCCAAACATGTGCGTCTCTTACGTCCTGTCCTGCGTTGGGGAAAAACACAGAAGTGGGCAGAGCTTTGATACAGACGCCGGTAACGGCACTTTTACAGTCATAGAAGACACTCAGGGTAAAGACGTATGTTTACAAGCACTGACCCCCGTCCTCAGCCCTGGTTTAGTCCTGGTTTAGTCCTGGTTTAGTCCTGGTTTAGTCCTGGTTTGGTTGTTTTCGAGCGTGAGTTCCCGCGATCACTTTCCTGCTCTCTGATGTGAAGCGAGGGTGTTCTCAGCAGCGAACAGTTTTTAAGGTAGTATGATCCATGCTTCAGTGATCAGAGGAATTTGGGGGCATACTGTGGCGTGCGAAAACGCAAAACTCCGGTTATCTCTGTCTACACGCAAATGCATTAATGCATTTCAAAAATCTCCACTTTGCCCGGAGTTTTTTAAATATATTTGTTTATGATGTGTAATTTTTTATTTATTTAATGCGATCTTCCAATACTACCTTTGCAATCGACTGGTAGATCGCGATCGACTTATTGAGCACCCTTGTTGTAGATAGATACTTTATTGATCCTACTGGAGAAATGCAGGTGTCCAGCATCAGAAACGCATCCAAACAAATAAATAAATACATAATTGTAAAAGTGGTGAACAATAGTAACAAAGTGCAGCAGCAGCAGGTGCTGTTTCCTCTGATGTCTTATGTTTTATTCACCAGTTTTAGCACTTAAAAGTGAGTAAAGGTAAAAACCGCATTTTATTATAACCGGTGGAAAACTAAAGCCGAGTGTATAGTTGCGCGGAGCTTACGGCGGTGACGTGACGTCACTTTGACCAACGCAAGGATTGCCGCAAGACCCTTGCGTAGCCACCACTGCTACCTCGAACATTTCTAACTACGCAGCCAGTGCCACAGAGAAGCTCCGCTGTGATTGGTCCGTGTGTGTTTTGGACGGCAGCTGCAGGGAGCATGGACGAGGCACTTCGGAGCAGACTGCTTTGTGCTTCGAAGGAACCAAAGGAAAAGCAGTTTGGGCTCATGGCTCAGAGCTTGATCTACGCAGAGACTGTGGACTGTTCAGTTCTGTTGCATATCCAAACTTAACATATAAACCTACAGTAGATACACATGTATTGAGCTCAAACAGCTCGGTTTGTTGATGTTTTTGTTCTGAAGAGGAGAAAGTAGCAGCGTAAATGGGACCGCTTTGGTTTCCCAGGCAACTCCTGTGAGATTGCCATCATGTGGTTGGGTGTGGGATTACAACATTCTCCTCAAAACTCCACAGGGGGAATGTGCGAGTGGACGAGCCACTGTGGCTGCGTTGATCAAACGTAACCAGCGCCGCGCGAGTATACACTACCCATCGGTTTGAATGGGAGCCGTCAAAATGACTGCTCTGGGAGTCCAATGCCAGCCTTGTCATGAGAACGAGTGGACTGTGTCGTTACAAAGGATTCAGTTTAATGTATTATCGTGCTATAGTACGATAGTTATCCCAGTTTAAGTTACATCATGAAAAAGGAAATCTTAAACGTTTTTTAATCTCCTGGTGTTTGTCAAAAGCTTGTGATATTAAATCTGACGCGACATTGGGCTTCGACCGTTGCTTTCATCAATGTCTGCTCAGCTGATTTCACCACTGCCTCCCACTTGGAAAAGCAGGATGACGGCACCGTCTGCGTCACAGATGAGGGTCATCAATGTCTTTGGCATATCGCTCTGACTTCTTCCCAGTCGCTCGGTCTGAGGCTATGTTCTCAGGAGACCCTTGTTTTTGTATAAATCTCAACAGTACAGAATCCCTCACTCCCTGCCTTACTTTTGGTTCAGTTTTTTTCTTTCATATAAATCTACCAAATAAGGCCCTGTCCACACGAAGTCAAGCTCAGGCCTAAACGCAAAAATACTTTATCAATCCAGTGTATCGTCCATACGAGGCCGGCGTTTTGGGGGGGTGTAAACGAACATTTTTGAAACCAGGTCCCAGAGTGGAAAGATTTCAAAACTCCGTATATGCCGCTCCGTGGTTACTGCCTCTCCGCAATGTATCTGAGACGCTTGCGTCATCGCCCCGCCTCTTGTTAAAGCATGCGCCGCACTCAGAAAATAATGACAACAACAATGTAGCTTGTTGGTTTTGTAATCCAGTGCGACCCGAAGCAACAGTTCAACCTCATCGTCTGTCCATACTAATGTAGTACCAGCTCGCCCACTCGCCATGTTGTCTGTTTACAAAATTCTGTGCATGCCCACGGAAGTTTGGGCTTGATCCCGTCATTGCGTCACAGCGCCACCAACAGGTCTGGCATAGTTTCACAGCGTTTTCAGGCGTATTGACTACATTCATATGGACGCACACATTTACTGAGCTAACTCCGTGTTTACAGAAAAAGTTTCTGAAATTATAAGCGTTTTGTCTTCGTGTGGATATAGCCTAAGAATATCCAAACCCAATAGAAGTTTTTTTTTCTTTTCAGAAAGTAAATCAAGTTTCCTTTCTAAAATGTCCATCCATATTCATAAAGACATTATGATATGACCTTGAACTGTGTCCTAAATGCTAACTGGTGTATTAGCATTAGCCCCTAGCTCATGTTTATCTGTAGCCTGTATACGGCCCCTGATCTGTTTACAGTGTGGGGTGTGTGTGTTGTGCGTCCTCAAACGTGGATGGTGCTGTCGTTCTGATGCTCAAAGTAGGAAGAAAACATAATGTGTTGAAATCCACCGACCAAACTCAGCGTCACGTGACACTTCTGTCATGAGAGAAAAGCTCTCTGTTTGAAGACCTTATGCCTCATCATGCATTGATTCTCTGGTCTGTGTCGGCAAATTGACAACTTCTCAGAGATAATTGCTGTTGTGTTGTGATTCAGGGATGTAAATATAATGAATTGGTTTCCATATAAAAAGCTGCGGTGGTAGAAAGAGTTAAGGGCCGAGGGTGAGTTTAGAGAGTGAGGGATGTGGAGAAGAGCTCTGTTCACAGCGACTGCAGTAATCTAAATGTACGTGTGTGTGTCTGTGGTGTGTGTCCGTGTGTGTGCTTGTGGGCGTGGCTCTTAAGAACAAGTTCAGCTGCCCGTCCTGCTTTAAGAGCTACAGAACCATGCTGGACCTGGCACAGCACCGTTGCAGCGCCGCCGCCAAAAACCAGGTTGGTGTGAGCGCGACTGAGGCTGTGTGTGTGGGTGTGTTTGCATGTATGGGTGTGTTTGCATGTGTGTGTGTGTGCGCGCGCGTACATGTGTGTGCGCCTGCCTATGTGTGTGTGTGTGTGTGTGTGTGTGCGCCTGTCTGTGTGCGTGTGTGTGGAGACTTGAGTCTAAACGTGAGGGATTCCAAGGAGTTTATTCAATGTTTGTCCAGGAAGGTTCAGTTCACGTCAAAAGGTGTGAGCAGAGAACTCACTTTCCTCTTAAATCTCTGCTGCAAACACCTACTATTGAGATGTTTCTGAGAATACACATACAGTGCCTTGCGAAAGTATTCGGTCCCCTTGAACCTTTCAACATTTTGGCACATTTCAGGCTTCAAACATAAAGATATAAAATTTTATTTTTTTGTCATGAATCAACAACAAGTGGGACACAATTGTGAAGTGGAACCAAATTTGTTGGATAATTTAAACTTTTTTAACAAATAAAAAACTGAAAAGTGGGGCGTGCAATATTATTCGGCCCCTTTACTTTCAGTGCAGCAAACTCAGTCCAGAAGTTCAGTGAGGATCTTTGAATGATCCAATGTTGTCCTAAATGACTGATGATGATAAATAGAATGCACCTGTGTGTAATCAAGTCTCCGTATAAATGCACCTGCTCTTTGATAGTCTCAGGGTTCTGTTTAAAGCGCAGAGAGAACCATGAAGACAAAGGAACACACCAGGCAGGTCCGAGATACTGTTGTGGAGAAGTTTAAAGCCGGAATGGATACAAAAAGATTTCCCAAGCTTTAAACATCTCAAGGAGCACCGTGCAAGCAATTATATTGAAATGGAAGGAGTATCGGACCACTGCAAATCTACCAAGACCCGGCTGTCCCTCCAAACTTTCATCTCAAACAAGGAGAAGACTGATCAGAGATGCAGCCAAGAGGCCCATGATCACTCTGGATGAACTGCAGATAACTACAGCTGAGGTGGGGATGGTGTGTTCAGGGTGATGAGCTGTGTTGCTTTTACGCCAAACATATCGTTTTGCATTGGGGCCAAAAAGTTTGATTTTGGTTTCATCTGACCAGAGCACCTTCTTCCACATGTTTGGTGTGTCTCCCAGGTGGCTTGTGGCAAGCTTTAAGACACTTTTTATGGATATCTTTGAGAAATGGCCACTCTTCCATAAAGGCCAGATTTGTGCAGTGCACGACTGATTGTTGTCCTATGGACAGACTCTCCCACCTCAGCTGTAGTTATCTGCAGTTCATCCAGAGTGATCATGGGCCTCTTGGCTGCATCTCTGATCAGTCTTCTCCTTGTTTGAGATGAAAGTTTGGAGGGACGGCCGGGTCTTGGTAGATTTGCAGTGGTCTGATACTCCTTCCATTTCAATATAATTGCTTGCACAGTGCTCCTTGAGATGTTTAAAGCTTGGGAAATCTTTTTGTATCCAAATCCGGCTTTAAACTTCTCCACAACAGTATCTCGGACCTGCCTGGTGTGTTTCTTTGTCTTCATGGTTCTCTCTGCGCTTTAAACAGAACCCTGAGACTATCAAAGAGCAGGTGCATTTATACGGAGACTTGATTACACACAGGTGCATTCTATTTATCATCATCAGTCATTTAGGACAACATTGGATCATTCAAAGATCCTCACTGAACTTCTGGACTGAGTTTGCTGCACTGAAAGTAAAGGGGCCCAATAATATTGCATGCCCCACTTTTCAGTTTTTTATTTGTTAAAAAAGTTTAAATTATCCAATACATTTTGTTCCACTTCACGATTGTGTCCCACTTGTTGTTGATTCATGATAAAAAAATTAAAATTTTATATCTTTATGTTTGAAGCCTGAAATGTGGCAAAATGTTGAAAGGTTCAAGGGGACCGAATACTTTTGCAAGGCACTGTACTCTTATATTAATTATATGTGTAGTCTGGGTGTCACTGTTTGAAAATGTAACCCTAAAAATATAAAACAAAAGGTGTGTTGATTGGTGACATTCAAATAAATTGGTTCTGAAAATGATTTACTTAGTTTTTATCACCAGCGTTTTTCTAATTCGCTGATTACTCTTAGGTCTATTCTTTCACTGGGACATGAAGAGACACTAAATTGTCCATGTTTTGTCCGTATATTCAATCCGATGTTTTGCACTGAATTTATTTAGATAAAAAATAATAAATCTCATAAATCATTGTTGCTGCACGTCCAGTTGCCGTCTCAGTCCCCAGGCTCCGGTCTCCACAGGTTTAATATTATTTAAAACAGTGACACTACCCATAATGCCTTTGTTTTAGATCCGACAGAGACGAGACGCTGTGACTGCTATATTGGCCCAGTTTTGGTAAAATCTAAACAATATAAACATTTTGTTTTCAGAAATTTCAACCAGAAAATATTAATGAATCTCGTTTCAAATTAAATCATGTCAAAATACCTTCATAATGAAAAACAATTATGAGAAAAGGAAATCCCTTCTATTCTTTCGGCCCCTCTGTGTGACACCTCTGGCCTACATAGTTTAGTCCTACATAGTTTAGTGTGTAGTAAATTCACTGGAGTTTAAAGAATGAGTAAAGTGGGATCCTGAACAGCCTGGTTTGGATGTGCACTGTGTGTTGTTGTGTGTGTGTGTGTGTGTGTGTGTCGTTGTGTTTGTGTGTGTGTGTCGTTGTGTTTGTGTGTGTGTGGGTGCATGTTCTCCATAGTCTCCACTCCACCAGTCTCTCACCTCACCGTCAGTCTCAGGGTTTTACATGGACCACTGGAACTACTGTATCATCGATGACCTGGGGCCAGACTTGGTCCCAGGTCGGGGACTTGTGTAGCACTTTCCTAAAGCACAAAAAAGTGCTGAAAGTGCTACACTGAGAAAGTAATTTTTTTAAAATAATGGTACAAAGAATTTATGGGTTTAGAGCGTTTGAGTTGTTACTTTTGCAGGTGGAATTTGGGATTAAAATGCTGAAGATTTTAGCTGCATGAATTTGAAAGACATGTTATAGTCCTGACTCTGGGACCAGCAGGAGGCCAGTCCCTGTGCTCCTCAGAGTTGGTTCATATGGCACTAACATGTCTCAGATAAACTTTGGTACGAGACCATGGAGAGCCACAGGTGCAGAGACCTGAGACCAGGACTAATGTGATGGTTCTTCCTGGTTCTTGTCGGGACTTGAGCTGCAGAGATCTGAATCTACTGCTGCTTTTTATTTTGCCTAAGAACCAACAGTATAGACACACATCGGCGCCATAATTAATGTCCTGTGACAGTGTTGTGTCCGTGTAAACATGAGAAACACCTCTTTGATGTTTGTTTCTGTGGCTTTGTTCTAAGTCTCACGTCTCTCCTGTGTTCAGTCCTCCAGTCGCCGCTCCAACTACTCAGCCCAGCGCCGTCAGCAGCAGCAGCAGCAGCAGCACCAGCAGCAGCAGCAGCAGCACCAGCGGAACACCTCCATGATGCAGCACCCAGCCCACGGCCCCCAGGAGCCGCTGCCCTCTCACTGTGTGTCCCCCATGCCCCAAGGAGCTCCACCCAACCAGACAGTGCCCGACCACCAGGTACACCACTGGCCACGCCCACACGGTACACCACTCACCACGCCCACACGGTACACCACCGGCCACGCCCACACAGAGCTACGTCAATGTGCGAGTTTACACACACACAGAGAGAGAGGGGGGCCAGAGAGAGAGGGATGCCGGAGAGTGAGAGGGGGGCCGGAGAGAGAGGCTGGAGAGCGAGAGGGAGAGGCCGGAGAGCAAGAGGGAGAGGCCGGAGAGCGAGAGGCCATGATACAGAGATAAGTTCTGTCAGATATACGGGGGCTAAACCATTTAAACATTTGAAAATAAAAATAATTCAGAATCTTTGCTGAATGTGACAGGAGCTACTGAAGTGAGTTCAGCACAGGAGTGATATGCTCTCTCTGTGTCTCTGTCCCTGTGAGTAAAAGAGTCGCAGCATTCTGCACCTGCTGAAGGCGCTTAAGTGAGTTTAGCTCCGGTCCACAGAACAGAGAGTTACTATAATCTAACCCTGAAGAAATACAAACGTGAATACAGCGGGTGGGAGGTAGACCTGCACCTTGCTGAAGACTCAGAGCTGGAAGAAGCGTTGAACTAAATGTATTTGTTTGTCCATCCAGTCCTGGTTTGTGTTAACTGAAGCCCTGTTGTGTGCGTGCTTGTGTGTGTGTGTGTGTGTGCGCAGGTGTGTGCCAGCGTGGTGTCGTCTCAGAGGAGTTCGTCCAAAATGGTGTCGTCTCCCAGCCCTGTGCCCTCCTCCTACTCTCTGCTCCAGCCCCTGGTGCCTGAGGTAAAGGAGCTGAGGCAGGGATACACTAGGCTGAGCGCGCCCCCCATGGTAGGACAGACCCTGGTGTCTGCTACTAACACTAATAACCACTGAACCATGTGACCGGCCCCCCATGGTAGGACAGACCCTGGTGTCTGCTACTAACACTACTAACCACTGAACCATGTGTCCTCCCCCCCATGGTAGGACACACCCTGGTGTCTGCTGCAGTGCTAACACTATAACCTCTGAACCATGTGAGCTCAGGGTTCTGCAGGCGGAAGGTAAGGTTTAAATGCATGATGTGGCCCCACTGTGGCACCTGGTTTCCCCAGAGGTCTCCCATCATAATACTGACCAGGCCCTACTCTGCTTAGCTTCAGAGGTCTGAAAGGATTTAGAAAGTACCAAACTGTGGTTGTGTCCTTAGGCAAGACACTTCCCCCACATTAGAATGAGTCTGGTGTGTGTGAATGGTTGGTGGTGGTGGGAGGGGTCGATGGCACAGACTGGTTGCCTCGCTTCTGTCAGTGTGCCCCAGGGCAGCTGTGGCTACAGTAGTAGTTTATCACCACCGTGTTTGGAATGAAAGAATAATGATGTGAAGAGACTTTGAGAGTCCAGACATTTTTTTATTTATTATTATATTCAGACGTCCCGTGTCTGTGGATCACGGCTCGTCTCTAAAGTTCTGGTGACAGACTCTCGTGTCCCGGAGGAGGCTTTTAGGACATAAGCACACAATTAAACATTTGAACAACTTTACTCTGATTTTAGACGTGTGTTAAAGATGGTGAAGTCTGTAGTTTGTGTGTCCATCAGAGGAAGAGGCCGTTCTGACCTCGTGGCGTTTTGTTCAGTCTTCTGTGTATGTCCAGAGTGTGTTGTTATTGACTCCTCTTGTGTGTGTTTCAGGCCAAGCACCAGGTCCAGGACACGTTCTCCCTGGCCCCCCAGCGGCCCCTCAGCACCCTCAGCCCCATGAGCCACAGCCTTCACCCCAACGGAGCCGCCAGCCTCAAGCCGTCCCCGGTGGCCCGCTCCATCCAGCCCATGCCCTGGGAACAGCGCTCCCTCTACAACCAATGAGAGCAGGCCCCTCCCCCTCATGCCCCGCCCACACAGCCCCTGCAGTCCTGACCACACCCCCGCGTTCTGTCTCTATCCTCCACGTCCTCCTCAGACCTCAAAAAGCTCCTGTTGTCGAGAAATGCCATTCTGCTGCTGTTGCTGCGTGATTCAGGAGAGAACGGTGAAAACACGTTAGAGAATATTATAATCTGTTACGACAGTTTTAACATTGTTTTGAATAGATTTGACTTGTTCAGTTCTTTACTTTCATACGAGTTTGAAAGTAATCTTTGTGTTGTAGCATTTGCTTTAGCAGCACTCAGTTCAGTGCTAATGGCATTTCTCCACGACATGTATGAGTTTAAAGATTATTGAAGTGTATTCACGCACAGAGCACTGACCTCTGCTCGTTGCCAAGGCTTCTCTGGGTCCCAATTTCAACCCTTTTTTTGCAGTGGACATTGGGTAATATTTCTACTTTTTCCACATATCTGGTCACTGTTGGAATCTTGGAGAGTAGAATGGCACTTGGATATTGAGCCTTAGGATGGACCAGCGCCGCCTGCCCCAGGACGTGTTTGGGAACAGGGCCATACTAAGGACTAGAGTAGTTTCAGATGTGTTGCTCATGTATGAACCTTTGCCATGTTCCCGTTTTGTCTCTTTCCTTGTAATCAGAAAGTTAGAGCTGGGCGATACAGGAAAAATGGCTTTCTTGGAGATCAGTGTTTTTGATCTTTTTACCAATCCGTAAACATTCAGAGTGACTGAATTATACAGACTTACATTTCTTCATAGTCTCTGGGACTGTGGTTGTTTCTTTAATGATAGAAATGTTGGATACAGACCAATTGTTCTTAGTTTTGATTCGAGTTTATTATTTATTCAATCGTATGTTCTCCAAAAGACGCATACACGACCGAGGCCCAGTAACTCTTCTCTCAATCGCTGATGAAAAATTCCATTCATTCATTTTGGGCCTTGATATTTATCGTTTGTGTGTTTTCTTAACAAAAGAGTGTAGTTGCTATTTCAATGTGAAATAATAATTCAATACGACTGTTTGATGTCGTAACATGCAGAAGAGACGTAGTTTGGATGTTATCGTTTATCGCTGAGGTCTTCAACACGGTCCTCAAAGAGCTGAGAGGCTGCGGGTCTTCATTCCAAGTCTCTAGGTAAAGCCTGGACTCTCCGGTTTATCGGTTACGTCTGCGGTGGTTCATTGAGTGAAGGCCAGACTCCACAACATTTTGTTTTTGTGTCAGAAAATAGTTTACATGATGCTAATGTAGCTGTGGACGACATGGACCGGAATCCAAACAGTTTAATCATCCTTATTGTACCGCTAGAACTAAAGTCAGAAACTGAATTATTTTATTGCCATGTGAAGAAGTCACAAACTCAGACATTGCTTTGGCTCTCGGTGCAAACAAATAACAAAGTAGAGAATAGAAAATGGCTTAATACATAAATATATACATAAAGTGACCCTCTTCCTAAAGTTTATGGGGTCCTTTAAACCACATTCAGACCTACTGCTTTTCTCAGACCGAGCCACAGAAGACAGTATCTACGACATGTGCACGGATAGAGACAGGTTCCTGGTATCGCTCAGCCCCCCCCCCCCCCCCCCTCTAGTTATGGACTTACTCCGATCCCTTTATGAACTGTGTCCTCATGCTTCCCCTGTTTCGATGAGAACCTGTTTGTTCATCGTCTCCGAACCCACTTCCGGACCCTCTGCGTGTTTGCCAAACTCCTCATTCTTGGCCTCGGTCTCGGCCTCGGTCTCGGCCTCGGTCTCGGCCTCGGCCTCGGTCTCGGCCTCGGTCTCAGCCTTGGTCTCGCCTCAGTTTCTAATAACTCTAAAAAAGGGACACACGAACTTGTATCTTTGTATCTTTTTTTACTGGCCCTGTATAAATGTGCTCCTGGATGGACTCGTGTGTCTTCGTGCACTTGGAGACTCGACTGCCTTTTTTTGTTCAGTTTTTCTCTGTTGATTTTTTTTTTTTTTTGTAAAACCCGCCTCATACCTCCAGTATCTTAAGGAACCGGACGGGGACGGGCCCCAGACTGAAGCACTGCTGTTTTCTCCCCCCCCGTGGCGCCCGTCTCCCGCCCTCGCTCCATCACTGACTGTTACTTGTTGTGTCACTGTTATAGCACTTTAAAACAAGTGCTGTTTCAAATCCTGCCCCCGATGGTGCGACTCGGAATTGCATCTACACTCAACGGTTTGATAAATATGTCGGTTTGGTTCTATATGATTCTTTCTTCCACAAACATACATGTAAACAACGTCAAGGACTTAAAAAGCAGATGTTTTTTGGCCAAACGGTGATAGTTGACCCCTTTAAACCTGACGAAGGTTGAATCTATTTAACATAAAGGACGCAGCATGTAGTTTATCTTGGTGTTTACGCAGATAGTCTCCCACCGTTCTACTGACATTGTATTGCTCCGTTAAAATTTTTATCCATCTGTCTTTTTTTTTTCCTTTTACTCCTTGTACGGTGTCTTTGAGTATTTAGAAAAAGTGCTATATGAATAAAAATGTTTTATTATCACCAACAGAACGGTTTCGGATTCGTCGTGTCGTTTGTTCATTCAATTCAATGTAGTTTTGTATCGATCTCAGAGGATTTCACAAAACTGTCAATTTGCTAAAAAAATGTCTGTCTGGGTTTGACTCTGGGAATACTAAAGTCACAAATGCTAAAACTGCTGATTTTTCTATATATATTTTTTACTTGATAAATTAGATACCAGCTCAACCATTTAAATGTGTTTATGTAGCCGTATAGACTTGTACATATGAGAAGCGTTCTGATTGGTTCATCAGAAGGACCAGTTAAGCAAAACCATATTGGACTTTCCCAGGGTTTCCCGACCGTGGGAGCTGGGACCACTTGGAACCTGCAAACATCAGAAAGTACTGTTTTTAAGAAACTGCATTTTGATGGTGATAAGTTGCTTGCAGGATTTGACGAACAAAGAAAGTTAAAGGTAAATAGGAGGATTTCCCCAAATGTTGGGAAAGAACCCGCCCTCTCCACTCTTTGAAGAAAACTCTGGTCTTATTGGACGAGCACGAATCACCAGAATGATTGACAGTTAGGAGGACCAATAGTCTTGAGGATCCACAAAGAAGTAGAAAATCCTCCTGTATACTTTTAAATTAAATACTAAGGAACATATGTGAATGTATTAGGTTATATTACCTGCCATTATAGATAGACTTACAGAAAAGCTGAACAAGTACTGGTCAGGTCTGTGAAAAGGCAAGTCCAGTCAGACACATGTTTTATACTAATACATAGACTATTAGTTATTAAGCTCGTTATATTTAACCTCATTCTACTGTTCTGTAGCTGCTGACGCAACACTGACATTACCCCTCTGTGGGACCAATAAAGACCCTCATCATCTTAACTCAGGGGTGTCCAAACATTTTAGTATGGGACCTCTTTTATTCACCAGACCTGTCCAGGGGCCGACAAACTGGGTTGAAAACTGATTTGAACTTTAAAATCAGCTTGACGTTCAATGACAAATCTTTACTATCTCAAAAGCTACATTAGCAACGCATTTTTGTGCCACAATCAAAAATATATATACAAAAAACGAGCTTTGCAACAAGATATACACATACATATATTGGTAGAGCTGAAGTTGGCTGTTTGACATTGTGAACTGGTGTCTATGAGGGCCAGATTACCTAATTCCAAGGGCCGCATTTGGCCCGTGGGCCTGAGTTTGGACATGCCTTAACTTAATAGCTAGAAAATTATCTATTGTGACTTGAGCAATATTTTTTGGAGTATCTATCATTGTACATAACTGTGTAATAAACAGTGGGGATGTTTCAGTGTTGCAACGCACAGTACAAACACAGGAAGCAGGAAATAACTGCGAAGATCATGATAGAAATTCTTGTGGCTTTGTTAATGATATAATGGTTTTTGATTAAAACGCAGTATTATAACAGTAGTGACATATACTGCCTCGTTCTCATAAGTCTGCACCAGGCATGGCACGGCACGGCACAGCAAGTTTATTTGTGGAGCACCGTTCAGGCTAAGTGCTTAACAAAACAGTGCAAGAAACATTACATCACTCAAAAATGCAATGAAATATAATAATAATAATCGCAGTCCTGTAACAGAGCGGAGACACAATCCTTCAGTTGTACACACAGCACACATGGTCAGAAGCCTGGCTAACATTTTCAGGAAGACTGTTCCAGACTTTAGGTGGTACTGTGGGAGAGAAAGTGCAGAGAGACAGGAAACAGAAGCAGTGAACACATGTAGGGTGACAGTGAAGGACAGATATTCACAAGTCTGTACCATGGACTGTACATATGTAGATAATGTGGCCAAACCTCCTGCAAAAGCCAGATCCTGTCAGACCTTTCAGGCTAAGTATGGCAGGGCCTGGTTAGTACTGTGATGGGAGACCTCTGGGAACACCGGGTGCTACAGTGGGGCAGCTGTGGCTGTAAAGTGCCAAACTGTGGTTGTGTCCTTAGGCAAGACACTTCACCCACATTAGAATGAGTCTGGTGTGTGTGTGAATGGTTGGTGGTGGTGGGAGGGGCCGATGGCACAGACTGGTTGCCTTGCTTCTGTCAGTGTGCCCCAAGGCAGCTGTGGCTACAATAGTAGTTTATCACCACCATGTTTGGAGAGAAAGAATAATGTTTATAAGAGTCACAGTATCAAACCAGTGCATTATTATTATATATATCTGTGTTTTTGTTATCATTATTGTGTGGTTTGTAACTGATTTCCAATTGAACTTACGTGTGTGTGTGTGTGTGAGAGTAAGTGTGTATTCATTATATTCATTTAGTGTATAAATATGAGTAATGATTTAGAGGAGACTCCAGAGAATAGAGTAAGAGAAAGAATGCACCACACTGGCTGATGGGGATTAAACTAAACTAAACTATACTAAACCAAACCAAACCAGACCAGACTAAACTAAACTAAACTAAACTAAACCGTCGGGTGCTACAGTGCCCCCCCCCCACGCCTCGGTACGCGCGTGCGGTAATCGGTCTGATTAGAGCGTTGTGCGCGTGAGCCGCGGGAGCCTCACGTGCAGCTGGACCTGTCTCTAGGCGCTCGTGCGGTGGACGGTTGGGGGCGCGCGCACGGCTCCCAGTTGGAGCCAGGAAATCGTTTCCCGTTTCGTTCCGTGAAGTTTGCGTCGGTGACGGAGGCCCGAGCTGAGGCCTGCGCCTCTGCCTGGTCCCTGCCCGGTCCTCCCGTCTCTCTCCGCCGTTAGGAGCAACGGAAAGGGAGACACAAACATATAGCACATTTAGCTAACCGCGAGTAAGTAGTTAGCACTTAGTAACTGATGAGAAGCTAGCAGTGAAGCCGCTGCTAGCTCTGAAACTAAAACACGAAAAACAAAAACATAATAAATACATGTGGATTAATATTGTTATTTTACTGTCATTATTTTAAATGCATAGTTTATTCTGAATAATCTTTTATACAGTTCACTTGTACAATGGTAAGTCTACATTAGCCTAAAGGCGCACGTCAGCCGTTGACGCTAAAAGAACCGAGTAACTGACATTTTTTTCATTTCTAGGGACGACCGTCGGAGCCTGTGGGGGAGCAGTGCTACAGGCCCAGCGGCTCCTGGACCTGGGCCCCGGCAGAGGCCCCTCGCTCGGGCAGGCCATGCAGTGCCCCGCGGAGGTCACCAGGTGGCGCTCGGAGTCTTGTAAGATCGCAAGGTTATGCTATAGAGTCAGACTGTCAAGCACATATTCACAACATGATTCATGTTTAAAATTAAGATGAAGAGATCCTTTATAGGGGAAAGTTCAGTGTTGCATCAGCGGTTACAGAACAGTAGAATGAGGAGCACACAGCACTAGATTAATGAACAATAACTTTAGAGAAATAAACTCAAATCTCTAACTTTAGCATAATAATGAAGCAAGTATAAATCCTGTATATTCCAGAGCATAAAGATATATAATATATATAATATATAAAGATATATATGTCTACATTAGCAACATGAGGCTCTGGGACACAGTGACACTTGTGGTTCTTTATTACACATTCTGACAAGTATTCATGCAAAGTAAAGTGACAGTTATGTTTAATTTAATTCTGATAAACAAATAGTGTAAATGTATTTTTAGCATGTTCCAATACTATAGCTGTATTATAGATGTTTGGACCTATCAAACTACTAAAGTTTTAGCTTGTGCGTTTGTCTACAAATACTAAGACAACCACTAATAAAACATACACAATTTTAAGACAAATTTAAGAACACAATCGCTCCACAGTCTGCATCACACGTCAAGTTGTGAGAGTAAAAGGTAAAGACGCACACAAAATAATACAAGTGCACTAAATAAACAACAGACTTTTCAGCAGTGCAGTAAAGTGACAGTGTATAACGTGAATTAAACAATAAAATCTAATCTCAAATGTTACTTTGTCAAACGGGGTATCCCAGATTCAGAAATATGTGTATAACATTTAAACTGTCTTTTTTGGATGTTTGGAACGCCCCTGCCCTTTGTGTGTCAAGAAATAAAATGTATCATTATTATTAACATTATATTGAGGTTTTAAAATCTCTAATCTCCGTTTTTCACTTTTACTTGTGGCAAACACAAAAGTTTTTAAATCAAAATCTAGAATTTCATGACTCCATGAATCAAATGTTATTTAGAAACAGCCGCAGAGGTTTTTTTTACTCTATTTGCTAAAGTAAAAATATGGCAACAACGAATACAAATGATTAGATTATTATCCGTTTCACAGTGAAAAAGCAGGTGATGTGACTGCTGTGCTTGACAAAAAAATATTCTTCCTATTCTACTGTGACTAAAAAACTACACCTTATATATTTGATACATGTTCATAAGATTTGAGTAAACAAAGCATTACTGTTCTGGTTTTCTCGTCTCTCGTTTTCTCCAAGAATGACTCAAACTAGTGCCGTCAAAAAACTGAGAAACCCTGGTGTTTAAGTGTTGCAGCGTTCTCTGGAGCACGTGTGTGGCGCTTAAAAGAAACGGAAAGTAGTGTGTTTCTGTGGGGCGTCCCCTCCCCCGATGCATGAGCAGCAGACTGAGCGGGGCGTGCCACAGCCGCGGATAAAAACAATGACCCTTTGCAGAACGAGAAACACTGCTCCCACCAACAGCGAGCGGCAAAAGTATGGAGACGAATCACAAAGATCACAGAGACCGGACTTTCGACTAAAGTCTCTGCTCAAACTATCATTATATGTAGTTTATCTGTGCAATAATGTCAGAATTTGCAATATAGAACCACATGTGTCACTGTGTCCCAGACCCTCAGGCTGCTAACATGCTAACAGTTATACATACTACTATATATTTACTTGCCTCTTTATGATGCTAAAGTTAGAGATCTCTTCATCTTCATCTTAATCTTTCATTTCTTATTTTTTAAAAACTTCCATCAACCAGCAACCCAGTCAATCAATCCCTCAACATTTATATGTATAGCGCCTTTCCTACACAAGGAAAGTGCCTCACAACCCATATCACATCAGACATAAATCATAAACATTCAAAAATATGATTAAAAACAAACATTATCAACAGTCAATCAGAGCTCATTTGTGTTGGATCCATTCAAATAATGTGAAGAAAATGATAAAAGCTCCAATCAGCAGCTGCCACAGGGTCTGTAGCTTTGGCCTTCAGACCAGAACACCAAGTAGAAAATCACCGCCTTCTGTATTGTTAGAATGACAAACTTTACCAAAAAAGTGTTTTAAAACTTAATAAAAGTACTACAGTAATCTAGAATTATAGTAGATTACAGAATTCTACAGTTCAGTCTTTAATATTATACTATATAAAGTTAAACAAAGAGAAACTTGTTTGTAGACGGCTTCATGGTTCCAAATAAAATCTTACTCTGAGAAAACTGTGAGTTTACAGGACAAGAAGCCGGAGGAGGCCCTGGTTTAAAGTTCTACAAGTGTCAGTGTGAAGGAAATGATTTCATCTGGAAACTAGCACCAGCAGCGGAGAAATGTCAGTGTTGCATCGTTACAGAAAAGTAGGAACGAGGAGGACACAGCACAAGATAAAAGCACAATAACTCTATACAAAAATAAAATAACATCTCTAACTTAAGCATGATAAAGAAGCAAGTATAGAATGTTTAACTTTAGCATAAAGAATTTCTAATACTGACACATTTGCAGTATTGTTGATAAATGTGCACTGTCCCCATTTAATCATTTATAATATGATATAATAACTGCATGTTTTGGGGATGTTTAGGACAAGTTACTTTTTATTACAATAAACAGACACATAAATGCAAACCCTTTGTTTTCTCCCACTTTTCACGTGTCCAACCATAAAATATACAACTAATAATATTAATAAGGCATTTTATTGGATGGTGCCTTCCCAAGACTCCCAAGGATGTCTTACAATATGAAGAGAATACAGAAAAAACATATACTACCCTAAAAAGTATTTAGTCTGCCACCAATCGTGCAAGTCCTCTCTCTGAGTCGGACTTAAAATAATATAATAATAATAACTCTGTTGTTATCATCACAGGTTTAAGGGATCTTCTATGACACTTTTGTTGTAATTATGTTAAACTGAACTTGTCGTTACAACAGTCTGCAGAAGTCAGTAATTTCACACTTGATGTTTTTGTCTGAAGGTTGAAGCAACATTTGTTGTGGCAGATGCTGAGAGAAGTGTCCCTGTTGTGTCTTATATAAAACCAGATCCAAAACTCGTGTTGTTTACCAACAATAAAACATGTCTTCTGCTGAGACTCGATCCCAGCCCGCCGCATCTTTTTTTCATTGGAAGAAGAAAATTTGATCTTTAAGAATCTTTATTTGCAAATATTGAAATTGAAAATTATTATTTAGTCGATGACAACAGTGAGAGGTCAAACCGTCAGTCTGTAAGCCTCCACAAGGTTTTCACACACTGTTGCTGGTATATTATCTCCTCAAGAACAACATGTTTCAACTTCCACCAAAGATTTTTTCTGGGGTTCTATCTGGAGACTGAGGCCACTCCAGGACCTTGAAATACTTCTGACAAAGACACTACTTTTCACTCCAAATCTCACGATTCATGGCCCCATTCATTCTGTCCTTGTACTGTTCTCTTTGCAGAAAAACCACCCCAAAGCATGAGGCTTCCACCCCCCATGCTGCACAGTAGGTTTGGTGTTCTTTGGATGCAGTGCCAGATCCCTCTGCTTCAGCCAGGACCAGGTCCAGGACTTTGCTAGAGAACCTTTGGACGATCCAGAAGAGGATCGGGAGAACGCTCTGTGGTCAGATTAAACCTAAATAGAAATTTTTGGTAAAAACTCAACTCAGCCGAGTTGTCTTCTTCCTCCTCCAGGCTCCACTGGGTCTGGTTTAATAGTTGGGCCAGGACTGGAAATTAATTATATAAAGAAGTTCACGTGTGCGTGAGGTAAAGTGTCGGAAAAATTGAACATGGACAAATGCTGCTGACAAACTGTTCTAGAGCAGTGGTCACTCTGCTCTGTTCACATGTGAAGGTGAAATGTCCTGAGGCTCCCCCTTCACCCTGAAGGGCAGTGACTATAGGCTCATGTAAGAACGCCTTTAGTATAGGCTCATGTAAGAACGCCTTTAGTATAGGCTCATGTAAGAACGCCTTTAGTATAGGCTCATGTAAGAACGCCTTTCGTATAGGCTCATGTAAAGTATAGTCCTATAGTATAAACCAATACATCTCTGGATCGCTCTATACGACTGCATGTTCCAGTTTCTGCCAATATTCAGCAACTTCACACACAGTCGTTGAAGAGGAGTGACCAACATTCCACAGCCGGATCAGATGTGTTGTGAATGGTCAGATACTGACCCCCCCCTTATTCTTTGTCTCAGCAAAGAATAAGTGCTAAACAGAAGAACACAGCTTTGATCTGATGGGTTTATTGATCTTTCAGAGTTTAAAAAGTTAAGGAGCAAAAATAAGTTTGTTCAGCGCAGGTCTGGTTTTATTGTTTGGTCTTGTTGTGCAACCGGCTACCGTGATGCAGCTCTTCTTATATATCAGAAGAACACAAGGTCACTTTATTACTGAAAAAATGTGAAAACCACTGTATCTGTATAAAGCATCATCACGACCTCGAGCCTCGCTAACACAGCAGGGGTTCCACCATATTCTCCAAAATATACCAAAATGAGTATTTCTCTGGCTGGGTGTCTAAACTTTCAAGCACAACTGTAGAGCTATCAAATAAAGAAAACAAAAAAAACTATTCAGCAATAACAACCCACAACTCTCTGTTTCCACAGTATTTAAAATACTATTTTCCACCAAGAATCATTCTATCATCACAGAATCTAGTCACATTTATATGTATTTATTTTATTTGACTGTTTTTTCCACGTGGCAGCAGCAGACCAAAGTAAAGGGGTAACGTATGAAATTATGAACAAAATAAAAACCTTCAATAAGGACTTTTTAAAAACAACACATTTTCAGCAGTTTCCTATGTGACCTGTTTTTCTACTTGCAGTATTTTTGATGAATACATTTGAACAATCACTCACTTGGAAGTATCATGCACAGAAACTTAAAGTATCTACATGAAGTTATTGTTAAAATGTAGAACGGTTAAAGATGAAAGTGTTTTAATGTGACGCTGTCTTTACACAGTTAAACTCACCGCTGGAAGAAGACCTTTTGACTCTTTCAGACTTTGGTGAAGGTAATAAACAATTTCATATAATTTTATAAATGTCTGTTCCATGTTATGTGTGAATATGATGTCATTATGTCATATGTTCATTTCAGGAAAACAACGTTGGAGAAGAATTGTGATTCGTGGCGTGAGCAGCAGGAGGTCCTTCAGAGACGTGAGTCTGAGAAACACCGTCCACAATCAGACCAGAAACAAACATGACATTAGAGACGTGGAATCTCAGGATAAATATCTACATTATTTCTGACTTGTTCTAAAATGTTGGACAGTTCATTTTCCTGTCATTACTCTGAAGTGAAATCACTCTCAGAACTTTTGCTAAAATCCTGTTGCTTTTTCTATTCATGTACATTTTTTCTTAATCATTCAACAATTTGTATAAAGTTCTCAAAGTCAGGGCGGGACTCGGTCTGAGGGGGCTCTGGGGCATGAGAAGATATAAGATCAGATTCTAGAAGATTTTCACTGTTTAGCACAAAACATGATCATTTAAGAAAAACAGGTCAAACACAGCACATTTTCCTTTGTTCACTTCATGTTGATGTCACAAATACCACAGATTCCACAGGACGGAGAAGTTCGAGAACCTGCTGTAAAAGTGTCTGAGCTCAGTGTGTCGTTGATGTGTTATTGTCCTGAGACGTTTGTGAGACAAACGTTTAGTCTCACAGAAGTCACTGTTGAAATCTGCTGAATACTCTTTAGATAGAACTCCCTAAAGGCCAGTGCAGCCTCTGCAGCTCACGGAGGGAATCCTCTTATGTGCTTCATGAGGACGACTGTTCTTCAGGATCATTGTGTTTTGGGGAAATGTGTTTCAATAAACCCTGACAAAACATGTGTAATCTATTGCTCATTTGTTGACAGCCTCAAATACCATTGATGTCACATGATCACAATGTTGTTGAAGTTAATTTGTAATACAGCCCAAAGTGCTATATTTAATCCAAGGCTTTATGTGTGTGATAGAAGAACTTTACTGCTGTGTGAGTTTCTGATCAGATAAATGTGACTGACCCCTGGTCATCATCTGCTGGGGTTCTTTGTCCCCCTTCTTTAACATTCCCGCCCATTTCACCCTGCTTTCCTATGCAGCCTTTGACCTCTGCCTACTGACCCCTCCCCCAAAATATACATAGCAATGGCACAGCATGCCATTCTCTCCGTGTTTACAAGCGTGAGGCTGCAGGGTGTGTTTGTATCATGTTTATGTAAAACTTAGAACACACTGAAATGTGCATAAGCTACGACCTGATACAGATGTAGAAAATCTCTTGAACTGATTTCACTAAAAGTTCCTGTAAAATCACTATTTCCCACTTTAGTGTTTGATGACGGTGGTAATGTGGAACTATTGAAAAGCAGCCTGGTCTGTACGGACACTAGTCTCATGTGTGTCCTTCATATGATCCAGCAGCATGTGTGGGGAGCGGCAGCCCCGACTCTGTCTCTGCCTCCATTTTGTGCATTTAACCAAAGGGCGTGAAGCGTAGAGCCCCGTAGGCCTCATCTCACGGTACCACATCTCACGGTACCACATCTCACGGTAACACACCGTGAGATGTGGACCCCCCGGGTCCAGACCCGCTCCAGTGTAAACCATGTCGCCTAATCCAAAGACAGACTAAAGTGTCTCTATGGCCGGTGTCTCAGGTCACTGGGACCATGTGTGTGGTCCATACTGGCCTCAACTGTTCATTTTGAGGAGATAAAACAGAACTGGAACTTTTCCACTGGTCTCGGTTGCCCGATGCGCCTGGCCCCTGGGCTAAATGGGGCCCTGTTTCTATTGTTTCTCAACCACAAACAGACCAAGGCTCGCCATTGGTCCTTCATGGAACTTTCTCTTATATCATATGCTCTTAAAACAATACAAGATATTGCTCTTTGCGGGTTATGCCTTGGTCTAATGATACCTGAATATTTATCTGAAAAACAAATATGAGCCAAATGCCCCGAGAACGCATTTTAAATGAGCTTCTTGGAATAATGTGTTTCTGTCTTTGGTCAATAACTGGTCAATAATGTGAATGAGACCCTTTAAAGCCTGAGCTGCTACATTATATCCAGGGACGTGTACAGTAGAGTCCACGCGCACACGCTCACATGGTAAATACCCTTAGCTAGGATGAGTAGGGAATGCCCCTCCCTTCCTCTCCCACCTACTCCAATGAGACCACGTGGTTTCCTCTTTGCAAACAAAAAACGTGAATCGGAGTTGGTGAGGGGCGGCGTCACCCTTCTGTTGCCTCGACCCTCTTCTGGCAGCGGGCTGATCTCTCTGAGAGGCGGAGAGAGAGGAAACATTTCTCCAGACCTGATCCCGCCATAGTTTTTCCCACTCCTTCACCACAGCCGTCATTAAATCCACCAAACCTCCCCCTCCCACTGCAATCGATCACCGACAGTCAGCCGCTGCTTTTAGGACCCGCAAGACCAGGGATTTCTATATCATCTGCTGCACTTCTTCTCCTGGATTCTGCAGCGTTTGCATCCGCTTTAACATTTTAAAAACAAAAACTACTTCCATTCATTTTGTTTGAACTCATTCTTGAGTTTTCCGACCACAACTCATCTTTGTGTTTGCTGGGGGTGTGCGTCGCTGTCTTGTTGCGCCTCCACAGAGCATTCTCCGGGAACTTTGCTTTTTACTCGTCCGTGCATTGGTTTGTTTTGTTGTTTTTTTGTATTTTTGTGATTGGAACGCATTACACCATGCACAAGCTTTACATTGGGAATCTAGGCGACACCGTTACTGCCGAGGATTTAGGGAAAACCTTTGACGATCACAAGATCGCCTACTCTGGACAGTTTCTCATGAAGACCGGTTATGCCTTTGTGGACTGTCCCGATGACCAGTGTGCCATGAAGGCGATCGAGACCATTTCTGGTAAGTTCTTGTAGAGTTCGGTCCCACCGAAGCCAAAGATAGGCTTACAGCGTAGTCAGGTTTCATTCATTCACTCATATGTAACGGCGTGGCTCTGCTGCACTCTCCAAACACGGTGCCTTGCAGCTGTATTATTTCTGTGTGCATCTCATGTTATGTGTCGTGTTTGTCAATAGTATATTCATTTGTTCAATGTTTGAAGCTGCAGACCTGGGGTCAGCCACAAACTTTTAGTTGGGGGTGGAACGCACACAGCTCAGATACAGCTCTGAAAGCAGCGATAGCGTTTGTGATCAATATTATCCCCAATATCCGAGGGTTTAAAGCAGATGTGACCCAGAGCCACCGTGCTCCATGGACAGCCCTGTATTCTGCAGATTGCGTTTCAGAGCGTTGATGGTTTTTGATGAATGTAGCTCGTATAGCTGCTGGTATGATGCCTCCCCTCCCCCTTTGAGCCGGTACTCACTACGACAAAGATAGCAAATCTGCACTTGTGCTTTTACTACAGACTACTACTGCACAGGCTCTCAGCACACGGAGATGTGCATGGAATTATGTGTGTCTTTATTAGTGCTTTGACACACTATGGAGAACACAATATTAGGCAACATTCTTCTTATTTCTTTCTCTTAGCCCATGTAACAGAAGCAAGGTCGCCAGGCCGCTCATATTTCCCCTTTCACACTAACCATGAGCTTTCGATATGAAGAAAGGCCGAAGCTACAGAACTCACATATGTCAGAAATCCTCTTTGGATCTCTTTAACCTAAAAGGAGTGGTTTTCCTTCACGTCCCAATTAACAATGAAACATTGTAGTAGCATAGTCCACAGATGTGTGTAGCCCAGGCCCATTCACCAGTGTTCCTCAGCCTACTGTGTCCTATCATGTTTTTATTCTATTATATATTATATATCTATTACAGACTGTTTTGCATCTGGAGTCTGAACTCTTTGATATTTTCTGTTAGGTAAAGAACTCCATGGAAAACGTATTGAGGTTGAGCACTCTGTCCCAAAGAAACAAAGGTAAGATAATCTAAGACATCTTTCATCTTATTGGAATAACACACAACCTACGTTTAGAAAAACGGGTCACACACGAGAGAGAAATGGTACTAATCTAAGTTAGTCATTGATTTACAACAGAAGGGTCAAAGTAAGCCTCCACGTAACTGCCTATTGTGTTCCTAATTAAGTGAAGTAATAATAAAATTGAGAATTACCATCTGTAGGTGATGTATTGTAAAGACAGATATAATCCACTTGATTATAATCCTAATCTATAGCTGTATGTTAATCATGTTATCTGCCTGCTGTGGACATAAACAGGACTGTATGCTTTTACCATTGGGGGCTGTGTGAGTGTGTGCAGTGTGTGTGTGCAGTGTGAGCTGTGTGTGACTTGAGTGTTTGTTTGTGTGTGAGCAGTTTGTGTGTCTGTGTGTGTGTTGTGGGTCTGCATCTCGCTGGGTTCCCGTACACTTGGATTCTCCATCAGGCCGTTGTATCACACGCCTCTAACCTTTGGCCCACATACAGGGGCTTGGGAGAGCTCTCCTTTCCCACCGTACGCTATTCTCACGTTTATTTAATGATCTTTGTAAACTTGTATTCAGTCCATGCTTTATTATCTCACACATCACAGAGCTCTCTTCAACAACAACCCATTATATGCAAAAACCTTGGCTGTTTGGTCCGAATGATGCTTTATTATTTCTGATTATTTCACTACAAATCACTCGAAAGTCTCACTAAATAGAAAAAAAACAGATGAAAGAAGTCATTGACGTGTCTGTAAAAAGCAACATGCCGAGCTCCCTGTAAGTATAGCCCTCAACCCCCTCCTCTAAGCCCTATAGCAGCCTGTAGTTTCAGGGCGATAGAAAGGTAATTTGTAGGTGGGGGCTGCCGTGGGTGCGGTGGGCCTTGCTTTATTGCGATGGTACACGTGGAGAACGCTGTAGTAGAGTCGCTCCACGTCACGGACTGTGGGTAAAATGGTGAATGCGGCTGAAGGCGGTGACTGCTGCTGCTGCTCGTCTTGTGGACATTGTATCCAACTGCTTTTGATCTGAGGGAAATATGCGTTATTTATATTCATGTGATGCTTTAAAGTGAAGCCCAGCAGAAGGAGGTACACCCAATGTACAGTGGAAGGACATATTGTTCTAAAGAAACACAATCCTCGTTTAGAAATGTTTGTGAAATGATGTCAAAACTACTTTAGGCCTAAACCAGTTACCAGAGAGTAACTGAGGGTCTGGTCTCATTGTATCGCTGCAAAGATCCTCTTCTGTTCTGCCGCTGTTGTGTTGGTGTTGTCGTTGATGCTGCATGGAAAGTATGTTGAAGCCTATATTTTCTTTGGCTTGTTGAGTTTTGTGGTAATGGTCGTAGTGGAGGTGTGTGAGGGTGCGTGGGAGGGGCGGATGTTCTGAACAAATGCTGTTCTTGGGGGAAGGGTTTTCTGTAGAATAATTTCTATAGTTAATTTGATTATTTAACCTACATTTTCCTTAACCCCCTAACATTGATGGTTGCGTCCCTGGTCCTAAACTCATGGCCCCTTTCCAAACTTGTTTCTGTAGCACTAATGTTGTCTGTATTTTGAGTGTAGAGAATTTGAACATGCTCCACTGACATTCAGGCTAAAGTTGAGTCAAATGTATGCTTGTCTGCACAGAGCATTGTGGGAGGTCAGCGAGAGGAGTAAAGAAGGGGAGTGGTAGGAGACCCATGGTCAGTGGGGGTTGTGTAAAAGTATTCTCCAGAAACTAGCCTCTCACTCAGAACATTTTGTATTGATTAAAAGCACATCCATTCTGGCTCGTTACTGAATGTAATACTCACATAGTGATAAAGACTAAAGGGTGTTAATGAGAGGAATAATGATAGAAATGTCTTAAACAAATGAGCAACTGCCTAAAGTTCCTCATCAGAGCCTGGGGGGGATTAACAGGACCATGTGAAGCAAATATGGAGGACCGTGATGCACCAGGACCATGTGAAGCAAAACAGACTTTAATGTGTACACACTGCTGCAATTTGTGTTTTTTTTGTTGCTAATATTAATAACACCATGTGTGTTACATGTTGTAGTAATAACCATGTGTGTTGTATGTTGTAGTAATAACCATGTGTGTTGTATGTTGTAGTAATAACCATGTGTGTTGTATGTTGTAGTAATAACCATGTGTGTTGTATGTTGTAGAAATAACCATGTGTGTTACATGTTATAGTAATAACCATGTGTGTTACATGTTATAGTAATATGTTGTTTCAAAAGAAGCCGTGTTCTTCAGGTGCAGAGAAATGTTTGGTTCTTGTCTTTGGAACCTTTTAAAATATAATTTAATTATTTGCTTGTGAAGCTGAGGTTGGATTTCAGGTTTTCTGAATAATTGTCAGATTGTGATCTGTTTATTTTGGACGAGTTCAGATGAACTTTTTTGTTCTAATGTTGTGGTTTATTACATTAATCAGCTTTGATTCCAGAAATGTGTCTTTTAGAGATTAAGAGAAAAAGCCTTTTTTGCACAAAATAATAATCAATTAATGGACTTTTTTTATTAAACTATTTTCAGGGTTAAGAAAATACACACACACATCTATATATATATATGTATATATATATATATATATATATATATATATTACATCTACATATATATATATATATATATATATATATATATATACGCACAAAAATACACACACATATATATATATTATATAGATATACTCCTTACACACATGCACACACACATATATATATACACACACAGGCTTTAACTAGTCAGCTATGTTATTATTATATTGTTAATGTTATTATTATATTGTTAATGTTATTATTATACCTTAGTAAATGTGATCCTTGCAACTGTGTTTCTGATATGATCTGTGGCCTACATCCAGCTTCAGTTTAATCACATTAATATGTATTTTAATGTGGAACATGATGTTCTTTGTGGAATATTGTGTCCAGTGAATCATGGCCCGGTTTTGCGGCCGCTCTCTCTGCTGCTCGTGTCAAGTGTGTTGCCAGTTCGGTTAGAAAGTGTCATGCGAGTGCTGTGTCTAGAGCAGCAGAAAGGAAAAGCTCGCCAAGCCTCATTCTCTCTCTGTTCATGGCCGCCGAGGAGTAAGGAACGGTGGGGGCGGTGGGCGGAGGGAGTAAGGGGGTGCGACCAATCAGACTGCAGGATCACCTGTGAGTGGCGAGGGCGGTTCTCTGGTTCTGACTGACATCACCTCCCCTCCTCTGCTCCGTACCCTGAGCCTGTTTTCTTCCCACCCGCAGTACAGTATGTCCACTTCTGTGTTTTTGGACATCCCGAGGTTTTTTTTCTCCTTCTCTGAGTTGGCGTCACACTGTGTTTTCTAGGAAATTCTACACACAGTCTGACACAAAACATGGGTTAAATATAATATTAAAAAGCCGTTATTATTATGAAGGGCCTGGTGTTTCTGTAGTTAATAATTGTTTAAGTGTTTTTACTTTTTGGTTTTAAGGCCTTTGTCAGACTCTTTGGTTTGAAGGCCTTAATAGTGAAACTAAACACACACAGCTGCACAACCTGCAGAAAGGACTAAAGATTGTTTTAATGTTTATATAATTTAAATGCATCATATCTATGGTTGTTTACCTGCAATAGTGACATTACATTATCCCTAAACAGTAGTAAAGAGGTCTTTGAAAATGGATTTAAATTTGCCCAAACCCTGCTGTTCCTTTGCTGTATAAATGTTCTAAAGATTTAACACAATGATTTAACCTGTTAAGAAATCAAATATTTGTTATTTATGTACTTTTAATGTCTAAAATGTACTACTCCTTGAACCCATTTTGTAGCTAATGTAGCTGTCATGCGCCTCATGGATCTTCATTTAGATGTTTATTGTGGGAGTATTGTTTAATCTTATTATTGTTCCTCATTAAATAATACACTGTAAAAACAGACGTGTAAATGTGACTCCTAAAGATATGAAAATACTCTCAAATCTCTTTCAGATAGTATTTGGTTCCCCTCAGAATCAGTGTGAAATGTACTCTTTGGTTAGTGTCAAATTATTAGTGTAAATTCTCCTCAATATTTAGATTTAAGCTTTAGTGCAGACTCTAGGTTCAATTTAAAACATGCAGACAGACACAACTTGAGCGTAACTTCAGTCGTGTGTTTCGCAGCTTTGGAGTTGGATTTGTCTCTGCAGATTTTCACTTTTCAATTCAGTGACATTTATTTTATGTATCGCCCTAAATCACAGCAGCGGTTTTGTCAGAGGACTTAAAAAAAACCTTGATGAGGGAATAATTTAAACACCAGAAATGCAACAATAAAAAAGACCGTCTTTGAACTCTCTCAGTGGAGAAACTTAAAACAACTGAACTGTAAATATTGTTTTACCGTCGGACGCTTTAGTGAAATGTTTCATCGTGGACCTGTCTCCTCCAGTCTTTAATTCAATATTAATTCATGATTAGTTATTCTAAACTCTCTCCTTCAATCAGACGACTTTCTTTTAAGATAAAGAGATTCTTTGTTTCCTCTGAGGAAATGTCAGTGTTGCATCAACAACACAACAAGAGAACAATAACTCTAAACTAAAATAACATCTCTAACTTTAGCATCATCAAGAAGCATTCTCTAACATAGAGCCTTAGATCTCTAACATAGAGCCTCAGATCTCTAACATAGAGCCTCAGATCTCTAACATAGAGCCTCAGAGGCCATCGGCAGAAACAATGCGGCTGCATTATGTAGGTGAAGGGTAACTGCGTCCTGTCTCTTTAAGAATCTCTCTCTTTCTCTCTCTTTAAGCCTCTCTCTCGTTCTACTCTTTCCCCTCTTTTTAAAACATATTTTTAGTCTGATTTAGTGAAACATGAGTTGATCTTGATTTTTATATTTTTATTGTTAAGAATTCGTTGCTGTTTTATTTCTTTGATATTTTGCTCTAATTCGATTCTTAGATATTAGAGATGCTCCATGTTTGAAGTCCATTATCACAGCTATGTTTGTAGTTTA